TTTAATTTTCATTTTTGTGTTTAATTCAATTTTCAACGGCATTTTAAAAAGAAACATGAAAATGGAATGTTTGAAATATTTTTGGAAAAAAAGTTGCATTTGTGTATGCATTCGACATCTTACATTATATATATGATATATATCCTTTGAATTAAAGGTATGCTATGCTCATCCTCGAGTAACATATTTTAATCACAGAAATTCATTGAAATCTGAATATGTCAAATTAATAATAAAAGAACAAATTAGTTTTGTAATGGGAAGCTGCGTTCATATTACAAGTCAAGTTGGTTGTTTCTTTGGAGGAACTGATAATTAGCCAGGTACACAACTTCCTTGAATTTTCCTTGGTTAGAAAGTTCCTATAGGTAGAGAATTTTAAGATTTTGACATATTTTAAAGACATTTGTTATTTATATGCAGCGAATATATTACATTAGATCTGAAATCTACGTTACCGAGGAAATACAATGTCATTACCAAAATAAATGCCATCCTGTTATATAATAGTTTCTCGTTGAAAATTTTTATGGCAAACCTTCAAAATATCCTAAACTTTTAAACCTAATGACATCAGATTAATGATCATGATTAATGCTTCATGGGCGTAATTCGAAATATTTATTGATCACATTATCAATTTTAAGTAGTACATAAAACAATACATTAAATTATGTTCTCATTAGCTTACCTTTTCGCCAGTGTTGAAAAACCCTGCTGTTCTCACTTGCAATTTCTTGTCACAATCATACCTTACTAGATAGTGAAAGTGACTCTTTGTCACCAGACGCAAACCCGACATGGCTGAAAGACACTTATTGGCACAAAGCACTTAATGTTAAAACACTTTTTAATCCAAGTTTATCGATTTGAAACAAAATAACAAACACTTTTCAAACACTAGTATGTCCAAGTATTTCCCTTTGGAACAAATAATAACAAACACAAATATTTACTTTAGAAATGCACAATTATAGAAATACACCGTCACAGATTTAAAGCAGAATGAAGGAAGATAAGAATGTTGTCGTATTTAAGTGAGCTGTTACAAAAATGTAAACAAATAACGTACGACATAAATTTAGTAAAAAAAGGAAAAACAGTAAAAAATAAATATGTAAGTACATTACTTATTGACTGATTAAATTATAGATTTTCTCGGAGAACCTCCGAGTTAGCGCTTTTTCACTCTCTAAAACTCCGCGATACGCGCTGCAGTTGTATCTCCGCGATTTAGGGAGTTGATTCGCGGAGAAGCAGAGATTTCTCTTATACGTCGATCACGGAGGAAGCACAAAAAATGAACAATCCGCGAGAACTGTACTGTACTTTATTATGTGACAATCAAGGTGGAATATCTATTTATATTACAATACATTATAAATAATTATGATAATTATTCAGTAATTGCAATATTAAAATTAACAAATACACAATATTGGGAATTAAACAATAACTTGCTTTACATGTGAGAAGATACTGAGATCTTGGTCAATGATAAAAATCCTAATCAACCGATACTTATAAAATGAACTTTTACAAAGTTTTGAATTGAAACTGATGATTAACTAAAAGAGCTTTGTTTGAATATTTTAAACCAATTATATTGTGATGTTTTTTTGGGGGAAAGATAGCCGTTGTTGGAACCTAAAGGGAAAACTCCGACCTGTGGGTGCTTTGATAGAACAATTTTAGATAAATTACGAAGAGCTTGTTTTAAGAACAACAATGATTAATTTAATTAAGTAATCCAAGGATATGTAGTAAGATAAAGTACAAAGTATAAATAAGTTTTAGATTATTAAATAGAAAAATTACTGTGTTATTGTAAATTAAGTTTACATTTCACAATAGAAATAAAGAGTATGTCATCAAATATTTGTGAAAGGTATATTGTCCCTGGCATATATAGTTTGTATACATGCAATTATTGCATCATATCCTTTAATTATTGATATGAAAATACGAAATGTCATTAGTTTTCATGCTCTGTCAAAGTCTGCCACTGTTTTCAAGCAGCTGTCTGTGTCATATACCCAGTAAAACTTAACAATGTTATGATAAGTGTTTCAAGCATTTATAAATTCATAATGATGTATTAACCTATGAATAATACAGTATACCTAACAGTAATAAATACATTGGAGCAACATTAAATTGATGCAAATGTCTCATATAATGACATAAGAACAACACTTAATAAGATAAACAAATATAAGTTATCTACTCCCCAACCATTCTGAAACAACCCTATTATGTTGTAAAATTTACAATGTAACAGTATTTTTAAAGTTTAACTTTAACGCCCCTCTTCCTCCAGTACTTTGATAATGTCATCTGTACAACGATCCGCTTTCTTCAAAGATTTTAACATGGACCAGGGTTGCTGAGAGTCTGGGATCTCACCTTTTTAATTGTTCCCTTTAAGTAGGATAAATTATATTTAAGAATTTATCCGGAATTTTTTCACTTTCTTTATTACAAGCTAATGGTTTATCCTGGCCATCAGGCATCAAGAAAGCATATTTGTCACACAGTCCTTTTTACATATATTCGGAAATTCAATATTATTTTTCCTTTCAAGAAATAATGCCATTTGCTCCAATGCAAAAAGCCGATTTTCCGGTGTTAGCTCCCGGCAATTCCTAGGTGGAGATTTCATCTGAACATCGTCAACGTCTATGTCAATTTCCCGTGGCCAAATCCTTCTCCCAGGGTGACAAAGAGGTATCACGACAGTCACCAGAAGTTTCGTTGCCCTGCTCCGCAAAGTTGATGGAGAATCGTTAGAATCACTAACTGATGTTGACCCTGAAATAGATGAAGAACCACTTGTTGAATACAAGTCTTCATTCTCCATGCTCCCATGTCCTACTTTTATTTCCTGTATATCTCCCCAAGCACTAGGTCCTTTATCTTGTTTATCACATTGTTCTTTACTCCCCTTACAGCCTGATTCACTTCCAGCACTTCCCAAAACGTCTCCACTTGTCCCATCACATATATTATCTTTCAATTTATTGTCAGTTCCAGTGTTAAGTACCTTTTCCAAATCCTCTGAATCAAGAATAGGAAGAAACTCCCCTGTCCTGTAATTCAAACACATTGACATGTCCACATTTCCTCCAATCGTCAAACAATTCCCATCTCTTTGCTCTGGTCCATCTTTACCTTTTGCTGTATCTTCCATTTTGCCTGATATAGAGTTAACTGTTGCTCCTGTTTCAATTCTTTCCTCAGCAACTTCACAATCAAACTCATAATCTTAAAAATCTGCTTCAACTACTGTCTTTTGTTTCTGATCTGCATCCATCCTTTCTGATGGTGTTATGCTATCATTTTCCACTTTATCCTTCCTTATGTTCGTATCAGTGTCCATTTTCTCTTGTCCCTTGTCTATATCTGATGCATGTTGTTTAATGTTTGCATCTTTTTCCAATGTTTTCTGTTCTTTATTTACTTTTTCTTTTTCTAATGTCACTCATAAATTAGCTATTAATATCAAAGTGGGATGCTCCAGGGTCCGTTGTCATGTGTCAACATTCAACTTCTCTGAAACTGCTGGGCAGATATACCGTATGTGGCCGAGTGGTTAAGGTCTTTGACTTCAAACCACTTGCCCCTAACAGCTGTGGGTTCGAATCCCGACAGGGACTTTGGATTCTTTCATGTGAGGAAGCTATCCAGCTAGCTTAGTTTTGCTCATATTACTAGTAATTAGATTGACCACTCAAAGGGGCCGCTAAAGCTAAAAATAGAAAAACCTTTATACATCTTCTAATTAACTAATTAATGGGTGATCACCAGCATTCTTGGGTAGTCTTTTATCAAGTTTGTTTATATTTGATTGGCCCCTTGTAGGGAAAAATTTTTTCTAACTTTGAATAACAGTTGTTTCTGGTGAGCGATTCTGGGCCATCATGGCCCTCTTGTTTGTTTTTTTATGCACAATGATTTATCATTCCATGCCACACCTTACATACATGTATACTGGTGTTTATTTCAAGACTGGAATTGGATTGTCTTTGCAATCTTTAGGCTCACTTGTGACAGGAAACATATTTGATTTAGAAATTATCTCTTCAAATCAATAACTTTACCCTGTTGGGGAGACTGTTCCTCCAGAATATTAATTCTCTCCTCCACTCCTCTGTCCCCCTTTTTGAGTGCCTCAGAGACCTTCCTCTTCCTTCTTGTTCCCTTGAAGAGGGATGTTTAAAATTCAGAGATTAATTTGGATTTACAATTTTTAACCAGGTTTTCCGAAGGAAAAAACTGGTTATTAGATTGAGGTATGTCGGCGGGCGGGCGTAAACAATTTCTTCTGTGCGCAACTCCTCCTACATTTTTCAACGGATTTTGACCAAACTTTCACAGAAGCTTTGTCATCAAGTGACCTGGCGCATATTGTCGGGGTTTTGTGATTGGATAATATTTGACCTAATCATGGCCTTTTGTTTTTTTTCCTTATATAGAATATATAGTGAATAATTTCTTCTGTGCCCAACTGTTCCTACATTTCTCAATGGATTTTGACCAAACTTTCACAGAGGCTTTGTCATCAAGTGCCCTGGGGCATATTGTCGGGGTTTTGTGATTGGATAATATTTGACCTAATTATGGCCCTTTGTTATTTTTCCTTATACAGATTATATAGTGAACAATTTTTACCATGCGCAACTTCTCCTACATTTCTCAACAGATTTTGACCAAACTTTCACAGAAGCTTTGTTATCAAATGCCCTGGCCCACATTATCGGGGTTTTGTGATTGGATAATATTTGACCTAATTATGGCCCTTTGTTTTTTTTCCTTATACAGATTATATAGTGAACAATTTTTACCATGCGCAACTTCTCCTACATTTCTCAACAGATTTTGACCAAACTTTCACAGAGGCTTTGTCATCAAGTGCCCTGGCGCACATTATCAGGGTTTTGTGATTGGATAATATTTGACCTAATTATGGCCCTTTGTTATTTTTCCTTATACAGAATATATAGTGAAAAAAATTTTCTGTGCTGAACTCCTACATTTCTCAACGGATTTTGTTCAAACTTTCACAGTAGCTTTGTCATCCAGTGCCCTGGCGCATATTGTCGGGGTTTTGTGATTGAATAATTTTTAGCTCTTACTGACCACAAAGTGGTTAAGGTGAGGTAAAGTGATGGGGCTATGTCCGGCGTCCGTCGTCGTGCGTCGTCAACAATTGGGTCGTTCAGTCTAGCAGTCACAGTTTTGATTGGATCATCATCAAACTTTGTCAGAATGTTTGTCTCAATGAAATACAGATCGAGTTCGAAGATGGGTTATCTCGGGTCAAAAACTAGGTCACAGGAGCTAAAAATAGAAAAACCTTGTTAACACTCTAGAGGCTGCAGTTTTCATCCAAATATTCTGGAAATTTGTCAGGAAGGTTGTTTTAATGATATCTAAGTCAAGTTCGAAGATGGGTCATCTCCGGTCAAAAACTAGGTCACAGGAGCGAAAAATAGAAAAAGCTTGTTAACACTCTAATAATTGGGTTGTTAACAGTCTAGCAGTCACAGTTTTGATAGGATCATCATCAAACTTTGTCAGAATGTTTGTCTCAATGAAATACAGATCAAGTTCGAAGATGGGTTATCTCAGGTCAAAAACTAGGTCACAGGAGCTAAAAATAGAAAAAGCTTGTTAACACTCTAGAGGCTGCAGTTTTCATCCAAATATTCTGGAAATTTGTCAGGAAGGTTGTTTTAATGATATCTAGGTCAAGTTCGAAGATGGGTCATCTCCGGTCAAAAACTAGGTCACAGAAGCTAAAAATAGAAAAAGCTTAACACTCTAGTGGCTGCAGTTTTCATTCAAATATTCTGGAAATTTGTCAGGAAGGTTGTTTTGATGATATCTAGGTCAAGTTCGAAGATGGGTCATCTCCGGTCAAAAACTAGGTCACAGGAGCTAAAAATAGAAAAAGCTTGTTAACACTCTAGTGACTGCAGTTTTCATCCAAATATTCTGGAAATTTGTCAGGAATATTGTTTTGATGATTTCTGGGTCAAGTTCGAAGATGGGTCATCTCCGGTTTAAAACTAGGTCACAGGAGCTAAAAAAAGAAAAAGCTTGTTAACACTCTATAGGCTGCAGTTTTCATCCAAATATTCTGGAAATTTGTCAGGGAGGTTGTTTTGATGATATCTAGGTCAAGTTCGAAGATGGGTCATCTCCGGTCAAAAACTAGGTCACAGGAGCTAAAAATAGAAAAAGCTTGTTAACACTCTAGGGGCTGCATTTTCATCCAAATATTCTGGAAATTTGTCAGGAAGGTTGCTTAGATAATATCTAGGTCAAGTTCGAAGATGGGTCATATCCGGTCAAAAACTAGGTCACAGGAGCTAAAAAATAGAAAAAGCTTGGTAACACTCTAGTGGCTGCAGTTTTCATCCAAATATTCTGGAAATTTGTCAGGAAGGTTGTTTTGATGATATCTAGGTTAAGTTGGAAGATGGGTCATCTCAGGTCAAAAACTAGGTCACAGGAGCTAAAAATAGAAAAAGCTTGTTAACACTCTAGTGGCTGCAGTTTTCATCTAAATATTCTGGAAATTTGTCAAGAATGTTGTTTTGATGATATTTAAATCAAGTTCGAAGATGGGTCATGTCCGGTCAAAAACTAGGTCACAGGTGCTAAAAATAGAAAAGCTTGTTAACACTCTAGTGGCTGCAGTTTTCATCCAAATATTTTTGAAATTTGTCAGGAAGGTTGTTTTGATGATTTTTAGGTCAAGTTCGAAGATGGGTTATCTCCGGTCAAAAACTAGGTCACAGGAGCTAAAAATAGAAAAAGCTTGTTAACACTCTAGTGGCTGCATTTTTGATTAAAATATTCTGGAAATTTGTCAGAAAGGTTGTTTTAATGATTTCTAGGTCAAGTTCGAAGATGGGTCATGTCTGGTCAAAAACTAGGTCACAGGAGCTAAAAATAGAAAAAGCTTGTTAACACTCTAATGGTTGCAGTTTTCATCCAAACATTCTGGAAATTTGTCAAGAAGGTTGTTTTGATGATATCTAAGTCAAGTTGGAAGATGGGTCATCTCCGGTCAAAAACTAGGTCACAGGAGCTAAAAATAGAAAAGCTTGTTAACACATTAGGGGCTGCAGTTTTCATCCAAATATTCTTGAAATTTGTCAGGAAGGTTGTTTTGATGATTTCTAGGTCAAGTTCCAAGATGGGTTATCTCCGGTCAAAAACTAGGTCACATAAGCTAAGAATAGAAAAAGCTTGTTAACACTCTAGTGGCTGCAGTATTGATTCAAATATTCTGGAAATTTGTCAGGAAGGTTGTTTTGATGATTTCTAGGTCAAGTTCGAAGATGGGTCATCTCAGGTCAAAAACTAGGTCACAGGAGCTAAAAGTAGAAAAAGCTTGTTTACACTCTAGTGGCTGCAGTTTTGATTCAAATATTCTGGAAATTTGTCAAGAATATTGTTTTGATGTTTTCTGGGTCAAGTGCTAAGATTGGTCATGTCCGGTCAAAAACTAGGTCACAGGAGCTAAAAATAGAAAAATCTTTTTAACACTCTAGTGGCTGCAGTTTTGATCCAAATTTCCTGGAAATTGGTCAGGAAGGTTGTTTTGATGATTTCTAGGTCAAGTTTGAATATGGGTCGTGTCTGGTCAAAAATTAGGTCACATTGCCCAAATATGGAAAAATCTTTATTACACACTAGAGGTCACATGTTTGACTCAGTCGCATCAAACTTGGTCATGATGCTTGTTTAAGACATTGCTTGGATGAGGTTGTGTCAGGTGAGCGATCCAGGGCCCTCTTGTTTACTTAATTATGGCCCTTTGTTTTTTTTCCTTATACAGAATATGATTATAGTGAACACTTCCTCTGTGGCAATTCCTCCTACATTATTCATGTTTTACATTGCACATAGTTACATTGTTTGTTGCTTGTATTTGTATTTCAAATACAACATATTTATCTACAATGGTGATAATTGAAAACCTGGTTTCATGGCATTGCCATGTTTCTTGTTTGTTTTGAAACAATTTGGATAGAATGTTGTTGCTTGGCATGGAATAGAAAAGGGGAGATAATCATGAACAGACTACAAGAAAGACAACTGTGTATTAATTCCCCAATTTACAAATACCTGATTATCACCCTTTTCCATTGAAACTTTGCTGAAATAAGGTATTATTGCAAATATGCAATAAGCTCAATTACTTAATAATTGCATTAAGCAGTTCAATCAAATACCATTATTTCTTTTACAAATCACAAATACTGTATTCAGATTGCATAATTATGTCTGTTCAATGTTCTAAGAGTTGTGCATCCCAATCACATTCAAAAGAATGACATCTTCATAATTGGTTATTGTTTTATCAGCATCAAAGTCTTCCTCCATTATATGCAACACTGATGGAACTTCACTAAGTGCCTTTAAATGATCTTTGAAACAAACTTGTTCCATCAGTGAAATGAAATTTTTGGGGCTATAGCAAAGGCCTCTAACAGATGACATACCATGTCATATAAGAACCCAATATCAACATCTAAGTGTACTTAAAAAGCAAGTCCAATATTTCCTCTTGCTTGGTAAAACACATTACATGTATATTTCTTATATTCCTTTCCTTTTATGTCACATGTAATTCGTTTTTTTTTTGCTTTTTGTTTTCTTTCTCCTAACTTCTTTTGCAACCTAAGGAACTTCTCCAACTCATGATCCTGAACATTCTCAATTAAATCTGAAAGTAGTTTGTGACTGTTGTCACTGTCCTCATTCAATTTTACATTTCTTTAAATCCATCTGTGTGATGTAATTTTGTAGCATGTGGTCATATTGTTTGAAACATCACTGGCTGTGAATCATTCCCAGTTGTTGTTCAAATTTTCACAAAGACTGAAGTTACTTACATTCACTTCTTGGTTTTCTGGTACCAGCCCTGTCCCTGGGTTTTTTCCTTGTCCCTTTGAGACAGGCCCTGTGTGGATAAAAAATCTTTGGCCACATTGTAGTTATTATTGTGGTATTGGTGCTTGACAGGTGGTTGACCATGTGATTATGATTGTAGTTGGGGGTGCTTGATGAGTATGTACTTCTCGGCATGTCTTTTTAGCCATGTCAGAGTTTCTTGCCCAGTTTTTTCTCAAATTTGCAATGTCATTCACTCTATTTTTGATGTCATTTATTGATTTTACCCACTCCGAGAGGTTATCATTGACGAGGTGATTGGTTTCTGAAGTTTTGGGTGCACAAAATTTTCCAAAATCCAGCTTCAGTGCTGGCTGTAAAAATTTCCCACGGTTATTTGTCACATCTCCGTGTGCAAATGTCAGTAGCACCACCGCCTCAAAGGCTTGATTAAACCATTTAGTACTTTCATCAGAATCACTTTCCAGCATCAAATCCATCATATTTAGTATTGGCGCCATTGCTTTTCCAATGAAATGTTGGCTATTCTGCACCCACCACCCCACATACAATGTGAACTGGTGTTCACTTGATAATTGCATTAAGCAGTTTAATCCAATACCAATGTTGCTATTACAAATCACAAATACTATAATAATTATTCAGATTTCATAATTATGTCTGTTCAATGTTCTAAGAGTTGTGTATCCACCATCTGATGGCGTCAGTAAAATGAAATTTTGGGGCTAAAACATAGGCCTCTAACAGATGACATACCATGTCATACAAGAATCCTATATCAACATCTAAGGGTACTTTAAAAGCAAGTCCAATATTTCCTCTTGCTTCGAATTTTAATGTCCAAAAGATATCACTTGTATATTTTGCTACCCTGTAGTTTAAAGGTTTAGTCAACCTGCTAGGTTGTCTGACACATATGTTCTAAGATTTCCCGAATCCAACATAAATCTTACATTTTCATCTCTTCCATTTGATTCTGTAATTCTGTTGTTGCCGTTTCCATTAAAACTGTTTCTTTGTTGAATGTAGACACGGTTCACAATTTGAGTTCTCACTGTTTTCGTCCTCTTTTTCGTCAACCATTTGAGCGTTTTCATAAGATTTCAATTGCTGTTTTGAAAAGTTTGTCGGACATAAACTGCTGTAATGAACATTGACTGATTTGCAGTGATAGCATTTATTTCTAGTGATGGAACTTCACTAAGTGTGCCTTTAAATGATCTTTCAAACAAACTTGAACCATCAGTTAAATGAAATTTTGGGGCTTAAACATTGGCCTCTAACAGATCACATACCATGTCATACAAGAACCCTATATCATCATCTAAGTGTACTTAAAAAGCAAGTCCAATATTTCCTCTTGCTTGGTAAAACACATAACATGTATATTTTTTAAATTCTTTCCCTTTTATGTCACATCTAATTCATTTTGTTACTCCAACTCGTGATCCTGATCATTTCTAATCCTTTTGCAACCAAAGGAACTTCTCCAAATTGTGATCCTTATCATTTCTAATTTCTTGGAAAGACTTTGTACAAACTGTATGCTTCAATAAATTATATAAAATATCCATCCAGTCATGTGTAACAGAGTTAGAGCAACTATTCCAATTGAAGCCTCTTTGGTATATAAACTTGATAATAAACACTGCCTAATTTACAACGCAAAATGTATTTTTGTAACAATAATTCTATATAATATTGTAACACAACAATTATGGTACATGCTCATTTTCATTGTCATCATGCTGCAACACAGTATTTAACAACTGCTTCTACATTTTAATATTCAATGAAAAGTATAATTAGTTCTGAATTCTACATTACTAGGACAGTCTTTTTTCTAAATTTTACCTCTTCCTTCTGCTACAATATAAAACCGCAATACTGAATTCTTTTTTCCTTTTCTTTGCTTCTCCAGATCTTTAAATTCAAGAGTTTCTGTTGGCTTCACCAAACCTTAATTCCCTGACATCCTTGCTGTAAATTTGATTTTATTATCAAACATCTTTTGTAATTCATTGAGCAATTCCTGTTGTGTTGAATTTTTTAGTAACATTGATGTAGAGTAATGAATTTACAGTGCCCAGTGGGCCTTTGGGTGATTTTCTTAGACTGGTTGCATATTTCTATCCAATACTTGAACACTAATTTTCTGAAGAAAAAAAAGTCATAATTGTCAACATACCATATCAAATTATGTAAGTCCCATTCTCGCACAAGAAAAGAGAAATTTAGCTGCAAAAATAATTAATTGTCAACATGATATAATTATATTATAGTTACATGTACCTGAGTTTTTGCACTAAATAAAAAATAAAACTTAAACAATGGAATTTTTTATCAAATCCAACTCATGATCCTAATCATTTCTAACTTATTTTGCAACCTTAGAAACTTCTCCAACTCATGATCTAGATCATTTCTAACTTCTTTTGCAACCAAAGGAACTTCTCCAACTCATGATCCTCATCATTTCAAGGTTCTTTTGCAACCTTTGGAACTTCACCAACTTGGGATCCTGATCATTCTCAATTAAATCCAAATGTAGTTTGTAACTACAGGGACTACCTTTGACTGAAAATTTAGGGAGAAGTCTCCCTTCTAGAAGAATAGGGAGAAGTTTTGAAATTTAAGGAGAAGTGGTGCTTCCGTGTATCATTCATCAAATCAAACTATAAAAAGGATTTTTTTTTTCAATTTTATTTCACGAAATAATAACAATTTGTAACAAGTATACAGGCATATAAAAATATATATGGCATATTAAATGAACAAATGTGCATTTAAACATATACATGACCTAATTAAATACTATTCATTTTCATTGAATCCTAAACAATATTTATCATAAGCATATTATAATCAAGCATAGCATACTTCTAGATTTTGCATAAAATGACAAAACAATCATTGGATGTCCACAACACATATCATATTAAATATACTTAACATTTCAAGCATGCCAATATCAACAAATCTGTTTCTTAAGTTCTCAACGATTTTACTGAAATCTAGAGCACTGGTTTGAAAAGTTTTACTTAAGCGTCCAATGAATGGTAAAATGTCCATCATCAAGTGTGTAAATCCAATAAACTTGTATTGTGTAACTTCATTCAAAAGTCCCTTAGCAACAGAGTTTGTAACTGCTTCATGTTCAAGTGCTACAACTCAAGCAGGGTAAGTTTCTGTACAACCCACTTCAACGGGCATTCGAGAAAAGCCACCCGACTGAATGTTATATTAGCAAACTTCAGGAAGGAAAGTTTGTAGTAAGTTTGTATTTTCAACTAATTTGTTTGATCTTCAAGGGCGGAATTGGATTAAGGGTAGTAGAAGATGTTTGTAAAAACCTGTTTCACTTGTAGGCCTCTAATTCAGGGATAGTAGTTACTAATGTCCTCATCAATGTCTATACAAGCATCATTCCTTTGAAACAAACTCCCAAAAAAAAAAAAAAAAAAAAAAAAAAAAAAAAAAAAAAAAAAAAAAAAAAAAAAAAAAAAAAAAAAAAAAAAAAAAAAAAAAAAAGCAAAGATGCATTAAGGTGGTCTTTTCAAACTGTTTTGCCCATTTAAACTTTAAGCCATGCATTCTCTATGGTCTTTTCTTTTCAACCTGCCCTTTTAGCATAGCTAATGACTGACTGTCTTCTGTATTTGTGTGAGTTAAATACATGTAACAGAGACAATCTGTGTTAAAACAGTTGGCAGAATTGACCTTAAGATTATGGAACCAATATAATTTTACAAAAATTATTTCAGTTAGATATAGCTGCCATAGGCTTTAAAGTTATTATACCTTTAAAAGTGGGGCGTTATGTGGCGGGTGGTTAAAGGTCGTTGACTTTCAAACCACGTTTGCCCCTCAATCGCTGTGGTTCTAATCCCAACAGGGACTTTGGATTCTTTCATGTGAGGAAGCTATCCAGCTAGCTTTCGGAACGTGGATGGTTCTACTCAGGTGCCCACTCATGCCTGAAATAATGCACGGAAGGGCACCTGAGGTCTTCCTCCACCAGTAAAGCTGGAACGTAGCCAAATGACCTATACTGTGTCGGTGTGACATAAAACCCAATCAAACAAACAAACCTTTTAAAGTTGATCACTTCTAGTAAGTAAATACAACAAAAATTAATGATTCAATAATCATTAACTCCTCAAAAGTTTTAGCACACAGTAGAAGCATCAGATTTGAAGTAAAGCACCGATAGTGCTTAAGAAATTTGTTGAGTATGCATGATGTCAAAATATTAAAGATACCTGTAAGATCAATTGTAGATGAAGATTTATAGTTTTATATAAATAGAATTTTATAGTCACTTATAAATCACAATGTTCGATAATGTACTTTATGACTTGTTTTTATGTACTAAAATGTATTTGTATTTTATGAATTATGTACATTGATGATATTTTAATAAACTTCAATAATGCAAAAAGTTTTGTACATGTATATATAGTCCAGGGATTTAGCCAGCCTATTGTCATGTCGCATGCCACATACCTTCAGGCATTGTGGTATAATTGCGTCATCCGTTAATATCCCCAACAAACTTTAATTATCAAAGAAACAATATCAGCATTGAATAAACTAACCATTTATATTTTTCCAAGCATGTCGCATAAAAGCTTTGTACATGTAAATAGTGAAATTAGTCATAAGTCAAAGGTCTTGGTAATAAAATTTCTTTTCTGCAGATGATTATTCATACATGGCAAGATAAAAGCAATGTAAAATAAATAATCATAGGTAATGCCATATGATACTGATCTAAATTATCTAATGAACTGTTGTGTTATTCCTATTACTGGTTGCTTCACCTAATCAATTTCTGAGGTGGAAAAATTGCTGTTCAGAACTTTGTCGCTAGAAAATTTCACTGTACATTGATTAGACCAACAAACATGCCAATCACAAAGTTGATTCATAAACACAAAATGTCCATGCAAATTCAGGAAAATACATGCAACTATGACAAGCAGTTATTTATAGAAGACTCACTCTAGTTGCCACATATGAATTTTACATTTTAACAGTCTAATAAATGATTAGAAAGTGCCTCTGAAAAAGGCTTGTTGCATTCTACACTACACATGTTAAAATTTGACAGTAAAACATGACTGGGCAATAGTTCTGTAAAAGTAGTTTAATGAAACTTTTTGCAAATGCATATTTTGACATGGATGATCAGATTGCCATGGTAACAACAAACGGAGTACACTGCATGATTGGAAAATTATGGTTAACACAATGGTCAAGCGATATGATTTGACAGCCCAAACTTTAATGTGATCATTTTTATTTGTTGAAATGCCAAAATTGTTCTTCTTTTTTTTCTTTCTGATATTAACTACATGGACATAGCAGATAGACCTGTACCATTCTTCAAATTCATCTTCACAGGTTCATACATGAAAGCACATAACAATAAAGCAGCAGAGCAGGTTTTGCACCAACCAGGATATATATTGTTGCTCAGATATGACTGCCATTTTTAAAATAAGTAAAGTTTCATGCCCACTTTCATATATATAAAAGTAGTTCTAAGTAAAATAGGATTATACCAATATTTTTGTCCCATTTCAAATGATGTTAGGATCATTATTGCATATGAGCCGTGTCATGACAAAACCGACATAATGTGTTTGCGACCAGCATGGATCCAGACCAGCCTGCGCATCTGCGCAGTCTGATCAGGATCCATGCTGTTCGCTTACAAACCCTGTAACATGTAGAAACTGATAGCAAACAGCATGGATCCTGATCAGACTGTGCGGATGCGCAGGCTGGTCTGAATCCATGCTGGTTGCAAACCCACTATGTTGGTTTTGTCGTGACACGGCTCATATATTGTCACAGTAAAACTTCATGGATAGCAGTTGCTGGAGATGGGCTCTAATCAGTTTGTTCTTTTTGACATTATAGTATTTTGAACCATCTAAATTCTCATGAATCTGGAGTCAAGCTGCTTTAAGAGTGCTGAGAGCCTGAGATATGGGAAAAAAAGTTGAAAACAAATGGCATATTCACTTTTTCCATACTTTTTATTCATATAGTAAATGACTGAGCTTCAATAAATAACACATATAACTTATAGAAGACAAAACTCTTATAATATTCAATGTTGCAAACATCTCATTTTGAGTATATTTTGTGTAAAAGCTTCAAATTATTCTTGCAACTAAACTTTTCTGTGTTTAACATTTCTGTGTTTTCCCATACATGAAGTTTGTTAAATCAACAAATTTGACAAACTTTGCTAGACACTAGCATCCCTTGATAAAGAGGCGTTAACAGTTGTGTATTGAATAATAACCACGTCTTAAGCCATCACCCTGCTGGAACTGGGTGACTAGCTTTTGCCACCAGTATAGAGCCAGGCCAGCCTGAACATCCCCTGTAGTCTGCCAGGTTCTTTACTGTTTGTACCTCAGGTTTGTTACTTTTGATTTTTAAATTTTTTGACGACAGATCTGAGAGTTGTCACTGGGCCCATATCAACCACCCAGTTCCCTTTACAATACTTCGTGCGAAACATTGGGTTGAAATAAACGGCAGTTATGGATTAAAATCCTAAACTTCTCTGACTGTTTTGAGTTGTCTTACATAACATTATCATGTTACATTACAATAAAATCACTTTCTTGTGCAATGACATACAATTACAAAGTCGTAAATCACACACCAATCACTTTAGAAGCAGTCAATTGATTTTACTTTTAAAATAAATGTCTCACAAGGTCACATATCTACCAACACTTCCTGTGCCTATAAGTTACTGCAGACCGACAAAGTCCAATACAAAAAGTATATTTTGAAAGACGTAGTTCATAAATCCATAACTGTTCCGAGGCAAGTGTCATAACTGCAGCCAGTCTTTCATATAAATACACGTTGTTGGGGACACTGCTCCACCCTCGTAACAATTGTGGAACACCTGAAAAGCACAGAGAAATAACAAATAGATGAACTTATTTAGTTTGTTTTAATGGTAAGTAGATTTTTATACATTTTCATCCGACTTTACAAAGTATATGGAGAGCTGTCCCTACTGATTCTGAAGTCTGTGTCCAGATATCATATTATAATATCATGTGCGTGCAGTAAAATATTTTTTAATATAACTTCAAATATATATTCCTTATCATCAATAAGGTTCGTAACTCTAGAAGCAATATTTCAAGAATTATCTTCCCTTGAACTTTGAATTGTTCTTAAAAAATGTTATTTTTACTCTAACTTTGTTAGTCTATAAGGCATCAACTTCAGACTTCAAATATATGTTCCTTATCATCAACCACATCTTATGTGACAAGGTTTGTAATTCTAGAAGCAATATTTCAAGAATTATCCCCCCATGAACATCGAATTTTCATTAAATGTTATTTTTTACTATAACTTCGTTATGTCTAAATGTAACTACTCCAAACTTCAAATATATGTTCTTTATCAACACATACATCATCTGAGACAAGATTCATAATTCTAGGCAAATGTGCGATTTTCCAGGATATTACTCCAGGACTGACAAACTTCTAGCTTTACAGTTTCAGGGTGCAGTGCCATTTACAAATGGATTAGTCAATCTGTTGAACATTATTTTCCAAAGTAATAACTGTGAAAGTTTGTTTATATTCTCGGATTAGCTGGAAAACCTAAAATGTTCTTCATTCCAGAAAAGGTTCAGTTGTCTGATTATATAAACTGTTTCATTTTCTGGTTATAAAATTTAACTTTGGTTATATCAACTGTTCAGTACTCTGGTTATATAATTAAAACTTGATTATATCAACTGTTAAGTACTTTGGTTATAAAATTAAACTTTGGTCATATAAAGTTATGTACACAGATTATATAATTAAACTTTGGTTATATCAACTGTTAAGTACTCTGGTTATATACTTAAACTTTGATTATATCAACTGTTAAGTACTTTGGTTATAAAATTAAACTTTGTTCATATAAACAGTTATGTACACTGGTTATAAAATTAAACTTTGGTTATATTAACTGTTAAGTATTCTGGTTATAAAATGAAACTGTCAACTTACAGGACAAGAACCACAAGGCATCCTCATAAGGCCTGTAGATTCTATAATAGGTTTAACAGATCTATATAACTTAGTTTGACCAGTATCCCCAGCTGCGGCCACTATAGATCGCTCGCATTTACCGTCGTATATCAACGTGTCCAGTATAGTCTCAATATCCTCTACTGACAACTGAACCTGTTATAATAGATATAAAGTATAATAATATTCATAAGTGTGTTGCCTGCATAATATTTGATTGAAACACTCAAAGCCATATTAAGTAGTGTACAATGCATAACACTTTTTCCAGAGAACTGATTTTTATCGTAGCATATTGTCTTAAAAGCGCTCAACTGAATTTGAAAATCTTATAAAGTTCCAATTGAGCACTTAAAACAGAAAAAATGAAAAAAGAAAACTGAGAAATTAACTCGGAATTAAATTGAAAATCAATAATTTTATTGTGACTCTTAGCTTGAATGACATTAAAAGTGTTTAAAATGCGTTTTCATTTTTAGGTCTTTTTGCACACAAAAAAAATTATTCTGAATGATCTGAAATTTTGCACACATGTACTTGGTATAGACCTACATCAAACCATGGAATAAAAAAAAATTCGAATATTTCGAAAAATCAAAGAAGCATTCTTGACAAAAAGTTGATTCATTGGTTCAAAATAAAAGAGTGTTTCAGGTTTCATATTTGGACCTTTTTAAAATACATTTCAACCCTTATGCCAGCTTGATAACAAGTTCCAAAATCTGAGATGAGAGCATAAGGAACCATTTTCCGCTTGTGGATACAAACGGACTTACTCCTTTGCTGACTGAGCCTAGGAAGTTATGAAAAATATTGCCATCTGGTTTGAAAGCTACAAGTGGAAATTTTCGATTTCGAAAACAAAAATTTTTTCAGGTACAATTGAAACTTTTAAAGCATACATTATTATGTAACATACCTTACTGATACCCAGCTCTGAAATAAATTTCCAAACATCCTGAGAAGAAGCATAGGAACCATTCCGCTGTGCTATTGGATCAACCTTGGACTCCTTTGCTGACTCAGCCTACAAGTTTATGAAACAAATGGCATACTGGTAATTACAAGCTGACAAGTGGAATTTTCGATTTCTGAACGCTACAACTGCTGTAAACCAAAGGTAATTAGCCTTTGACACCTGTATAGAGGCAGGCTCTAAAACTGTGATAACTCAATTTTTGTACTTTGATAATGATACCTTTTTAACTTTGAATGGATTGTTCCAAATTCTAAGTGGGCAAAATCTGTAATACAATTACAACAAGCTATGTGTAGGTCACTTTGACACTGGTGAAGGGAGACTTAAGGTGCCTCTCTTTGCATTATTTCAGGCACAAGTGGACACACATGTAGAATTGCTAGCTGGACTGAACAAATTCACAGTGCCTAGCAAAATTTAAACCCTCAGTGGTGTTTTGAAACCAGTGGCTATAGATGATCAGCCAACAAGTCCACTAACTTTTTTCTGCATCTTAAAATAGCTTCTGATATATCAAGGAAAAGAAAAAAACATAGAATTAATCTGGCTAACCAGGAAAAAAACCTTTTCAGAATAATTATTAAATCTCAATGCGACCATGTAAAATTCTGTATGTCATAATCATAAAAATCTTAATGCTACAAACCTTCTGAACAAGAAATTTATAGCACTGTTGGTTTAAAACTTCCACAAACTCAGACTCAAAGTCTTGATCACTGTACCATGCTCCTCCAGTCACTGTCCTGTCTGGTTCTAGATTATATAACATGTATACTTTCTTCTTTGAGGCCTGGAAGAATAAAACATCAACAAATTAATTTCTAGCATCAAAGTGAAAGTGCAGGAATATTTTCGTATTTGTATACTTCCTTTGGGATATGGAAGAAAATTCATTAAATTACAGTATAATTATGGAAATGTGTGGCATACATTATATTGTATATCATGATAACTACATGTATAAGAAATGGAGTTAATTAATGTGCATAATAATTCAAAAACGAGGGGTGCTCTTACTAGTTCATGCTGAAAAATTATCAAAATATACTATGACTACATACATAATATTTTGAATCTTACATTATTTGCAGAGCAGGTATTAACTTGAGTTATTATATATATACACAATATATATTTTCCAGCCTTCGAAGTACACGCTATCTTTAGCACACTAGTTGTCCTAGACCTAACTTTTGCCCCCCACTCCCCACCCTTTCCCTTTTTTTAAACATGCTTTAGAATAACAGCTATATATGCCAACATTATTAGTGTTTAAAAGAAGTTTAAGTATACTTGTGCCTCATATTTCCGTGGTACTTAAATGTTTAACAAAGACAACAAAAGCTAGAATAAAATTCAAAAATACCTTGAATATTATAGCAAAGACCTGTCAATTACATCATATTTTATTCCATTTAATGTTTGCATGTAAGCAATTATGTAAACAACATGGCAATTGACACCTATCTGCTGTCAAGTGAGTTAAGTTGTGTTCTCATATTTCCAAGGCAATTACATTTAAACAGCTTCAAAAGCTAAACCAATAGTAATCCTTATTTCTTAGTTCATCTATTCCTAGCCCTGTCTGAATGTGGAAATTTTCTCTATGGCATTTATCAAATATCTAAATGGTTGTTTAACAAAGACAATTGTCTTAAAAGGTATGAAAACTAAAAGTAAAATGGTGAAATAATTCTTTGCTCTTAATCTGAATAAAATATTAAGTTTTCTCAGTTGTTTATGTTACGTTTCAATAAAAATAGAATAAGAAAGTGAAACTTAAACTGGCAGGTGCATGAAGTCTATGAGGCACTTGAGACTGTTTATGCCTAATACCTTGGAAATATGGGTACCACGGAAATATGAGGCACCAGTATACATGTACAGCTAAACCCTATAAGGCTCTCATCATGTGCACATCTCTACATGTACATGTATATACTGTAAGCATTCAATAAAATGAGTGAATTAGACAAATGGTACCAAAGGACCAAACCTACCTTTATCTTGCCATTCTTAATATTTGTTTCAGATATTTGATCCATTTTTAATGAAATTTACTAGTGTAAGCCTCCAAACAACCCCACACTTGGAATCTTAACAAATACTGGTATTCATAATTAATGTAATACTCATTTCATCACAAATTCTGTGAACCCCAGATATATATTTAAGTGCCACTTTAATGTAGTTGCGAAAATAGTAGGCCAAACATTGTTGTAATTTTAACAGCAGAGTATTACATGTAATATTAAAAACTAGGTTCTGTGTTGGCAAAGAAAAATATCAGGATCAGGGTCTGCAATGATTCTGTTTTCAATGATTTATTACATATTAACAATATTTGATTTGCGATGAAAATATCTTATTTTATGGTTTTAAGATTTAGGAAATTTAATACTAAGTTCTGGATCAAAAGAAGCATCAATTGTAAAATCAGGATCAATATTGGATCAACATTTTCTTAAAAAGTGATAAAGATGCATTATTTTGTATTATTTCAACATAAAATGTGTAACAAATAAGCATACACTATTGAGAAATTTTGAAATAAATTTTTTGATCCTGATTCTCATCAATAACAAGAGCAAAATTGTGGTGTTAATGCTCGTCTGTTAAAGAATTTAAGTTAAAAAGGTGCATAACTCCATAAATATTGCTTTCATAATTTTGTCAACCTACAACTGCACCTTGTCTCCAAATTTCAAGTTAACAACTTTTGAAATAATTGAATAATGAGCTTCATAAAAGTTTCTGCATGTTGACAATGACTACAATGCCCCAGCAATTATAATAGCCTGACTTTTTCTTTACAGCAGATGAGCTAAAAATGAGGTCAGGCATGTATTTCATTACTTTTTAATAGGACTAGAAAATCACTTTCTTTTTTTTACTTTATAAGAATTCATGTACATCTATTAAACATGAGTAATAAGAAAAAAAAAATATTTTTTGAAAAATAAAAAGGTAACAAGGAAACCATATATTTTATAATTGGCCTAGTTTTCAGCCATGGCCACAAATGAGGGCAAAATTCCTTGCTAATGATATAAACCACTTCAATAAGGTACTTAATCTCAAGGTCTCAAAGTATTGTTTTAATATACTGTTAGTAACCGAGGGGATACCATTTTATATTCAGGCAAGGGTTAAAGGAGAAATGTCTTGCATGGCAAACACTACAAAATCTATCATGCTTGAAATGGCTCATTTGAAACACTGAATTATTCCCTAATTGACTCAACAAAATATATTTTAAAAAAATAAATTCTAAATAGCCTATATAATTATATACTGCTTGTTTGTAACGTCACTTTTCATTGGATAAAATCGTGACACTTATATAAATTTATATACACAGCTGCTGTCAATTTATGAAAAACATGCTTGCTGTATTATAAATTTGTTATAAATATTTCTGCCAGGTTATATGACCGTATATAAACGGTTGTTTGCAATGTAACCCGAGTCGTTATTTTTAAACAGCCATTTATATAAGGCCATATAACCTGTCAAAAAATCTTTATAACTACTAATAATATAAGTACCAGTAGATATAAATAGGATGGTAATGTTAAGATAATAATAATAATAATAAAGTCTTTATTTAAAGAGGCTACACAGTTGCAACAAAGGCAATCTACCCTGTGGGCCTCATAAAATGTACATATTTACAATCATACAGTTGTGAATAACATGAAATATTATGCAATAACATTAACATAATTATTTTGATATTGCAAATAGACAATAATGATAATAATTATATAAAGTGCACAATAAAATATACAGTGAACAAGGCATTTCAAAATTACAAATAAACCTTTGACAATAACAATATTTCAATTAGAGCAGTGTTTTTCTTATAATTTTATATTTGATTTGTCTTTTTCCAATTTTCTATGTATTTATGTTTAAAGTTTTGAAGTGATTGTGCAGAGCGTATGCTGATTGGTATTTCATTCCAAATTTTTGATCCTAAATAGTTTAAACTTTTTCTGAAAAATTCTACTTTTGGTTTTGGTTGGTATATGTTAAGTTTTGAATCTGTTGAACGTGGGGTGCGAGAATGAATAGTATGGTTGAAGGTAAATTTTTGTTTTAAGTACTCTGGGCAAATATTGTTAATTGACTTATATACCATAATTGCTTGTTTATATTTGACTTGGTCTGGGAATTTCATCCAGTTTAATAAAATGAATAGATTTTCAGTCGGGGCATCATATGGTTGATCTAGTATAATCCTAGCTGCTCTTTTTTGAAATCAAACTATGGATTGTATTTGCTCCAAATTACAATTTCCCCAGATAGAGCAACAATAGTCTAAGTGAGGTAGTATGTAGGAGTTAAAAAATAGTTTTCTAATGGGAATGTCTATGAAATATTTAATTCTTTGCAGTAGGTATAATTTGGAATTGCACTTTTTTAACACATAATAATGTGTGTATAATGCATCATATGAAATATCATAAACAAAACAAACTGTAAGATAATGAAAGGTTTACGTATGTTGTAATGTGATAATCTATGACAACATGTAAATACTTACAGCTACAGATTTCACAGCTTTAATGAGTTTCTTGCTCTCCAGATTCTTCAGTATCTTGTTAACTTGTGTCAATAACAGGTTAGACTTAAACCTAATGTCCCTTATCCAGATTCCTGTAAATGTTAAACACCATATTCTATAATTTGTTGCAAAATAGATAGCTTGCCAATTTGAATTATTTGTTGTGTATCAATAGAAGGTCAATGCCCCTTTTTCATGCATTAACATCTACAGAAGCACAGAGATGCATTTAAAAGCCAAGCCCAGGCAAGTGAATGAATAAGTCTGAGGGCTTCTGCAAATGTGAATGCATATGTGATTGTATATGTCTGATTTGGTTATTTTGCTTTATTTGTTTATTGTATAAATTAGAACTCCGCGAGTCGGATGTGTCGCTTTGTGAACAATATAGTTTAGGAGAAATGGCCAATACAAAAATGAAATATGAAAATTAACACAGGGCAATAACTCAAAAAATAAGAAGTGAAGAGGAGCAGTTTCTGTGCACTGCACTTCTTACCAATAAGATCTATCATTCAATGAAGTTTCATGTCCGTAGCTTTTATAATTGATGAGAAATGGCCTGGACAAAAATAAAGTATGAAAATTAATAAAGGGTAATTACTGAAAAATAAGAAATGCAGAGTACCGATTCTTATGCACTGCACTTCTTCTTAATGAGATATATCATCCTATGAAGTTTCATGTCCTTGGCTTTAACACTTTAGGAGAAATGGCCTGGACAAAAATAAAGTATGAAAATTAACAAAGGGCAATAACTCAAAAAATAAGAAATACAGAGTACCGTTTCTTGTGCATTGCACTTCTTCTTAATGAGATCTATCATCCTATGAAGTTTCAAGTCCATAGCTTTTATAGTTGAAGAGAAATGGCCTGGACAAAATTAAAGTATGAAAATTAACAAAGGGCAATAACTCAAAAATTATGAAGTGCAGAGAACCGGTCCTTGAGCACTGCACTTCTGGTTATTAAAAGAAGCATGCATACCAAGTTTGAAGTCAATCCGACTTATAGTGACTGAGTTATGGGGACGCTGACAAAGACGTGGACGCCGACAAAAGTAACCCCTATATATCGCCTTTTGAAGGCGACACAAAAAAACCAGTTTTGTCATGCTTTTATCTGCTGGTGAGACGTCATTTTACAACATATATTGATAATGTAATTATTGCAGTCAGCTGTTTTTACATGGCTACCTGAGTCACACATGTTAAAACTAGAAATGTGTCATCATGCCACGGATGCCCCCGCATGCAGCCAAAATTTCAGATGTTATAATATTTAGTTCCAAATTTGTTTGCACAAATTATTTTTTTCATTTTAAGTTCAAAGCCCTTAAAACTTTTCAGTGTTAACACAAACCATTTCCATACAATGTTCAAGGCACTGAAATAATTCAGTCTTAACCTTTTGAAAATAGCATATTTCATATTTGTAGCCAAAATAATGGCTACATACATTTCCACAAAAGTATGAGTGCTAAAACTGAAAGTTCAAAATTTTTCCAACATTCAAGAAAGACAAGTTTGTCCAAAATCATTGAACCACGACCAAATTCAAACTTAAACTGCTTATTCCTAAGATGTATCTATATTATTTTCAAAGTGAAAGGGACATAACTCTGCCAAAAAAACCATGACCAAATTCCAACTTGACCTGCCCATTCCTTTGACATATCCATATGTCAAATTTGAGTTGAATATGTAACACTGTTGGGTAGATAATGAACAAAAACTGTAAATTTCATATTAGGGGCTTTACTCTGCCAAAAATCATTGAACCATGACCAAATTAGAACTTGACCAGCGCATTCCTTTGACATATCCATATGTGAAGTTTGAGTTGAATATATTGTACTGTTGGGGAGATAATGAACGGAAACTGAAAATTTCATATTATTTTCAAAGTGAAAGGGGCATAACTCTGCCAAAAATCATCGAACCATGACCAAATTGGAACTTGACCTCTATTTTATCATGACATATCTATATGTCAAATTTGAATTGAATGTGTTGTACCATTGGGGAGATAATGAACGGAAACTGAAAATTTCATATTATTTTCAAAGAAAAAGGGGCATAACTCTGCCAAAAATCATCGAACCATGACCAAATTCGAACTTGACCTGTATTTTTTTCATGACATATCCATATGTCAAATTTGAGTTGAATGAGTGCAACCGTTACTAAGATAATGAACGGAAACTGATGATGACGGAATGACAGAATGACGGAATGACGAAAGGACGGAACAGGGTGACACTATATGCCCCGGCCATTACATGGCGGGGGCATAAAAACATGCAACAAAGTGTATTAAATGTGATTTTATTAATTAATGCATGTTTTATTTCCCTTAAAAGTATACCAGCATGCACAATTTTTATGCAAGCAATTTAGTTTAAATACCACAAGGGAATTTATCTCTTTTATATAAGTAGGCTATCAAATTGTTGGTTTTACTCAGGTTTCATGTGAGGAAGATGTGAGGATGCTATCTTGGTAGCTTACATAATGTTGGTGGCCCTAGTTACCATCCAATCTGTCCCTGAAGAATGAATTTAGTGGGGCACATGATGTCTGCTAGTAAAACAGGAAAGTCAACTATGGCCAGTGACTTAAAACTAAACCAAGAACTTTTATAAGGTTGGTTTCAAAGGTAGGTTGATTCTTTTATTCTGCCATAAACATCTACATATTCTTATTCAAAATATTAAAATATTACATGTACATCCATTGTGATAAAAGAAAGAAAATATATACAATGTACATTTTAATACTACATTTTAATTATAGTTTAATGTAAACATGTTTTTTGGTGTTTTTCTGTTTTGTTTTTTGTTGTTTTTTCCCCCATGCATATCAAGTCTTTCCAGCAATTTTACATGAAGACACAGAAAAGAAGAAAACTTGAGGACAGACAGGGTTAGAGTTGGCAAGAACAACAACAATATTTTACTTCCAGTGTTACCTTTATTGCCTGCATCTTTGATGATTTGATAGACAACTTTTTCCTGCTGATCACCCCCTTTCAGAACATCTGTTGCTCCCGGGTCCTTCAACTTGTATATCAGCTTCCCTGTACTGCTCTTCAACAAATCTATACGGCCCTACAATATACCGAGTCAATTATTTACTAAAAAATTATAAATATTTCTGAAGTCACATGTACTTATTTACAAATATTTCAATACAATGTATTTCTGAATTTACTGGTGGAGAAATACCTCAGGTGCAGTTTCATCATTATTTCAAGCAGAGGCTGAACCCTGAATAGAAGAAATTACTTCCAACTAAAAATGAGTTGTCACGCCATGGATGCCCCCGCATGCAGCCCAGAATTTCAGATGTTATAATATTTAGTTCCAAATTTGTTTGCACAAACTTTTTTTTTCATTTTAAGTTAAAAACTCTTAAAACTATTCAATGTAAACACAAACCATTTTTATACAAAGTTCAAGGCACTGAAACTATTCAGTGTTAACCATTTGTAAATTGCATATTGCAGATTTGTAGACAAAATAATGACTACATACATTTCCACAAAAGTATGAGTGTTGAAACATTCAAGAGTGATAACTTTGTCCAAAATCATTGAACCACAACCAAATTCAAACTTGAAAAGGGTAACTTATTTTACACACAATATGCTGAAATAGATTTGCTGTTTTTTATTTTCATTAAGTGTACAAAAGGGAGAAAAGTCAGGAAAATGTGATGTAACTAGACAGAATACACTCATAAACATTGTCTTTATGACCCAAGGAATATCAAATGAAAACCAAGACTTTTTTGTCCTGAATTGTGAATAAAATACTAAGTAGATCTTGCTCATGCTAAAACAATACAAATAATGCCATTTTTAAATGGCTAGTTTATTGCTATTTATTGTCTGATTTTCAGAGTTCTTACACCAGTGAAAAGCTCAAGATCTTAGTTTCATATTAATATTACCTGCTGCAACATACCTGATGACCCAAAAGGTAATTAACTTGACAGTTTAACTTACCACCAGTAGGCCATTTTACATTATGATTTATATAGAGACATATGCATATCTTTACTTGAAACACAACTGATTGGAATAGCCTGTAGTCTGTTAATTCCAAAACTGTTTATCAATGTGTTATAGCCTTTGACTTTATGTCTTAAATTTAAAGCTATTTGCACATGTAAGGAAAATCCAACTTGCCAAAACAGGTCAGCAATGTAGATGGAAGGTTCAAAGACACTCAAACTAAACAGAATGATAAATACTATCACAAATAACTGTTTTTTGTCACCTTAGTGCACTAATGGTTAACTCATTATATAATTTAATAGGAGTTTACCCATTACTGCACTAAACTGATGATTTTATCTTTAACACGCTAGACCATGTACAACAGCTGATGCATGTTTGTTTGTATTAGCATCAGAAATGTTGTTGTATACACTATTATACCTTCGTTTTATTTAGAATAAGTAAAAAAATACATGCTTTTTCAAGTTGTTGCTTCTGATGAGTTATAAAAGCTTCATCAAAACAAGAATACTCACTGTTGATAAAAGCCTGTTAATGGCAGTAACTCGCTGTTTAACATCAAACTGTGGCATGTCCTCTTGTATCAAAGCATCATTGATTCCATCTGGATTCTTATGACATAACATTATAATCCTGAAAATAAATAACTTGTATCACTCTAGCTTTACAAACCACTTACGAACTTTCGCTATATATATATGCAGTATTTCTATAGAGTGGAAGTCAGTGCGTGAGCATGCGCTTAGCCATGTCTCATTCAGTTACCGTTCACGTTTCCTACGTGGTTGCTACGAAGCGCCATGTGTTCGGCTGCCACTACACTTAGTGTACATCGCTTTCACAACTAATATATCAGTCAAACAACACCTATAAACTACACATAGTTGTTTTTCATATTAATATTTTGCATTTTCAACTGATAGTCAAACAAATATCTCAATATTCTTTCGCATTTAACATATTGTTTACATATGATGACAGCTAGTTAGAAGGCGAACGCTGTGTATAGATTACTTCCGGTCCAGAAAATTCCTTTGTTTACCATAAAAACTCATTGTTTACCACAGCAACCGCATATATAGATAGAAAATAAATTATATATGGTTATTGAAAAAAATGTCACTTTCTTATCGAATAATTGAATTTATAAATACAAAGTCTTTAGAAAAAGTCCCTTCTTTGAGTTCATTTAAAAGGGGAACAAATTGGCAGAATTCTAGACAGGGGAAACATGAGTTATCATTCGTGGCTAGGGAATATGGCCAACTAAAATCATGCAAGCGAGTTTGTAAGTGCAAACTATGTTAATAACCAAGGAATATAAATGAAAACCTAGAGTTATCTGTCCAGAATTGCGAGTAAAATCAACTTTTAAAATGCTAAAACAATACAAATAACGTCATTTTTAAACTATAAGTGTATTGCAATTTATAGTTAGATTTTCAAAATACTCACACCAATTATAAGCTCAAGATCTAGGCTTTGTATCAATATCAATTTCAACATTTCTTCTAACACAGATTATTTATTAAACTTTGAGTCTTTCCATTTTACATATATTTTAAACTGAGAGATATGCAGCCAGTTATCTTTAATCAAAACACAACTGATCAATAAAAATAGCCAATCATCTGCTAGATCAAATACTGTTTATTAGTGTATTGCTAAGAGTATGTAAATAACAAAATTAGCCAATCATGCTGCTACAATGTCCTGTTACTAGAGTGTTCCATTAACAGAAGCATAAGTTTGTAAAATAACATAGTTCCCCAATCCCTAGATAGGTGCCCTGCCTAAAATAACCTGGCCCACAATACCAAAGAAGTGGCTGGGATATTTCTATGGTTGAATTTCACCACAGATGTTCTATTGCTGGATCATATGAAACATATATATACCGTCTTTTCCTTATCCAAGATAATCTAGCAGATAACGATTTCCAATTGTGCCCCCAATTGAAAGAAATCATAAATATTTGATCGCGAAAACCTATTACTTTTAAATTTTTCCTGAAAAAGAATGATACTATGCTTATTTTAATAACACTACCGTGTTTCTAGGTCAGTATCCTCAACAGGTTCTTGTTTGACATTCGTTGCCATGGCCAAAATAAGCTGTGTTTCTCCTTTTTTCTTTAAAATTAAGATGTTTTCATCATCCGGAAGTGATACTAGTGCTAGACAGTTCGGTCGTAAGTAATTTCGGTATCAAGGCAATTCAACAAACAGACATTCTGACGATAAAAATGTAAGACATATTCTAGTGATTTAAATGATCTTTAACCAATACCTGATATAAATGATTAAAATCCACTGTTCAAAATCAAGTGATCAAAGGAAATATAAAGAAGAAACTGGGCACATATGCAATGCAATTGCATATGGATTAGTAGGCTAGTAATCAAGAAGGCCTAGTAACAACATTTTACCAAAATGTTTAAATACATACATGTGTAAATATTTAAATTGAATTGACTTAAATCTGATGAAAAAGTAAATCAGTTGCATCTAAATTACATAAAAATTATCATATGACATATTTAATAATCTTTAAAATTATCAGCAAACATTGAAATGTGAACAATTTTAAAGATCATGCAACTCAATTTTTTATGATTTTATATCATAAATATAATGCTCAAATGAAGAATTATTAATACTGTAAGTTCCTTAAAGCATTATTTGTACATATATTACTGAATTTACATTTCATGTTAATAAAGGGAGGTCATTAGAAATTCATTTTCTATAAAAAGTCAATTTTTTCAATAAGAACTGTATATGCATACATGTATATCTAAATGATTAGATATAATGTGGAAAAATATTTGCAGTACATTTTTTACATATTCTTCGATGTTTGAAAATTGTTTTAGAAACATAATTACATACATATAAAATTTCACTTAAATGTGGTAACAACCTTAATTACAACATGCAGGACTTTTCTATGTCTAAACCAAATACATACATGTACGCATGTACATTTATGTTATTGCATGTAAATTATTCATTTAAAAGAACTCGCCAAATTTTGGGTGAAATATTTTGTATTTCCTCATGCTCTATATTATAATTTTTTTTAAAAATGTCTCAGAAAATTAATGTTATTCGTCCGTCTGTTTTTATTTTAAACTATTTATAAAAGCATTTCCTCATCTAAAAATTGTCATAAATAGTCATATATTACCCTAGAAAAATCCGTCTATGGAACATATATTACCACCTAATGTACACGCAGAAGTAACATTAGAAGCATTTATTTCATTGTCAATTGTCATTGTGACTCTACTGGTCTCAATATCAAGAAATTAATTCATCAATCATATGTACAAATTTTAAGATATTTTACTTTTTTCAATATATTTAACCAGTACCAATTTGTCATAATCTTCAGTGAATTGAAGGAGTCCGGTATTCACAAGAAGAAAAGAAGATGAAACACTACTGGCTTCCAAGCAGTTTCCGTTCCCAAATGGCACCTTTTAACAAATAAAATAAAAATCTGTCTACGGAAGAGTACAAAACTTTGACAGAACAAAGTTAGGTACCTGTCCAGCATAATTTGAATATAATTCAGTACCAGTAAGAAATATGAAGATGATTTCACCAAAGAAATATGACTTCCCAGCCTTTTTCTTTGCTGTCTGCAAATATATTGTTAAAAACTATTGATTTACCTGGAATGGGTCTCAGTTATTGCTCATAGACATTCAAATAGAATTCCCCAGGTTTTTCTAATTTCAAAATGTCGCAATTTCTCTAAGGTAACTTTAAACAACAGACAAGACTTCAAAATATATAAATCGATGTACTATTCTAACTGTTGCTTTGCATAGTAAACAAATTTGGTATGAGTATCTCAAATAAAAGTACAGGTATTTGGGAGTGAAATGTCTATATGGACAAAACAGGAGTGAAATGTCTACAGTGTGAAATGTCTTGGAAGTGAAACATCTTAATTAGGTGGACTTTCTTGCTAGCTGATATTTTGTCTGCCTTAAATATGACGTGGCAAAACAAGTTTGTTTTGAACAAGCTCAATGAACATAGCCAACAACTTTTTCAATTGGCTTTTCAATTTTGTCGTTTTTTACAAGCGTTCTTAAGGGATTCCGTATTTTTCCTCTATTTTCTTTCCCAATGCTCAATATGTTTCATGTATTTTTTTCCTACTCAACTTTAAGTTAAATATATCATATAATTATTAAACTTTTTGATCGGTACCTCTATTCGAGGGTCGAAATGTATATGGGTTGAATTGGATTAAATCCAACTGTCCTTTTACCGAAATGGACCGAAATGTCCAGAAAAAAAAATTCGAAAATACTAGAGTTATTTTCTCTTTTAAAAATTAGGATTAGGGAGTATTTATTCTCTTTTATGTCAAGAAATCCGATAGAAATACTTAAAAACTTATAAATATGATATTCTAAGTAAATTTTTACTTTCTTATTCAACAAAGTATTTTTTGGCGAAACTAACCATGACTGTCATGGCGGAAGGAGAGGTATTTTTTTTGAGAAAACAAATTTATTGTTTATTCATGCTATTTAGTGAAAATCAAACTTATTTTTTGTTTGTTTTGTTTCAGTTTGAACTGACGGAGGGCTGCAGATTGCCTGTTTTGCTAACTAATGGAGAAGGATGGCGTAAGATTATTTGTTTACGTTTTTATTCGTACTCAGAATTTTCGTACACATTAAAATAAAGGCAATCTCCTGGATTTAACTCCTATCAATACATTAGAAGTACAACTTGTATATAATACACTTAAGAAAATAGAATCATCCTTATATATACTCTTGGCTAGCTGTATGAAGTCACATACGCCAGAGTTGACTTCAAACCACTTGCCCCTCATCGCTGTGGGTTCGAATCCCTACAGGGACTTTGGATTCTTTCATGTGAGGAAGCTATCCAGCTAGCTTACGGAACGTCGGTGGTTCTACTTAGGTGCCCGTTAATAATGCACGGAGGGGCACCTGAGGTCTTCCTCCACCAGTAAAGCTGGAACGTCGCGATATGACCTATACTGTGTCGATGTGACGTAAAACCAAAACAAACAAACAAACACATACGCCATGTATGGCCTTTAAACACTGTAAGGATAGTTGTCCGGCATTAAATTTTTCAATGATAAGTTTTTGGCAGTAATAAAGGCACAGTAAATCGCAAGTTTAATTAGCTTGTTGCTAAATATTAACATGTTTTGTAAATATTTTTGCGGATTATGTTTGGCAATTTCCACTTTATCACCATATTGTACCTGGTATATTTTGTGTATCAAAGTAAAAAAGTCAACCAGATAAAATGTGCTTCCATCTTTATCCCTTTTTGTATATAAATTCTGCTTTATGTATTGTATAAATTTGAGCCTCTGGGTTCAAATGATATGTTTTATTTTTCCAGATTGGGCTGAGATTCTTGGGAAGAAGGAAGTCAATGGGAAACCACTTTTCTATGTCCATTATGATGACTGTAAGTTGTAAAAACCTATAAAGTGATAATTTCATTAATTCTTGTACATGTTTGTCCAGAAATTTGTTATAGTTTGCCAATAATATTTATACTTATTTTGGATGTACAGTTAAACCTGTGTAAAGCAGTCCTCTGCAGAGCACTTACCTCTTTACATTAACAATACCAATTGCTCAAAACTGAATTGAAACTGCACACTCAATTTTACTGTTCTAGTAATTTCACTTCTCATCAGCAACCAAAATATTCATTTCTGAAATGCCAGGTCTTGGTCTGAAGAGGTTGTACTGTATATTTATTTGAGATAAAGCTAAATTAAAAATGATACATGTTTTGATTACACAAATGATATATTTTTACACAATTTGTAATAGAGTATTAAAGTTACATTAAATAAATATGTTAAAATATTTTTGCCGTCGGCCTAAAAACCAAGCATTCTACAGTTTCATTAACCTTTTTAACAGTATCATTGTAAATCTCATCAAATATTGTTCATAAATTAGGATTTTAAATGGAAAACCCCACGGTAACACTAAAGTTCGTATACGAATTTTAACATGCAAATGAAGACTAAAATCAGCTCGTGTATGCGCTACGTCACGGTGTTTTAGTTGCTAAATATAAGATTTTCTTGTGCAAACACACTTTTACCGTTTAAGCACTAGGCCTGGGGTTCAGAAAAAATAATCATCTCATAAAAAAGATTAAAAGTGTACGACAAAATCCGTTACAATGCGGAAATATACTGTTAAATTAGGACTGCTACTTATAGTCATGTTTGTTGATTTAATATTGATGTACGGATGATCTGAAGGCGGAGTTTCTCATGCAAACAGAAAATGTACTTTCGAATTCGCCACAGTGAGGTTGCACATTTGTATGCTCATTAAACTCATTTTGGTTGTCTGGACACCAAAATAAGATCTGGGGTCGATATGAAACCCATTTTATTAATGAAATGTCGCTATTTCTTTTTTTTTGTGAAATTCATTTAATGTAACTTTAAATGATAACCATTTTTGACATTTTTTTATAGCAAAATAATATTTTGTTACATAAATTTTTTATTCAATTGTGTCTAATTTGATGATTATTAAATTTTAAACACAAAATGCCAATGAGGTAAAATAATATTGCAGCCAAGGTACATGAAAATATGGTACTATGGTTATTTTTACTTTCTTGCTTTGCTACATGTACTTAGCATTTGTTTGTATTAATTTTGTTCTTAACACATAAAAAGCCCCCCCCCCCCCCCCAGAAAAAAAAAATCATCAGAAATAGACTTTTGACTTGTGACCTCATGCCCATGGCAGAGTGGTTTAAGAGGTTGTCAACTTCTACAGCTGTGGTCACATGTTTCTCATTGCTATAGGTTCAAACCAATCTGTGAGAAAAACTGTCCAGCTAGTTTTGAGAAGTGTCGGTGGTTCTTCAGTGGTGCCAATTTGTGCTGGAAATAAGTCAACTGACCTTCACAGAATTTGGAGTTACATGCTGTTAAATCCCTATAAAAAAAACCAACAACAAAAAATGAAAACATGAAATGAAAGAAACTGATTTGTTATATAATTTTGTTATGATTATGACTAATAACTACCATATTGGTTTTCCAGTCAATAAAAGATTGGATGAGTGGGTACCAGAGGCTAGGATGGACCTCAGTAAGATGGAACATCCTAGAAAGGAACAAAAGACACCCAAGAAAGAGATTGGCAAAGCTTGTACCTCATCCAGTAGACCTTGTAGCCCAGACCCATCAGTTCTGGTATGATTAATACAAATATATTCCTTTAGTATGTAAAAGTAAGAATTAGATAGTCACCTATAGGTTTTATGTCAGTCAATAAGTAGTAATTAGTAAATTTTTCTACATTCCACATTTACTATTTATTTTTTAAATAGATTATATTTTTTTGACAAAGCTCAATTTGCTTCCAGTAACAAAGATGCTTATTCATTAATTGTCTTTTTGCAACTCATGAAAAATGTTGAAATGTGCCTAAAAATTGCAGAATTCCAATGTACATGTATATATTTGATGAATGTTTCACTTGAAATGACAGTTTCATAGCAGTTTTACTTAGGCTGTTACTTATCACTTTGAACACAAAGCATTGTTGGTATTCATCGCAACTCTTGGAAAATGTTAAAACTTGCTTAAAATTTGCAGAATTCCAATGTCTATATATGATGAATGTTTCTCTTGAAATGAACTGTCATTGCATTTTTACTTAGATTCTTACTTTTTTCAATTCAAACACAAAGTCTGTAAGCTATTATTCTGAAAAAATATACTATCAGGTACAGATTCTTACGAGTGTGGGTTCTTTGAATAAAAAGGAAAACAAATAAATTTGGGTGCAAGTATATATTTTGCGAAAGTTATTTGTGATATGAATTTGGTAAAAGTGTTTTAATAGATACATGTATATGAAGACACTGAGAGGGTGCTGTTTAAAATATTATTGGATCAACATTACAATTTATCTGCAACTAGAGGGTGTGAAATTCATGGGGATCAAAAAATGGCTTTTATCAGAGATTAAGATATATCATGTTGCTACAGATTTTACTTTTGATTTAATAGAAAGATTATAATGAGTTAATTTTGAAGATTTTAAGTTTTACACAATAATTGAAATATATATATAGAAAATTTCCAGTGATAGTCATTTAATATCTATTTACATATTTAAAAACTGACATGTTTTGTTTTTATAGAATGGAACATCTGGCTCAAACAAAAAAGCTCCTATTGGAAGCAGGAAAAGAAAACTTGATGACGACGTAAGTCTTGGCACTTAATAAAATATATTTGTATAATACTAAAGTATAAAAACCAATAAAATTTTAAGATCCCTTACAGATATATGGGAAATAGTGTCAAAGTAGGTTCTCCCATATCTTTTACTACTGTTTAATTCAACGGATTTTGTAAAATATTTTTTCAATAAAGCTTATTTTTTGTTGTGGGAGAAAAAACTCCTGGTCGAATTAGGAAAGTTGATATATTATTTGTGTATAAAGCAATGACTTCAGGAAGGTAGGGGAGCTTGATAACCTATTGTGTCTAAGACGGCAAGATTTAATTTCTTAGGATTTTTTTAAAGTCATAAAAAAAATACAACTCTCGCATTGTTTTGTGCATAAAGAAACATCACTGTAATGTTGATTTAAAAAAAAAATCGATGTACATGAACTATTTTAATGGTATACATATCTGAAAAAAGGGATTTTAAACTTTTATGCAATTATGGGAATTGGTTCATATATATACATGTATATTAGGTTGTGGCATGTACTGATTTAACTATGCTTTCGTGCACATAACATATATATTGAAATAAAGCTCGAGAATAGCCGTCATATAATTGAAATATGACTCTGTTCAAGTGATGAAAGAGTTTTTAAACTCAAAGGTGTTGGAATTTTCAAGTTTGAATGCATATTCATATTCCTTTTTATACCCCCAAAAACAAAGTTTGGGGGGGTATATAGGAGTCACCAGGTGGTCAGTCGGTCCAGACATCCGTTGCATTTTCCTTGTCCGGAGCATAACTTGAAGACTAATGGTTGGAATTCAATATAACTACATACAATGGTCAAGCACATTGAGAGGAAGTGCAGTGCACAAGAACCATAACTCTATCTCGACTAATTACAGAGTTACTGCCCTTTGTTACTTTTCCTTGTCCGGGGCATAACTTGAAAACTACTGGTTGGAATTCAAAACAACTTCAAACAATTGTCAAACACAATAAGGGGAAGTGCAGTGCACAAGAACCATAACTCTATCTAAAGTAATTACAGAGTTATTGCCCTTTGTTACCTTTCCATTGCTTTCTTTTGTCCCGACCATAACTTGAAGACTAATTGTTGGAATTCATTATAATTTCATAAAATGGTCAAGCACATTGAGAGGAAGTGCAGTGTACAAGGACCATAACTCCATCTTGACTTATTACAGAGTTACTGCCCTTTGTTACTTTTCCTTGTCCAGAGCATGACTTGAAAACTACTGGTTGGAATTCAAGACAACTTCATACAATGGTCAAGCCCTTTGTTACTTTTCCATTGCTTTTTTTGTACGGAGCATAACTTGAAGACTAATGGTTGGAATTCAATATAACTTCATACAATGGTCAAGCACATTGCGAGGAAGTGCAGTGCACAAGAACCATAACTCCATCTTGACTAATTACAGAGTTATTGCCCTTTGTTACTTTTCCTTGTCCAGAGCATAACTTGAAAACTACTGTTTGGAATTCAATACAACTTCATACAGTTGTCAAGGACATTAAAAGGAAATGCAGTGCACAAGAGCAATAACTCCATTTTGACAAAATACAGAGTTACTGCCCTTTGATACTTTTCCTTGTCCGGAGCATAACTTAAAACGTACTGGTTGGAATTCGAAACAACTTCATACAATGGTCAAGCACAATAAGAGGAAGTGCAGTGCACAAGAACTATAACTCCATCTTCAGTATTTATAGAGTTATTGCCCTTTGTTCATTTTCCTTGTCTTTCTGGACTTATTACAGAGTAATTCAATAAACTTCATCAATGGCCAACCACATTGAAAGGAAATGCAACATACAAGAACCACAACTATCTTTAATTGTCCACAACCATAACTCTATATTTTAATTCTTTTACAAGATATTCTGTTACTAGGTATTCTGTTACATCCTCATTTCTGAAGCAGTCTTGTGGGGGGTATTAATCACATTTAGTGATAGTTCTAGTTTTTTTTTCAAAATAATCGGGATTGATTTAGATTACCCATATGCTATTGATATTTTTTTAATTTGAAATTGTACTCACAAGTATGAACAAATGTTTAGCACTTAAAATTATATAAACAAGGTCTGTTATAAATTGCACTTAGTCTAATGTACATTGATAGGAAAGAAGTAAAATTGTATGACTTAAAGGCACTGTATGTATTTCAGGGATTTTTTTTGGCTTATTTTATAGCCGTTATTGGGTCATATTCCCAATTGAAAATAGTATATTATTTTCCCAATTCACAGGAAAAAATTCCCAATTGAAAGTTACAAAATAAAATTATTAAATAAAAATTCTAAAATCTCTGCAAATTAAGGCTTCTTCACTGTAATAGTGCTTAAATGTTTGAAGATTCCATCATAGACAGTAATTGATTGCATACATTTAATCACTGCAAAACTTCAGTCGTGCATTTTTCCCCAATTTTTAACAAAGCACCGCTGAAATTCCCAATTCCATGGGTATAGGTCGTGTTCCCAAAATCCTGGAAAAAATCCCTGTATTTATGCACCAGTCAGCTGTCACCACCAATGGCAACACCCCTGGGGAATATCAGGGATGGTTAAAATTTTCAAACATCTCATTCAGCAAAATAGAATTTACACCAATATTAATATTAGATATATTATACACATAGAGACTTTTGTAAGTTTAACAGTTTTAGTTGTTGAACAGAGAGTTTATGCAGTATGGGTGGGGGTAGGGTCGTGTTTGAATGTTTAGACTGAATTCTACAGTATTTTGTGATTTTTTTTTTCTGCATTTTGTACCAGATTTACTATAATGATTGAAGAATAAAGGCTTGGTTTAAATAGGAATGACCATGGCACAAAATGGATCCTGAAAATCAGGATGCTTTATATATAGTTCAACTATGCTTTGCTTTATCTTCAAATGTAGATAGATAAATTTCTATGCGAATCTGCGAGACATGCCTCTTTCTGCATGACTATTTTTGTGGTATGAATGTTGTCTTTACAGATTGTGGATCCGATATCTGTGCCATCAACACCTAGTGCAAGTTTGGTAAGAGTTTTATACAGGGCCTTGTATATAGCTATACAGGTCTTGACACTTAGTTTTTGAGCAGGTGTGGTCTGTAGAAATGTTTGGTGGACATTTATTTATTTGTCATACATATTTTTTTATTCAATTTTTCATTAGTTTTAATTCCAAACAATACTACTTGAAATTGCTGATGATATTATTAACATAAGAAAAAAAACAACAACAGATGCTTTTTATTTTTTCACTCAATCTGTCAATTTTTTACATTCAAAAGTGCTGTGATTTCTGTTGTAAAGTTATGAGATCTTACTCTCTCTGAAAAAAAAAAACACACATAAAACATCAACCAGAAAAAATCAGTGGTATGAGGACCTAGCTGCTTGAAAGATCATTAAGTCCTTGCTTAATTTTTAAGGGACTTCATTAAAGTCAAAAAGCCTAAAAACATAAAATTTGAGATTCTTATTTAGATCAAGTGAAGTAATTAAACTGGATGAATCTGCAAAGGAAAATAAAAGAATATGCTGAGAATTAAATTAAAAGCGATTTCTTGTGCGTGAGTCTTAGCCCAATTTGAGTGGAAAGCATTGCAATGCTTTTCATTTTTTGGTCAATTTTGACAATAAAAACAATTGATTCTGAAAAAAAAACAGAGTTAAGGAAGTGTCTGAAAATTTGCACACAAGTTATTGGTCGAGGATCTACATCAAATGGTACAAAATATTTCAAGTAAACCCCAGTGGAGTCCCTTTAAGTGGTCTCAGACCACCGTTGATGTTGAGGACTACATAATGCCATCAAGAATAATGTAGAAATTTAAATACTTAGTGTTAATTTTTGACCTATCTTAGAATGAGTTGATGTCTGTTTAACTGGGAAAATTCATAATCTTTAAATTGATGGGTGAGGGGCAGGGAATTTAGCAATTTTATGAGGAAAAATTAAAAGTGGTGCTAGTATGGACCATATAAAACACTGGGAACTTGATCGAAATTAGATTCTTAAAAGATCATGATATTTTTTAAAAGATTTAAAAATTGTTTAGATTTTTGGACTTCATGTAAAAAATATTTCAAGAATGCAAAGTAGAAGTACTTGCACTACTTTAATTGAGTTGTAAAATATGATATATATACAATTGTATATATATTTTCAGGGTGTAGATTCTAGTGGAAGTAGATCAGCCACGCCATCTATTCCTCATATTAATTCATCTGTAAGTATAATTAAGGAATCTGCTTTAAATTTGGTGTTAACAGTATTAAGATTAGTTATCATGCAGGTTATTTCTGACACTATTATTGAAGTTTAAGATGACTCCAGAAGTAGTGCAATTATAGGCAATGAAGGCAATTATAGGCAATGAAGGATTATTTAAACTACCAACGTTTCAACAAATGGATGCTAGTGGCTGAATATATCCTTGTATCAATCCGTGCCATCTGTCATGGTCCGCACAGTTTGCTGTTCAGTCAGTACATATTTTGAGATTTTCTCTGAAAATGATGAGTGGTTTTGACCAGATTGAAAGATGGACCAGTCTATTTAAGATATTTAGTGTGGTAAGGGTTTAATTTTACAAAACTTCAGTTTGAATAGATGTAATAACTATTTGCTAATGTTCTCCCACAGATTGATAATTTATACTAGTAAATGATATATTGGCGGCATGGTCAAGTGTTTAAAGTGGCTGCATAGCCAAATAGTCAACGGATCAGACTAATAATCTTAAGGATCTCTAGCCTGTGGGTTAATACCCCATCTGGGGCAAGTCATTGTCTCTTTGAGCAAAAAAACTTTACACTCAATGCTCTGTACTGGTTTGTTCCAGGAACAGATTTGAAAGTGTGTCTATAATCTATAAGCATTAGCTTATAACTTCCTACACAATTGAACTAAAATAAATTCTGTATAAACCAAATGATATATTCTGTATGTAACAGCAGGAATTGAATGCAGATGGTAGTACAACACCGCTAGCACCTAGACAGACTGGTAGTATGGTAGCTCACCATGATGATGCCGTGACTAGAATGAAAAATATAGAACTTATAGAACTAGGACAGTTCAGAATTAAACCTTGGTACTTTTCTCCATACCCTCAAGTAAGTGAAGTTCTTTATAATATGTTTCAAGGTACTCTTTATTATGCAGAGATTTTGTGTTATAGACTTGTTTTATACAATTTTTAATCCTCCTTTCATAGTTCCAGGTATTTCATTTTCAAAATGAAACAAGATATGTTTGTAAAACATGTATGCCCCCTATCGGCAGCCAATTAGTCATGTGATCAGGTTATTATGCATGACTTCTGACCCAGTGAACAAAAAATTAATAAGGGTTATCTACTGGTCATGACTAGTCACAAGGTAATAATTATTGTGACCCCATAGGTTGTGTGCAGCAATTTAAGTTATTACAAATCTTACCAATTAATATATGCATAAATTTTATGAATCACGAAGGCCTCATTAATGACAGCCAAGTTGATATATTACATAAGACCTTCAAATGTGTATACCAAAAGCATTTTTAGTTTAATATAAAAATATCAACCATGGCAACTTGAGTTGTTGAGTTATTGGTCACAAACCATCTTTAAGTACAAGGTCAATATGTCACTGACCCCTTGACCCCAAAATCAATAGGGGTCATCTGCTGGTCATGAACAATCATCATACCAAGTTTGAAGTTCCTAGGCCTAAGCCTTCTTTAGTTATTGATCGGAAACCGTTTTTACCTACAAGGTCAATGTGACCTTGACCTTTGACCTCTTGACCCCAAAATCAATAGGGGTCATCTGCTGGTCATGACCAATCATCACACCAAGTTTGAAGTTCCTAGGCCTAAGCGTTCTTTAGTTATTGATCGGAAACAGTTTTTACCTACAATGTCAATGTGACCTTGACCTTTGACCCCTTGACCCCAAAATCAATAGGGGTAATCTGCTGGTCATGATCAATCATCATACCAAGTTTGAAGTTCCTAGGCCTAAGCATTCTTTAGTAATTGATTGGAAACCGTTTTTTTACCTTCAAGGTCAATGCGACCTTGACCTTTGACCCAAAAATCAATAGGGGTCATCTGCTGGTCATGACCAATCATCATACCAAGTTTGAAGTTCCTTGGCCTAAGCTTTCTTAAGTTATTGATCAGAAACAGTTTTTACTTACAAGGTCAATGTGACCTTGACCCATTGACCCCTTGACCCCAAAATCAATGGGGTCATCTGCTGGTCATGACCAATCATCATACCAAGTTTGAAATTCGTAGGCCTAAGTGTTCTTTAGTTATTGATCGGAAACCGTTTTTTCTTACAAGGTCAATGTGACCTTGACCTTTGACCCCTTGACCCCAAAATCAATAGGGGTCATCTGCTGGTCATGACCAATCATCACACCAAGTTTGAAGTACCTTGGCCTACTTCTTTAGTTATTGATCGGAAGCCCTTTTTACCTACAAGGTCAATGTGACCTTGACCTTTGACCCCTTGACCCCAAAATCAATAGGGGTCATCTGCTGGTCATGACCAATAATCACACAAAGTTTGAAGTTCCTAGGCCTAAGCGTTCTTTAGTTATTGATCGGAAACCGTTTTTACTTACAAGGTCAATGTGACCTTGACCTTTGACCCCTTGACCCCAAAATCAATAGGGGTCATCTACTGGTCATGACCAATCATCATACCAAGTTTGAAGTTCCTAGGCCTAAGCGTTCTTTAGTTATTGATCGGAAACCGTTTTTACTTACAAGGTCAATGTGACCTTGACCTTTGACCCCTTGACCCCAAAATCAATAGGGGTCATCTACTGGTCATGACCAATCATCATACCAAGTTTGAAGTTCCTAGGCCTAAGCGTTCTTTAGTTATTGATCGGAAACCGTTTTTACTTACAAGGTCAATGTGACCTTGACCTTTGACCCCTTGACCCCAAAATCAATAGGGGTCATCTACTGGTCATGACCAATCATCATACCAAGTTTGAAGTTCCTAGGCCTAAGCATTCTTTAGTTATTGATCGGAAACCGTTTTTACTTACAAGGTCAATGTGACCTTGACCTTTGACCCCTTGACCCCAAAATCAATAGGGGTGATCTACTGGTCATGACCAATCACCATACCAAGTTTGAAGTCCCTAGGCCTAAGGGTTCTTTAGTTATCACTCAAAAACCATTTGGTCTACGGACAGACGGACAGACAGACAAATGCAAAGCTACCCCCTCTTCTTTGAAGTGGGGGCATAAAAATTTGACAGCCCATAATAGTCAGGTATATGATGGTTTGCAGGGCTAGCACTGGTAATGGTTTTCTTTAAGGCATTTTTTTTCACAGCAGACATTGTGTTCCTGTATTTTATTTTCAAGGCAATAGTACTGTGAAAATAATCCAGATTTCATTTTTATATTTAACAGTCTGCTATTGCAAACTTTACTTACATGTATTGATTTATAGTTTGATTTCATGTACATTTGTATTGTGCATGCTGGCTATTCTCTACATGGTGACATACGTCTTTTATCATGACCATTCTCATGCAAATATGAATAATAAGACTGATTGATATAGATTAAAAGGAAATAATTTGATGCAGATATGAAGAGATTATTTCATTGATACATATATTACATGATATTGTCTCGGGGTATGATGACATTTGTTTGGTTTCTTATGATTGAACCGTATATTTCTGTTGTGAAGTAATTGAAATGTCTCTGGCTTAATCAACTATTATCCTACTTGAACAATAAATGATTACGATTAGCCTTTGCCACCAGTTGAGAGCCAGGGGCAGCCTGCACATCCATACAGTTTAACCAGGCTCCTTACTGTTGGCTTTAAACAACTTTTAAGTTTTCATCTTAAATCTCCAAAACTGATAAAAGACAGTTCCAAAGGTCCAACTAAAAGATTCAGCAAAGGTTTGATAGTGAATATAATTGAAGAAATATATGTTTTTCTTATTCATTATAATACATAGTTATTTACATCTATTTATTATATTTTGAATGTTTTTATTACAGGAATTGACAAGTACACCTAATTTGTATATCTGTGAATATTGTCTCAAATATGTGAAAAGCCACAAGTGTTTAGAAAGACATTTAGTAAGTCAGCATTGTTTGATATTTTTTGCAATTCTATTTATTGTTTCTTTCTTTTTTCTTTAAAAATGGTCTTAATAGCCAGGTGGTCTTAATTTTGGTGTGGTCTTAAGTAGGGATTCTACTGTACTTAATTATTGTAGAAATTGATTTTTGATGCTAAGTGGTTAAGGTCACTGACATGGAATCACTGATGTAGGTTTGAATTCTGACAAAGATTTTGATTTATTTTATCTAAGGAAGACATCCAGTTAAATTACAGAAGGTAGTTGGTTCTACATGGATGCCTTCTCATTTATGAAATGATGCAGAGAAAGACATCTGAAAGTTGCTTATGACCTATACAGTGTTGGCATGACTTCAAACTTGATCAAGAAATGGATTAATTTAAGCGATATATTGCATATTTATATATAATTATCTAAGAAATGAAAAAGCTATAAATTTACTGATATATTTTCTATTGACAGTCAAAATGTATGTTAAGACATCCGCCAGGGAACGAAATATATAGAAAAGCTAACATCTCTATATTTGAAATAGACGGCCGGAAAAATAAGGTTGGTATATCTTCCTAAAATAATTTCCTAAAATTTACTTTATAATTCTTGAAAAATAAAACATTTATATAAGAAAATATATTCATTTCATTCTTTACACTTAAATCTCTGTATTAAACGTTACAAAGTTCTTTGTAAATTCTGTTCATTGACTTGCAATTCTCTTCAGTTCTGGTCAAGATTTTGTTGCAAGTTTAAATTTGTAAAAGGTTTTGTGGTCTTTTTATTTTGCCTGAAACAGTACCAGATAAAAGCATCTCATGAAGTTTAATCAACATGATGTCTTTCGTAGACTTAAATGTTATGTTGTTGTGTAAAAAAGTACAGTTTTAACACACATATTTTTATTCTTTTGCAGATATATGCTCAAAACCTGTGTTTGCTTGCCAAGTTATTTTTAGACCACAAAACATTATACTATGATACTGACCCGTTCCTATTCTATGTGTGTTGTGAAAGTGATAGTAAAGGGTACCATATAGTAGGCTACTTCTCTAAGGTGAGATTACTTTGTATACAACTTAATGTTCCTTTTCCTTTACTATCTTTACAGTGGCTTTTTATGGCCTATAAGGTTCCTGAAATTTGGGTCCAGGTATTTGCGTGTAAGCTGGCTCTCCAAAACTACTAAAGGGAATAGGATGAAAATTTGTATGCTTATTTATGAGCATAATAGGTCAGTGCCAATGGCTTATAACTCTTAGCTTGGATTTTGGCAGAATCATGGCCCTTTTTGAATTTAGAAAATTCTACATTTTCCAGGCTCTTGTTGTACTATCAAGCTCTGAGAATAGTTGAGCATGCTGTCCTACTGACAGCTCTTGCTTTTATTCATGTAGATTTAATTTTTCAAAAAGGAAAATAAAGAATAATTCATTTTTGCTGCTTTAATTTAAAATATTTATCAGTATTACATTTTAACCATTTAAACTACTGAATGTGTGTAGTGGACTTTTGAAACTTCCGTTAAGTAGAAAAAAATAAAAATCAAAGATAAAAACATGTTTTGTTTTCTAGCATTTTTAGCTCACCTGTCACAAAGTGACAGAGTGAGCTTTTGTGATCGCTTTTCGTCCGTCGTCCGTCCGTCCGTCCGTCGTCCGTCGTCCGTCCGTAAACTTTTGCTTTAAATGACATCTCCTTATAAACCACTGAGCCAATTTCATCCAAACTTCACAGGAATGTTCCTTTGGTGGTCACCTTTAAAAATTGTTCAAAGAATTTAATTCCATGCAGAACTCTGGTTGCCATGGCAACCGAAAGAAAAATCTTTAAATATCTTCTTTTAAAAAACCCTAAGTGCTAGAGCTTAGATATTTGGCATGAAACATCTTCTAATGAGTGTCTACCAAGTTTGTTCAAATAAAAGCCCTGGGGTCAAAATTGGCCCCGTCCCAGGGGGTCATTGATTTTCCCTATATGCATATAGTAAAAACTAAAAAAATCTTCTTTTAAAGAACCCAAAGAGCTAGAGCTAAGATATTTGGCATGAAACATCTTCTAGTGAGTGTCTACCAAGTTTGTTCAAATAAAAGCCCTGGGGTCAAAATTGGCCCTGCCCCAGGGGGTCATAGATTTTCCCTATATGCATATAGTAAAAACTTAAAAAATCTTCTTTTAAAGAACCCAAAGAGCTAGAGCTAAGATATTTGGCATCAAACATCTTCTAGTTGGTGTCTACAAAGTTTGTTCAAATAAAAGACCTGGGGTCAAAATTGGCCCCGCCCCAGGGGGTCATTGATTTTCCCTATATGCATATAGTAAAAACTTAAAAAATCTTCTTTTAAAGAACCCAAAGAGCTAGAGCTAAGATATTTAGCATGAAACATCTTCTAATGAGTGTCTACCAAGTTTGTTCAAATAAAAGCCCTGAGGTCAAAATTGGCCCTGCCCCAGGGGTCATAGATTTTCCCTATATGCATATAGTAAAAACTTAAAAAATCTTCTTTTAAAGAACCCAAAGAGCTAGAGCTAAGATATTTGGCATGAAACATCTTCTAGTGAGTGTTTACCAAGTTTGTTCAAATAAAAGCCCTGGGGTCAAAATTGGCCCCGCCCCAGGGGGTCATTGCTTTTCCCTATATGCATATAGTAAAAACTTAAAAAATCTTCTTTTAAAGAACCGTAAGAGCTAGAGCTAAGATATTTGGCATGAAACATCTTCTAGTGAATGTCTACCAAGTTTGTTCAAATAAAAGCCCTGGGGTCAAAATTGGCCCCGCCCCGGGGGGTCATTTATTTTTCCTATATGCATATAGTAAAAACTTAAAAAATCTTCTTTTAAAGAACCGTAAGAGCTAGAGCTAAGATATTTGGCATGAAACATCTTCTAGTGAATGTCTACCAAGTTTGTTCAAATAAAAGCCCTGGGGTCAAAATTGGCCCCGCCCCAGGGGGTCATTGATTTTCCCTATATGCATATAGTAAAAACTTAAAAAAATCTTCTTTTAAAGAACCCAAAGAGCTAGAGCTAAGATATTTAGCATGAAACATGTTCTAATGGGTGTCTACCAAGTATGTTCAAATAAAAGCCCTGGGGTCAAAACTGGCCCCGCCCCGGGGGTCATTGATTTTCCTTATATGTGTATAGCTAAAACTTTAAAATCTTCTTTGTAAAAACCCAAATAGCTAGAATTTAGATATTAAGCATGAAACATCTTTAAGTAAATATCTACAAAGTTTGTACAAATAAAAGCCCGGGGGTCAAAACTGGCCCTGCCCCAGGGGTGTCATTGTTTTTAACTATATGTGTATAGTAAAAACTTAAAAAATCTTCTTTTAAAAAACCCAATGAGCTAGAACTTAGATGTTTAGCATGAAACATCTTCTTATGGGTGTCTACCAAGTCTGTTCAAATAAACAAATTAAAGCCCTTGGGTAAAATTGGCCGGGGGGGGGGGGGGCTATATACAGGTGAGCGACCTCAGGGCCATCATGGCCCTCTTGTTATGTTTGAATTTAGGGGCGTCCATGGCAGAGTGATTAAGGTCGTTCACTTCAAACCACTTGCCCCTCATCACTGTTGGTTCGAATCTAGACAGGGACTTTAGTTTCTTTCATGTGAGGAAACTATCCAGCTAGTTTACAGAACATCGGTGGTTCTGCTCAGGTGCCTGTTCGTGCCTGAAATAATGCACGGAAGGTCACTTGAGGTCTTCCTCCACCAGTAAAGCTGAAACGTTGCCATATGACCTATACTGTGTCAGTGTGACATAAAACCCAATCAAACAACCAAACAAACATGTTTGAACTTAAAATGTATAATATAGGATTTCAAAAATAAAGCAGTCAACAGACTAGTAACTAGTGAGTCTACACAGATAATCAGACTGGCTTGACTGTGGACTGTTGGCATAGGCCTTTTTGTTTCATCCCTTTTTCACATATTGTGAACATAATCTGAAAGAACAATTTCATTTACAGGAAAAGGAATCCTCAGAAGACTACAATGTTGCATGTATTCTTACTCTACCACCATACCAGAAAAAAGGTTTTGGAAAACTTTTAATAGAATTTAGTAAGTTTTTAATTTATGAAAAGGCTAGGGTCACGTCAGGGTAATTTCTCTGATGACTCACTCCTATTGTGAATTATAACTCACTCCTATTGTGAATTAAACAAAGTTATGACATAGTAATATATCTAGTTTTCTGTTGTCTTTTATTGCCCTCTTTTGACACTTCTTAGTTAAGCCTTCATAATTGTATTTCACTCAAATTGGTATCATACATGGATGCCTTTCCATAGAATAAATACTTAGAATAAAAAAAAGGTTCTTCTTTATCTTGGGGATGAATTTTAAGCTTTACATTCTATTCGTAGATTATTTTTGGCGCTTTTCTTGTTTTTGGAGATAATAAAAATATTGCATTAAAATGAATTTGTTGAATTCACATTATATATGTATATATGTTCCATGTTCTGCAAGTCAAAAATTATAGTTGTGATCTCGAAATGTCAACTGTGGCAGTAAAATGTAATTTTCTTCATAAAATTTAAATTGGAGTGCTATGCATAACTCAGGTTTCAAATTTTGAACGAGTAAAAGAGACACTGTTCTGTAAAACGAGTTTAATGAAGTGACCAGTTAGAAAATTTGTTTTCGTATTTGAAGGTTTTATGAATTTCGCTATAAATATTTGGTACTTGTGAATTTTCAGGTTACGAGTTATCAAAGGTAGAAGGGAAGACTGGGTCGCCAGAGAAGCCTCTGTCTGATCTGGGCTTGTTGTCGTACCGGAGTTACTGGTCACAGACTATCACGGAAATCCTGCTGAACCTGAAACCCGAGGAGGGCAACGAGAAACCTGTTATCACAATAAAGTTAGTGTGTCTTTCTTGCGTATCAGACGGGTGTTCCCGTTAGTTTTACCCATGCCGGAAATTTCATCTGGCATAGGGGGTGCCATATGAGTCGTGTTCTGTACAATGGGATGACGTAAATCCGACATTTTGAATGAAGTTGTAATTTTGTATGCTTTTGTATGAAAATAGTTACGGGTGTAATGACATAAATTTCCATGGAAAATTGTCTGATTAAGGTAAAGAATTTAAAATGTGATGGAATGTGATATGTTTGCTGTTCAGATCCGAATATCTGTCCCTCGGGAACACGCCCATGGGTGATAACTCAGCAAGCCTCGTCACCACCCCCTCGGGGCGGATATTTTGATCTAAACCACAACATGTGTCAGATATTATTATTCTGAGAAAGTGTCTGGATTCTGTAAGTTCATTGCTTAAAGCTGCATGTCTCCAGATGAGCCAAAATATTTAAAGAAAATAGAAAATCAAACTTGAGAAAAAAGTATGAAGATTTTAAGAAAAGTAAAATGATTTAAGATTCATGTAATAATTTGCATATTGATATGTGCGATTAATGACTGATTTTTCAGTATTTATCATAGAGTCAAAAGTCAAGGTCACTGTGTGGGAATGGCATTCATTTGAACATTGTGCTTGATTTGAATTTAGAATTATCCCTTATAATCACTGATTTTTGCTCAGTATAATTTTATCTATATATGTTTTCAGTGACATCTCAGAGTTGACGAGTATAAAGAAAGAGGATGTGATCTCAACGCTACAACATCTACATCTTATCAATTATTATAAAGGACAATATATAATCGTACTTGCTAAAGATTTACTAGCTGCGCATTATAAATCTATGAGTAAACGTAAAGTACGCATTGATCCTAAATGTTTACATTGGCAACCGAAGGACTGGAGTAAACGAGGCAAATGGTGAAATTTCGGAGGGCAATTTCACATCTTAACAACATAAACATATAACTTAGGTTGTTTATGTCTAAAAATGATTATATATGAATATATTCAAAATGTAGTGAGTAAATTCAAGATGTAGCAATGGAGTTTCGAGTGATTGATGGCTGAAGTGCATGTCTTCATTATGAAAATTTATAAACCAACAATATGGTAATGAAATGAAACTACATCAGTTCAGTCAGTAAACAGAAGTAAATGATCAGAGTATAACATTGGAAGTTTTTAAAGTGATAAAAATGTAGGAAAAAAATTATTCTTACAATGTAACAGTGAATTCATCTTAAACTTTTTTTCAATGAAGCTGAAAACAGTGTTTGAAATAAGGGGAGAAAGAAATATGAAACTTATGGGGCAAAGTAGATATTTGTGTAGTACTTATGTAGCATAACAGACAAGTAAATATTGTATATTGTATTTGCTGAATATTGCTGTGGTCTTAAATCTCAAGCTATTTTGAAGTACAAGATTAAAAAAAATCACCCTTTCTGAACCTAGATCAAAAATGTGATTACCATTTTATCCATTGGTATTTAATGTGATGTGAGATTTTTTTCCAGGATAATTTGGTTTGAGGACAAATATTTTAATACATATAGTATATTTTCAACATTTTGATTTTTTTTCTTCTTTTTTGTTTTAATTCAAAAGTTTTAAAACCAAAATTTTATTCTTTTTATAGATGTTCAGTGTTGTGTTCTTCACATATTGGAAAATGTTTAGTTGGGAAATTTAATAAAAAAAAATAGTTTTGATAAATGCACAATTGTGAATTTTGAATAATTATTGACAACATTTTAAGGAAATAGGTATTTTTAGCCATTAGAAATTGCTCTTAGACAATTTTGAAATAGGGAAAACAATTTGGTTAACTAATGATTCACATAATATACATTGTATCTCAAAGAAGAAATATATTGTTTTAGTCAAGTAAGAGAAACTTGGAAAAAAAAATCAGTTTTCTGGATACAAATGTAGACAGTGCTGAATGCTGATAGCCTATTTATTTATGATGACTCATTTATGATCCACTTTTAAGTGACTTTGCACTGAAGTAACATCAATGTGACAGAAAAATAACCTGCATGGCTGAAAATAGGGTTAATAGGAAAGAAATGCTATAAAGATAAGATTTTAGACATAAATGAAATCATGCCTGTAAAGAAATTAATATTGAATTGTACTGCTGTTTATTTATGATATCTTGAGTTTCTATCTGTAGCATAACTTAGAAGTACAATAATACTGAATAAAAGTATGTAAAGAAAAATTATTCACTTGTTGTTTTTTTTCTTCATTTGTTTAGTATAGTTTAAACACATTTATTTTAGCTTAGTTTTGTGAAGACTTGAAGCTTATATGAACTACACTCAAGTGTGTTTCTAGAACTAACCAGTTTTGGTGTCAAATGAGGATTTTTTATGATTATGACTTGAAATATAAGATTGGTAGGTTAAATTGACAACACCTTAACCACTAGGCCACCACTCTCCTTAGTTTTTTATTCTTATTCTGAGAAATACAGTTACATTCAATACCATGATATTGGCATAATAAAGCCATTCATTATTAGCTATAACATGAATAGAAATACATGCTTTGTGTTATGATGACTTCAAATTTGCAGAATTCTTTGGCAGAGTGATTATAAATGTTTTACTTAAAATCATTTTTGTATATAAAAGTCCTGGTATCAATGTTGACTTCTTTCATGTCAGAAGGATTTACACTTCAACCAGGGAGGCAACTGTTGCTTGAATAAAATCAGTAAAGCTGAAAATAACTTGTAAAGTAATCAGTTTTGATGTAATTAAATGAACCAGTGGAACCAAAAAAAAAAAGACTGAAAAATAAAATTTCAGGGTCTCACTTTGATAAATCTTGTTAAAAAAGCTCATTCTTTATATATACTGAAATATGTAAAATATCATTCCGACCATTTGGCTCTACCTCAAGTTTAGCACAGATATCTGACACTTTCATGTCATTTGTCTAATAAGATATATGCCGCTGTAACTACTACAAAGTCTTGTCTACCAAGATCTACGCCACTCTGACTATAACAATTGTCTTGTTAGGTATCTGTAACTGTGACCTAACCATTTGATTTGTTAGTCATATGTATCTGATCTGTGGCTTATTACCACTTGTATAGTGAGATGTCTCCAGCCTGGGTCTAGAGATCTGAAACTTTGACTTTTCTTGTTAGGTGTCTCATACCTTGTGACTTCACTAAACCAGTAAAACATTTCTTTGATGTTTCTTTTTTTTTCATTAGATTCTACTTGAATGTTTCTACTTTTTCTTTATATTATATGCCCAAAGAATTTCAGGCATATTATGTTATACCCCCTGGCGTCCGTCTGTCCGTCTGTTAGCAATTTGGTTTCCGGAGCATAACTTCAGTTCCATTTGGCCCACAATATTCAAACTTCATAGGATCATTGTCCATATTGGGTAGAAGACCCCTATTGATTTTGATGTCGCAAGGTCAAAGGTAAAGGTCACTATTGCCTTAAAACTGAAAATGTTTTTTGGAGCATAACTTAAGTTCCATTTGGCCCACAGTATTCAAACTTCATTGGATGATTGTTCATATTAGGTAGAAGACCCTATTGATTTTTGGGTCACAAGGTCAAAGGTCAAGGTCACTATTACCCTAAAACTGAAAATGGTTTCTGGAGCATAACTTAAGTTCCATTTGGCCCACAGTATTCATACTTCATAGGATGATTGTCCATATTGGGTAGAAGACCCCTATTGATTTTGATGTCGTGGTGGTGCTTTGAAAACAGCAACTGTATATATATAAAGGTTCTTGAGCTATAAACCTGTGTCAATGTGATACACTACAGTATCTGACAAAGTCCAATGACTTACCAGTGAAATTTATTTGTAGCCATTTGATTATTAACTTTATTGTGGGTTTAAACAAGTTTTAAAAGAATGTAATATTATTCCATAACAAACTGACGAATAGCTAATTCAATATCAGAAGATCAAATTCAAATTATATTATCAGTTACAAGTGTAAGGCTAGTGAAGTCGCCGCATATTTCATCGAAGGTGTGTCACCAATCGATTCATTCGGAACAATCGGACATAGTCGACCCGGGTAAACAGTAACTGTCCAAACAAACAGACATTGCTGTGATTTTAATCATAAATATTGTCTGAGAATAAAAGGAAACAAATAACGGCAAGATGTTTCGAGTAATGGGCTCCATGATGCCCTACCGAAATAAGGCATATGACATTTATAGGAGAAACTTTAGCGAAGCATCGGCTGTTGGTTTTCTGTCCGCGATTTTGTTCACAGTTTTTTCTGAGCCCGTAAAAAATCTCGTCGATTTTGGTGAAAAATGGATGGAATTATCAGGTATTCCGTACCAAATGAACATAGCCATGTTTGGATTTATTGTCGGATATGGTTCAACAAAAATGTTCTTGCTCATGAGGATGCAGTTATTCAAAATGTTGCTGGGCTACCAAGGGTGGATGTTCAACACCAAATCAACTACCACTAAAGTAAGTTATGAAATTATATCTAATTAGATCTATTATTATTTAGGATTGTTATTATTATTATCATTATTAATATTTTTTATTTAATAGAATTTTCTGTCTTATAAATGTGGTTAACTTAAAACTTGAATACAATTTTAGATAAATAAATGGCAAATTTCAGGAATGTATGAAAAAGACTGCAATTAGAGTCACAGTACCTGTGCTCGACCAGCCCAGTGCTCGACCAATACTTCTATTTGTGTACGATTTATGGAATCCGGGTCAGCTCGGCCCTAAAATGTACTCGGCCCCCGAGTCAGCTCGGCCCTATTCCAACTTGGCACGGGTCAACTCGGCCCACTTTTCAATAATTAATATTTAGGTTTGTGTTAACACTATTTATTGTAATTATTATAATTATTTATAATACATGGATTGACAGTTTCGAACTAGCAGCAGATATTAGCTTTTCTTATCAGTAGAATTGCAAGTAAAGATAAACGATTGCGTATCTCACTGTATTTCTACATATTTAACTTCTGTTCTGTTCTTTATTACTTTAACTAGATAATGCACAGACAAGGTCTTTCTATTTGATAGAAGAAAAAAAAAACGTATGAAACGTGCAAATGAATTTCGGCAACAATTAATGCGCTTATACGGAAGATTTAATTAGAAGCTTATGATATTAAGTAAACACGTTTTTGTTTCATTTTTTTTTAAATATTATTTTACAAACACATTTTATTCGAATCTAGATCTATATTAATTTTATCGAATCTTCAAAACAGATAAATAACATTTTTTTCTAAATATACTTTATTTCAGAAGAAGTACAATGTATAATTATATAATAATGATATCTCAGAGATATTTCTTATTATTCATTTACCTTAACAACATGCAAAGCAAAGTTAATACGTTATAAATATTTTTGTAAAGTGGGCCGAGTTGACCCGTGCCGAGTTGACCCGTGCCGAGTTGGTATAGGGCCGAGTTGACTCTTTTCCGATTTATGCATAAAAGTGGAAAAACCCTGGGAATTTGTTTGTGCTTTTTGTACCTGACCTGTAACCTCTAAACCATGTACAAGTACTCCAACTTCGGTAGAAGATTGGCCATTTTGCAGACAATATTTAACAGTACAAAAATATATTTCTATAATTAAAGTAGCAGTAAAAACTATTTAAAACACTGAAATAATGGTAATTTAGGGCAAATGTGGACAATACTTTGTTAAATTGCCTTAACTCTTATGATTCCAATTGATTTCCATAGGAAAGGTGCTTAAAAATTATCAAAACCCTGCTCTCCATAAAAGTCAGGGGCTATGAACATGTAAACAAATATGGCGGCTGTACGGAAACAAATCAGGAACACACCACTAAAAGCGTAGACCATTTGTATATTACACCAAATATCACACTTATATATGTTTGCAGAGTGATTTTAGTAAAAAAATATGAGAATAAGTAATTTAAAACGCCCCAGTATATGTAAATTCCAAAACTCTTATAAACACTTTATTTGTCAATGTATAGCATTTTCTTCGTATCATATTTACTCTGATATTTACATCTATAGACACTAAAACATAAATTTTTCAAAATATTTTTGTAATAGAATTGTTGAACATAAAAAATCATATCTGTTTTTATAAAATAAAAGTTCTGATAGAGATAAAACCACCTGGTCGAGCACTGGTTTGGTTGCCTGAAAAATATAGTGGTTTTATACCCTATATACAACTCTGTGGTAAATTGTATCCTGATCTGTGTAATTAAAAAGCTTTAGCTTATTGTGAGTTTAAAAGGGCCAGCTTTGTAACAAAAATAAGTTTCCCAGCAAACTTTTTGTTCTGAAAGAGTTTTTACGTGATTTTGTGAAAAACTGGTTGAGCACTGGTACGGTGACTCTAATTAAATATTACACAGTATTTTTGAGAAAAAAGCATGCATACGATATAGGTAAATTTATGTTATTGGTTGAAGTTGAGTATGTAGATTTATCTTCATGGTTGACATCACATTCATACTTTAAGGGTCCAGTTGATGCACAGGCTAGAAAATCAGGGGTCTATAAAACACAAACACATTGTATATCACACATATATATGACTACACCTGTCTATCGATATAATAAATTATACAAGTATGCAATAAATTTCATTAAATTAGATAAAATACAATAAAAGTCTATATTACCCCCCTTTTACGTGTGTAGGTCCAGACCCCTTTGTCCCCCAAAGTGATTTTGAAAACACTGGCATATGTCAAATATGATAATGATCAAGACAGAGAGGTGTAAATATCTTTCATGAACCAGGTGGTAAATAATTATCTTTTTGCAGATACTTAATATTATGTTCCTTTAAGAATATTTTTATTAGGTCTGGTCATTCATTATATGATATGAAAACATAGATTGCCATGTCCTTTAAATAGTTTATGGTGATGCTCAGCTGTATTACAATGATTAAAAAAAAGATTAATGAAAAAAAGTTATAACCATTTTTTTTCCAAAAAGGAGGGAAATATCTTTACAAGTTAGTAGTGAACATGATTATGGTGTACAATATATCACAATGTCAAATGAAATGATCAGTTTCCACAATTTTCCCCACCGTCACACAGTTTTCCCTCCCTCCATTAAATTTAACCATGCCACTTTTCCCACCTCTATTACCCCAAAAGTGAAAGAGAAAAACAGTGATATATAAGCTATCATTTGATTACTTAACTGCCAAATTGACAAATATGCATTCCCTGTGGCAAAGTTCATTAGCAATAAGGGTAATAAGTTATGGTTGCCACAATACCCATTGTCATTCAATCATTCATATGTAAATCTATTTAAAGGACCTTAATAAAATTATACAAAATTAAGCTAATTGTTTTTATAAAATTATATAAATTGTGAGGGAAACCGAACCTAATTTTTTTTTATGTATTAATACTTTATGTGCATATAATTATACTAATTATGCCCCAAAGAATGTTGTTAGATTTAAAATTATTGTCAATTTGATATATTGCGATATCTTATTTAACCGCTACAGCCCTGTCAGATGATATTTATAATTGATTTATTTGTAGCGATTTTAAGTATGTTGACATGTTGTTCAACACTTGAGGCTATTTGAAGTGAAAGTGCGCAATCTGTGTTATAAATAACATATTAAAACTCTTTGATGATTTTTCTGATTTATTGAAATATCATATTGCTTTATGGTTGTGATAACTTATATATATATTATATATTGCTAAGTGTTTTATTTCTACCATAAAAAATGAAAAAAGCCAGTAGGGTTGTTAATTTACTGATTGAAAGTATGTTTCAAGACGAGTATAGCACTAAATTAAAATAGTCGTTGTATATACAAGAATATATTTCAATACAGCATTTAAATATTTCTGATTTCAATTGGTACCTGTTTTTCATTTGGGTACATTTGTATATTCCATAAATGCATGCTATAAATTTAAAAGCTAAGACTTCCAGCAGTTTAACAAGAAAATACATGTAGTATTACTATATACAAAAAAAGAACAACAGACATTTTTTTATCCAGAACATTACAACAATGGTGTGTGGGATGCAGCAAACAATCAATAATTTATTTTTTGCCTCAAGTTGATGCTGCAATAGTTTTGCAATGAAATAATTTGATGCATCAAGTTAAGAACACATACAATTTTAGAGATCAGTATTTTCCATTACATTATCCTGTAGTTCAACTTAACCAGGAAGAATTTAATGGGTGTTTTTAGCTCGACTTTTCTATGAAAAGGGGAGCTATCCTACTCGCCCCGGCGTCGGCGTTGGCGTCACACCTTGGTTAAGTTTTTCGTACCACCCCACTTTATTTCAGAAGTATTACAAGTATGGCTTTGAAACTTACCATACTTGTTCACCATCATAACCTCCATCTACAGACAAGAGTACATAACTCTGTCAAGGTTTTTGACAGAATTATGGCCCTTTTTTGACTTAGAAAGTGTATTGAGCTTGGTTAAGTTTTTTGTACCACCTCACTTTATTTCAAAACCATTGGAGGTATTGCTTTGAAACTGACCATACTTGTTTACCATCACGACCTTCATCAACAGACAAGAGGACATAACTCTGTCAAGGTTTTTGACAGAATTATGCCCCTTTTTGACTTAGAAAATACATTGAATATGGGTAAAATCCACTTATTGCCTTAACCCTTTGAGATATTGCTTTGAAACTTTTAATGCTATTTCACATCATTACCCCCATCTGTACGCAAGAGAAGGTAACTCTGTCAAGGATTTGTTTTAAAAATTAAGGCCTTTTATCGACTTAGAATCTTGGTTAAGTTTTTAGTACCAGTCCACTTTTTAGCTCGACTTTTCTATGAAAAGGGGAGCTATCCTACTCGCCCCGGCATTAAATAATGAATTGAACTTCCTTCATGTAATTCAAATATCAGTTTACAACGCATTATCTACATAGTGGACCCACGAAAAGTAACCAGTCACCCACAGCCTGTGTTGAAAGAGATCCACTTGTGACCAACTGACAACATCTAAAAAAGCTTGATAAAATTTATCTATTACTTGTATTATAAGGTAACTATAATACTTTCACATACAAAGTCAAATCTATATATTATGCTGATTGTACAAAAATATACTGCTTCCTTGGCATAGATTTCTTGAAAAATTATGTTATTATGTCATTTACCAAGGTGTTCTGAGTGACGTAAAAATACCTTATTCTCTCAAAGTGGGTTTAATACTATTAAATTTATTTAAGGCTCAACTCAGTTTTTTTTTCTTTCTTACCAGCCCTCTTTTGACTTAAACATTTCAAACTTTGCTGCAGTGTTCAAGGGTATCACACAATTCAGTAAAATAATTCTTCACTAAATATCTTAATGCTCATGGCCATTGTTCACTTTAAAAATACAGAGATTCTTGTATTGCCTTTTACTGCAAAAACTTTTTTTATTGGCAAGCAATAAAAAAGTCGAGCGCGCTGTCTTACGGACAGCTCTTGTTTGTTGTTGTTGTTGTTGCTATTCTTAAGTGTTCTTTTAATCATTGTTTCTCTGTTTTAATACAGTTATGTTTAGAGGATGTTACCACTTAAGTCAGTATGAGTAATAATAGCTCTATTTTGAGACATGATAGAATCAATTGTGCAACAATTTTCAATTAAATCAACGCTTGGTGCATGATCATTTATCAATACTTGCTTGCAGGCGCAATTGGGTCCTTTACACCTGCACAGACCAAAAAAAAAAAAAATCCAATATATACTTTTATGATAAAAAGTGTATTGTTTTTATTTGAATTTGCTTGCAGAGGCAAATGACCTCACACCTACACAGACCCAAAAAATCTAGACATTTCAATATATATACACACGTATATATTTTTATGATGAAGGGTGTATTGTTATTTGAAAATCGAGCTTCCTCAGTACCCGTATTGATGAAACTGTTTTGTTACCATTTTTACCAAGATTGCAAACTGGATGCACTGCTGCGTGATTAGGTGTATTGATTATAATCATTTTAACTGTCTAATGTCAGGTGTAGCTTCAATCCTGAATCTTCTAAACATCATAAATGGACTTGTCCATAGTTCAATCTGGACAAAACCATTCATCATTTAGGTGAAAATTTCAGAAAAGCAGACAGTGCAGATCATAATTTTCTTTTTTTCATAAAAAGTAGTTATAAAGCAACAAATATTTATATTCAATTCTGTATATACTATATCCATTTGTATATAGAACTTATTGGTCACCATTACAAGCTATCTCTTTTATACGAGTAGGTTGGGAGAAAGGGAGGGGGGCTATTGTGCATCACACTTTTAAATGTTTACAATTGAATTGTTTGTGTTTGCAACATTCCTGTGTTGCAACGCAGTAAAAGCTGTATTAGTTCATTATGTACAATGCATGTATCTATTTTCAGATGTGGGCATTGATGTTGGGCTTGTTGAGAGGGAATGGAAAATACCCATGCTTCTATTTTGAACCATTGTTACCAAGACTCCCTATACCAGAACTTAATGCTACACTTGACAGGTAATAATTGATTCATTTTCTTGAGTTTAGCACTAGTCAAGATTGTAAAGCAGTATTTAAGTCACATACTATTGGGCAACTATTACTGAAAGAAAACTATCATCAAAGAAAAAGGTATTTGTCAGGGTCCGAGCTTTTAAAGCAATTGCCTATGCTTAATCTTAGATCTCGGGTAATTGATTGGTCAGATATCATCAGCAGAGAATGTACACTGACAAATGAAAATACATTGTACCAACAGGGGTGGAAAAATCAATTGCCGTATTACCCAGTTTGCCCAACAGCCTGCACAGACAAGTGTATATTTTCAAAAATTCACTATAGAAATACCATACAGACAACAAATTCTTCAGATGAAAATGGACAAGAAAGACAAAATCAGATTTGACCAAAATTCAGGGAGCTCAGAGAAAAGGTTTTTTAACCAGGTGAGTACTCAAATCAGGAAAAAATGTTAGGTCTATAAAATTAGACATAAATGTTCTTCATACATTATTACATGTAGCTGATGAAGCTGGCTATGTCATCAGTACATGTACATTGTTATTATTTAGCAAAGCAAGGTTCATAAATCTAAACTGTTCTCTATAAATGCTACATCACTAGTAATTACTGCATGAGAAATCATTACTTCATGTGTGTCAGTTTAAAGCTGTATAAGGGTTTCAGTATTCCTTTTTTTTTGCAGAGGGGGGGGGGGGAGATATAAGGGAGAGAAGTTTTTTTTTTAGTAAGATTGATTTATAGAAGATAGAAATATTTGTGGATTTAAAGTAATTATACTACAATAGTATAATCCCTATTGGTGTGTCAAGTGCATATTTGTGTGTCAAGTGGCGATGCAATTAATTAAGTAAGCAACCAGTTTTGGTGTTTGAACCTATGACCTTTAGGGTTGCCATCTGATGCTTTACCATTTCAGCATCAAGAGGGGATAATTTGTTAAATGTTTTTGGAAAAGGCTAAAAAGAGATAGGGAAAAAAAACCCAGAGACAATGTTAAAAATTGTTCAGATTTAAATTAAAATGCTACAAGATTAGTCAATGTCTTGAACAGCCTAGGTGTATTCAATGCAAAACCGTTAAATACAAAACAACAGCAGCAACAAACCAAGCAAATAGAGAATACAAATGTTGTTAACCCATAATTTCTGTGAGATTTACTTAATACAGTCAGTGATGCAATCATTTATCATATTGACCTGATGTGACCGGCTATCTTGACTGAGATATCTTTCTATATATGGCCTTGATTCACACTGGTCTGATTATTGTACTGTTTATATTTATCAGGACAACAGGTGACTATGAAAGTATGTGCACTCAAAATTGGTTTCAGTTAACCTTGCTGAAATTGTAAACAAAACTTTCATGTTAGAAGATATATTTTGAGTGCAGTTTGATTAGGAGTATATGCTTACCCAACTATAAATGTAAAAAAAGCCCAATGTTGTTTTTCCTTTTTTAATGAATTACAAACTAATGTACAGTATAATGCCTGTAGTGCAACACCCTTTGGGAGACAAAGATTTTGGTTGCTGCGAGAGATGTAGCTCACGGTGCAGAAGTTAAATTTATCGTGAATTCTTACTTCAAAATGATACTACATGTATTTCTGTAAAGAGGTGATTGCTCTTCAGATGGTTGCTCTCCAAAGGTAACACTTGATGTACAGAAACCATATAATTCATTGACATATACTTATCATTTAGTTTAATATTATGTAAATTAACTCCGCCATTTTACTTATATAACATATTCATAGACAAGCTTTTAGAATAAGTTGAAAGCGTTCTAATTTAAATGTTTCTTTCCCCATGAGGAAGTAAAATTATATTCCCATGAGAGGGTAAAATTATATCTATAATCTGTTTCAAATCTATTTCACAAATTTTGGCAGGTTTAAGGTTTTGAAATAAAGATAGTAAGCAGTGGACTTTATATAAAGTTTGGTCAGACTGCACAGGTGGTCAGACTGCACAGATGATCTGGTTTGCACGGGTCAATGCTAATATCATAGGCCTGTCAATTGTGTTAAAAAGGGTTAAAAGTGCCTATAGACATAGAGATAGAGATACATAATGTATATAGTCTGATGATTATGATGTTTTTGTGTCATCACTCATTAGTGTGTTATATGCCCAGAAGATATAAGATAAAAATCTCAGTACATGTAAGATGACATGTATACATTTACATGTATATTAATATGGTGTTTACTTAAAAATATCAGCTAGAAGTTTTGTTAAATCAGCATAGCTATACCTCCAGATTCGAAAAATTCTTAAGTTTTATTTGTTTAATGTTGAAAATATAACATACATTGTTGTACATGAATACAGAATGTAATGGATTTCATCCTGTTAAGGATATAATTAAAGGATTCAAACCATTGTGTAATGTATTTATTATGTACATGTATATACATGAAGTAGAAGAGGATAAAACATTGAAAGTAGTATCTTCTTTTCTAACTGTCCTCTTTTAAGTTAAGTTATAAGCTTTTATTCTTAACCTCCCTAAATATCATGAATGGACATGTTCATCTTTCAGTCTGGACAAAACCATTTATCTTTTTTAGGCAAAATTTGGAAATATATGATTATAATGACTGAAAAAGCAAACAGTGCAGTACTGTCCATGATCAAACGGCATAGAAGTATGGAATCGTGGTTATGTAAAATTATTTTGAGCCAAGCTATGACAAAACCAACATAGTGTGCTTGCAACCAGCATGGATCCACTGACCAGCCTGTGCATCGGCCCACTCTGATCAGGATCCATGCTTTTCCCTATCAGTTTCTTTTCTTGTAATAGGGTTTGTAAGCGAACAGCATGGATCCTGATCAGACTGCACTTATGCGCAGGCTGGTCTGGATCCATGCTGGTTGCATGGCGTGGCCCATATGTGGCTCGCAGGCTAAATGTTAAACAATTAAACCAACCTTACTTCAAGAGACAAATGCTTTTTAGAACATTGAAAAAATCTCAGCATATTTACAAACAGAAAATTACAAGACAATGCCTCATAAATCATGTAGCAAATGGAGGCATTTATTGTAATTTATGCTAGCCGAGGGACGCTTCAGAAATGAATCACACTTTGTGTCCTTTTTGCTGATTAGTTGCTATTGATCTTGATGTTTTGTCCTTGATTTTGACCCTTTTTTGACCTTTTTTTCAGTTCTGTAATTAAATATCTATTAAGAATAGTTTGAACTGTAAATGGTAAGGAGAATGTAACATTTTACCCTGTGTTGTCAAAGCATTCTGATGAACTAATTTGTTGGCAGTCACAGCTGCCTTGGTCGAATCCAATCTCTCATTAGTTAAATTCCTGTGAAGTAACGGTGAAGTAACGTGGATCAATATAAGCTGTAGTTGATACAGGCAGAAGCTAGATTTGTTTAGCTATGTGTGTTTTATTAGATTTATCAAGTCTGTTTTGTTTGTAAATATTGACCAAGATATCTGTCTGTGAGAGAAATAGCAGATCTATACCATGAATGATTGTAACAGAAGTGTGTTAAAACTGGGTATAGTGTTATAATAATGATAATATCAGTTTGTAAAATTAATCATAATGTTTCTTTTCTTTAACTAGGGGACCATTCACTGCTTTTCATGGAATGGCACAAAAGTGTCCCATTGAAGGATCCATGAGCATATATATGTTGTTGTTTGTTCTGTTAAATGGTTTTAGTGAAAGTTTATTGGGATTAATAAAAGTTTTGCATCAAATAACTAGGACAGATATAAATTACAACTGTACGAATAATGCATGCATTGTATTAAACATGAAACTTCAGACATGTATTCATTGAATATCCAATTACAAAACCTTTTTACAGAATAAAGTTCCATTACATACAGTTAAAATCATGGTCTGTGAAAGGCTTGAACATTTCAGGCAGTGGCCTGTGCAAGTTCTGTTTCCTCATTCATTGAAGGTTTAACTTAAAACATTACAATATATGGTGTTGATTTAAACTATATAGATTTTTAACTAAATTTTTCATTTGAGGTTCTAAAGAATCCTTGATTCTAGTATTTATTTTTCATATTTGAAGCATATAACTTACTTGAAATTTTACACACACTTTAGTGTCATAAGTGTAATTGTTTGGCCTAATGGATACCATATTAGCATATTATATTCTAGCATCAATTTTTACTGAATTACCTCCCTTTATAAATTTTTACTGAATTACTTCCCTTTATAAACTAATTATATTGTTTTTCTATTAATCATGAGAATAGTTGAGCATACTGCTTGATCACCGGGACAGCTCTTGTTCTAGGTAGTATCTGTTTTATCTACAAGTACATCATTTGATGGATCTTACTGTTTTGTTTTGTTTTTATTGACCAAGATTTTCTTCCTGATAATTGACAGACAAGAAAATTTGGCATGGGACTCCTATAAAGGTGACATTATGATGTATTTCAGACTGTTTTGTTTACTCCTTTGAATAATTCGTTTATCTTCGTAGAAATGCTTGAAGGTTGTTTTGCTTCCAATATGAACATCCTAATTCTTATTTTGTTACATGAAATTGTTTAACTTGAAGCATTCATATGATTATGATTAATAATAAATTCATGCATCACAAATATATTGAATACATTTTGGTATGAATCATAGAAAAAAATAGGACTCAAAAAGTTTTAACTTTTACCACTCTTAATATGATTTATGTTTAATGGACTTCTTTCAATCTAGTCTAAACCATTCATCATTTTTAGGGTATTTTCAAAATGTGTACTGACTGGATAGTGAACTGACTGGTGCAACAAAAAAACCAAACAAAATAAAAACAATACCCCACCCCCTCCCATAATGGTGCCCAATGACTTATAGAATGTCAGTGTGACATTGAACCCAATTTTAACCCAACAAAAAATTTAACTTTAGCCTGCTGGGGGGGGGGGGGGGACTGAAATTACCCATGCAAAGAGTGCAGACCAAGATCAGCTGGCACATCTGTGCTGTCTGATCATGGTCTTTACTGTTGGCTATGCAGTCAAAACATAAAATGATTTTCTATTCTATTTCTATTCATTTAAGATATTTAGTGTGGTAAGGGTTAATAACTCTTAAAAGCAGCATCTAGTTGTCTCCCCTGATATTGTGAGGAAATGGCCTTACGGAATATAATAATATTTCAAACATCCTCAAATTAGGGGACCTAATTATCGAACCTACATATTACACGACATAAAATGATATCCACTACCTTATAAGGTCTACTTTTGTTATGACAGAAGTTGTTTATGAGACGGGAGACTTGTAAAACAACAAAACAACACCGGGTTATCTGTTGAACTTTACTATCAGGTTTTTGTCCATTTAAACGTGGTTACTTGCTTTGTTGATAATAATAATTTTGTTTACAGTTGATAATATTAATACAGCAATCTGATTTTCAAAATATTTTTAGTTTTCTACCCTGTGAAATGTTGGTTTGTTTTACAGTTTATGAGGACAAAACTGGGACGGTTTTGATGCATGTAGTACAATCGAGACACTGTTCATTTGTTGTTGAATTATTTCTAGTGTCAAAATGCCAAAATAAAGCCAAATTTTAGTAAGGAAATAAAGTGAAAACTGCTTGAAAATGAAGTCTGCATAGGCTGGTCATTATGTATTTTAGCACAATTTTTATTGTCATTTAAGTCACACCAAGGAAAGTTAACCAGTTTGACTGTACTAGTGAAGGAGGTCCCCAGGTGTTCCTATATACAAGTGGACAGCATTATAGTGAAAACACTAAATTGTAGCACTTTCATATTAAAATTGACATCTTAAGGAAGACATTTTTAAAAGTCATTTGTCTGGGGATAAGCGACTAGTTACATGTCTGTTTGGCTGAGTTACATGTCTGTTTGGCTGTGCAGAGTATCTGTTTAAGTTGCTCAATTTTGAGGAAATTGAAGGGTGTATGTACAGTTGTGTAGTTTGTACTATGTGCAATAGGTTTCTATACTCAGTTCACTGCTTGCCTTAATTATTTAAATATTTTGATACTGAAATCTCTCAAACTATGTATTAAAACATAGCAAGTCTATGAATAGATTGAAAGGAAAATATACTAAAAGGTGTAGATAATTATAGAATATACGAGTAAGATGTGTACTCATGCATGCCAGATCATTGATGTCAGTGTAAACTGTGTTAAATGTTAAAAAGTAAAAGTACATGTAAATGTTATCTGATCCATTGGGAAGGTGATCATGCATGATATTCTAAATGCTTAAATAAAAATGTAGAAATGATGTCTTGTGTATTTACAATAAATAAACATGTACAATTTTAATTACTTTCACTATTTCACTATAAAACTTTTTTGTCACATGACTACAAAACATTTTCGTCACAGTTACAGTTTTAATAAAAACATTAAATATTTCTGATAAATTTTTACATAGTACCCATTGACATGTTGATATTAACCCTACAGGTCCTGACTGAAAACAAACTTATATTATATGCAGAATGATATAGCATTTAATCTTGCCAAAGCTACACTAGGTCATAGAGTCATGGCAAATTTAAGGTCATTTAATTGGTTATCTCCCCGAGCCTATAGTCATTGAACAAATACTGAAATGGGGGAGTGTACGGCCCTATATGTTCATATATTTGATAAATGATTTGTTTATCAAAATGAAAAGATTACGACTCTGGAATAGATAGTGAAAGCACTTGAAAAAATGCACGTGATCTTCCGACAACTGACAGTCGTGTGACTGTTTAACTTTTATTATAATACAATCACGTTTTAATTCCTAGAATTATATATATTCATTCTTGTCATAAAAAATTACATAAATTGATTGAAAATTTCAAATGAAATGATTAACTTTCACTAATAAAACGGTCCATATTTAGGGTGGTATTGAGACAAAGCCTTCTAATATCAAGCTGCTGGAATCATTTGCCTATATGCCACTATTAGAGCTCAGTTACATATATGCATTCTTGTCAAGCTCTGTAAATAACTGTTGGATCGGCATGAATTAACCTTTTACCCTATTAGCATATTGCAAAAACTGGCCGTTTTCATTGAAAAGCCTCCTGTAACAAGTTCAAACTGCTATGAAACTATGAAAAATGCTTTAATACTGATGAAACTTGGCACAAATGTTGACAAGACCATAGCCTCTGTAACAGCATGCTCAATCGTAAATTTCCTGTTACCATGGCAACGGGGGGACGTCTCAAAATTGCCAAAAATCACTATTTTGCATTGTTTTTTTTCCATCAAAACTGATTTCAAAGTGCTGCAACTTCTCAATTAATTGAGATAGAGTAAAAGGCTTAATTTTCAGCATCGGTTACTTGTTACCCTGAGATTGACCTGAGGCCATTTTTAGCCTGTCACATGTCCAAAATTTTCTTGGCGATGAGGGGGACTGCCGGCCCCCTTCAAACCCCCAAAACAGAAGGGGGCACATCCCCCTTCTGGCAACCCCCTGATGTAACATTTGGATTGGGGACCGCGACGAAAAAGTGGTCACTTTTTTAACAACATTTTTCAAACGAAAAACAGTGTTTGGGGTCTAAATAGGGCATTTTTTCACTGTTTGAGGCCTCAAAAAGGCGAGAGGGGGGGGGGGGGCAAAAAGCCGTCGGAACACGCTTATATAAGGGAAGAGGTTAATATAACCCATTTATTCATTTAATATTATAGCTTATCCGTTCTGATTGAAAACTAACTTCAGAAATTTGCTACAGTAATTAAACAAGTTTTCATATTGTAATGTTGTAGATCAACAATGGAGAAATGAAAATTGTTAGCAACAGAAATTAAGCACATGGTAAACTTATGGTAAACAGAAGAGAGACATACATAGTTAATTAAGTAAATTAACTACATGTACAAATTGGTCACTAACAAATAGCCAGTAGTGTCTGCATGAAACACTGTTTGTTCATTTTGCTCCTGTAGGGTATTGCTACCATAAATTATTCATTGTTGTTGTTATTTTGTTATTTTTTTATCAGGAAGCAACTCTGCATGATAAAAATTTGTCCCCATTATACTGCCAATGCTTTGTTGTTTAAAAGAGAAAAGTAGGCATTGTTGAATGGTGTAAATATTTGCTAGGCTATGATATATTATTAATCAAAGTATATATTGAATTTCTTTGTTTGAAGTGGTATTATTGGACAGTGTTAGCACATTTTTGTTACGCTATATTTGTTTTTGTCTGAGAGTTTCTGGAACTGAACATTAATCAAATCAGTAAATAGGAAACATTTTTTCACTATCTACATACCTATATAATTATGTATATAACTTCATATATTAAATGTTACAAATTGCTTTATTGATTGGGAAAAACCTTTATGTATATAGAATAAAGATACAGACAAAATTGATTGTGATGTACTGGTCAATTATAACCCCTGCCCCCCAACTTGGGGAATAGTGGGGACTTCAATGGAAGTTGTAAATATCTGGAAACATTTTTGGGCCAAAACAATGACACGGTTAAAACAGCATTGACCCTACAGTGTGGAGGCGGTAGACTGTTTGTTTGTAAAAATTGGGTTATTTTTTCAGCTATCCTCCATATTGAATGACAAGTATTAAAAAAAAAAAAATAAATAAATAAAGAAAAAGAAAGAAAAGAAAAAAATAGAAAAAAGATTTAGAATTTTAGATAAATTCAAGATTTAAAATGGCATGACTTTTAGAATAAAGTTAAAATCTGTTGTGGTCATAATATAAGCTTTAAGTGAAAGTTTTGTCCTAATACTCTGTTTTTCCAGAATATTTTTTTCTAGTTGTAAAAATGATCCAAAATTGAAAAGTGTTGCAAGGCTTTTCGATCAAATCAAGCTAAGAATAGAACAAAAATATGTTTCAATGTATTTCTTTCATCTTTTGCATATCTTTCTGTTTACATGTAATTTGCTTAATTTTATCTTTGTAAAAAAATTCATATTTCATGTTTATAGGCTTTTGGACCTCAGTGGAGTCCCTTTAATGTAGAAACCCTACACAATGCCATCATTTATTTTTATATTCTTACAGATTCCTTGCATCCATGAAACCTATTTTGTCAGATGAAGATTTTATAGAGCTGCTGACAGCAACAGAGACTTTCAGGACAAAGGAGGGACCAAAACTTCAAGAATACCTACAGCGCAGGTAAACACTTTTAATAGTTTATATGTATACAGTCAAACCTTACAACCTGACCCTGCCATTATAATACTACTACTACTACTACAAATGATGATGATGATGATAAAGGCAATGATGACAGTAATGATGATGATGGTGATGACGATGATGATAAGAAAATAGTTATAAAATGATATTAAATCAACAACAACAACAAACCCACATGGACTGCTGATATGTTCAATATGAATTTATGGATGTAATGGATTTACGTGATATCTGAAGAAGAAAACTATGCCAGTCAACTTGGCTGAAGATTGATTTTCCTTTTAAATTTCCCATATGGAATTTTCTTTTTATATTTTCTTCATTTAATCATATATCTATGTATTGTCATGATAATTTATGGCATTGAGACTCCAGTTTAACAAAAGGTATATATTATATGAATAAATTTCTTTCATGTCTGGAGAATTTCCCTTTTAAGTTAAGAATGCATTTGATTTCAATAGATCGGCAGAATATGACATAATGTCATTATTCAGTATTGATGAACTTAAATGAATATAAAAGTGCTAACTAGATTTACACTACAGGATTTTAAAGAGGTTTTATTTTCAGTGCACAATATTATATATATAATATATAACTGGTGAAATATTGATTTATTATAAAGGTATTGATTGAAATTGAATCCAGTTCAATTAAAAGTAAACATACAATTAATATTATGTCTATATCAAATACATTCATGTCTAGGAAAGGCTTTGTAAAATAAAAAATGTACATAATTTTTGTCTGACTCAATTTACTTTTGTGTTACAGACTTTTGATTTATGTGAAAATCCATATTATTTTGTTTGGTTTAGCTTATACAAATTTATTTTAGTTTGATTGTATTGGAAGCTACAAGCTTATTGAAACAGTCTTTAATTTATTTCTTGAACCAACCAGTACTGAGCTATGAATGTAAAGTTTCTTGCTCACAGAAACAATGTCTTGTTTCTGATGGGGTTTGATCCCATGGGGCCAGAAATCCTTAAATTACTAGACCGACACATTAACCACACAGCCTGTCATGCAGCCACCCAACTGTCATTTTTTTGATTTGATAAGTCGTATCAAACATTCAGTCCACTTCAAACTAAAATGTTACCATGTGGCTCTAATTTTTCCTTATGTGAAACAGCTGAGCAAATTTCATGAAGCCTGATGTAGATAAAGATACGCCAAGAAGATATATATCAAGTGTTTCTTTTTCAGTCACTGAGCCAGGTTGTTCTGAACTTAAATATGCATGTTGTTCAAACGAAAAAAACAACTTACAGATTGTTGCAAAATTTTTATAAAAATATCTAACCATGTACATAGTTTTGCATATAAGATGCGAGTACTGACAAAGACTTTGATTAAATGATATATTCATTAAATATGTCTTTAATTTCAGATCGATCAATAAGCGATGTTGGGTGGAGGATTTCTGGTTACAGTTAGCATACCTGGGCTGGAGAGAGCCAAGTGCAGGTAGGTCATGTTAAATTAACCATAAGATTGTTTGCGGCCAGAGATTTTACTCATGCAATCAGTAGTAGAGATCTTGATCACGGTCTGCACTATTCGCTATTCAGTCAGTACTTATTATTGAAATTTTTGCTATAAATGTGGAATGATTTTATACAAATTGAAAGATGGACTGGTCGATAAAGATGGACTGGTCCATCTAAGATATTTAGCATGGTTAAGGATTTATGCACATGGACTTAAAAAGAAAAAAAGAATAAAACATTGCATTGCAATATATATTAAACTGCTATTACTAGTAGGTTTCGGATTGACTTTTGCACATGCACTATCTATTTTATTGGAAGGTTACAAACATCATATTTTAAGCTTGATTTTGATCAAGAAATAAACAAGTATGAGACTACAGACAAGCCAGTGTAGCATTATACCCTTTTAGTAACAAAAGCCTTTGAATTATAATAGATTGTTCGGTATCAAATGGTTATGCACTTTAAATGAATGCATATTTTTCATTCCCTTCAAAGGAATGGTAGAAAATTATAAACTATATTCCACAGGGAAATAACATACTTTACATTATTTTAAGTATATTGTAAAAATGGAATGTCTTTGAAGACATACAATGGAATGGGTATGTGATGTTAGAATAATGCTAAATTTAACTATGTTATTTCAGTTAATGTGAATTGTTATGCTGTCGACAGGAAGACCTCCCCAACAACCAACCAGCTTGCACGAGCAGCCAATATCATTCACCATGTTGTTAAGTATGTATCACTTTTATATACATGTATACCATTACTATTCTAAAATAGTATAACTGACATACCCTGCTTTGAATTTATGAACTGGTCCTTGATATTTAAATAGGTTTAAGAATACAAAAATTGAATTTCCTACAATTTAAAATTGGCCCTGATAAGCCTTTGGAGGGATGGGAACCCGAGCGGTGTTGGGCAAGTGGTTGAATATCAGCATCCTTAGGCTTAACCACTCAGGCCTTGGAGGCTGCATTAATACCAGTTGAAAGAATATATTTATTATCATAGAATAATTACAATTATACAATTATCATAGAATAATTATTTTTATACAATAATGAAATATAATACAAATGTAAATAAATACTATGATGGAACAGTTGGCATTATACAGTTTTGTCACTACACTCGCTGAAAGCAAAGGCTTGTTAGTACAGGGTATGTGTGCCATGGTTGTACCAAGAAATTGAACAGCAACAGAATGTTATATACATTTGTATTTTCAGATATTATGAAGCAATCTGTGAGGAAACATTGGTTCCACAATATATGCAAGACTTAATACCTCTCACCATGGATGGTTACAGGTAGGTCTTCCCTTTTGTTTAGTACTAGTAGAATATACATACATGTTTTGTGGCATTTTATTGAAAGATTTGCTCAAAAAATAGAATTGCAGTAAATTTGCTCAATAGGGAAAGCATCGGATAAGAAAATTGAAATCAAGGGGTCTCTGGTTTGATCCTGGTCAGGGCGTAATTTCTTAGTGAAAATTGACCTCAGACATTTAGTCTAATGGTCATTTGTCACTCACTGATGATTCAGATATTGTGGGATTAGTAGTTGGTCACTTGCCAATAAAAAATGATAATAGGAAAGACAATTAGGTGGAGCGACTGGTGAGATATGACCAAAAATGTGTTACAGTTGGCATTTAAGGAAAACAAACAAAAAAACTGATTTCATTTCAAAGAGAGTACTTAAGCAGAGTGTTTCTTCAGGTGCTCATATGTTTATTGTAACGATATGTAGTATGGTAGATTTGAATCTCAGTTAGCTATTACTTAGAAACAAGGTTATGGATGTCATATTCTTATTTATTTTTGTTCGAGTTCTTAGTGACTCACCTTTATTCTTGATCTATACAAGAACTGATTTGTGGAATTAATACTCATGTGACCCAATTCTTTGCTATGTGGAAAACAATTTACTTCAGATCTTTTTTCCATAGCCAATTGACAATGCCTTTTTTTATAATGCAGAAAAACGCATTGCACAGCTCGCCTCCCCAAAATTGGCATGGACGGACAAATCACATACAAGGACCAGAAACATATTGTTATATATAGAAAAGGGGTGTACTTTAAACTGGACGTATATAAGACCGACAGTGATGGCAAGGAGGTTCAGTTGTCCATTCCCGAACTGTATGTGATACTTCAACAAGTTATTAACCTCGCTGATGGTATGTTAAAATACATTGTATATATTTACATAAATATACTATGATGAATTAGATGTCTAAAAGTGTGTATCGGCGGGTGAAATGGCGAGATATTAGAATTTAATTTGTCCAGTACAAACTGGAATGTAGTATTTAGTGTGGTGCTCCAATGCATTTTTCAGTCTCACTCATACTTTATGTACTGTTGTGACAAAAACTGCAAAATCCCATTAATATAATGAAAAACAAATTTAAATATATTTTCTTTTTGATAAATAGTATTAAACAAATCTCAATGAGTTAAATTAGTTTAGCTAGTACAGAATTTAAATTTAGTTCAATTGTTTAGGGAAATATAAGCTGATAGACACACTCTAAAATTTTGTTGCTGAAACTAAAATTCGGCTTGTCCAGTCTGTGTCTCATTGCGTTAAATAGACATACCAGTCTTCCACAACTTGCTGTAAAATTCATAGGCCAGTCTAAAATCTGTTCAGTCTGACTAGACAGTCATTTGGCTGCTCAATATTTACTTGAATCTACTTGTATGACAAGTGCGGACCAAGATCAATGTGCACATCCATGCTGTCTTATCATTGTCTGCACTGTTTGTTACTCAGTCAGTACACCTTGCAATTTAAAATTATGAATAGTTTTGTACAGATTAAAAGATAGTTAATTCCATATAGATATATAAGATATTAATCATGGTAAGCGTTAAAATGTAAAATGACAATGGCATTTAAGTTTATTTATTTTATTCCAGATGCAAAAGATTTCTGCCCTGTTGGAGTTTTTACAGCACAAAACAGAGATTATTGGGCCAAGGTTTGTTAAGATTTTTTTTACTTTTAAGCAGTATGCAGCATCCGTCTGAATACTGCTAAGATTGTATGCTATCTTTTACCTATTAAAATTGTCCATTCTTTACAAATTCCTTTGTGTTAGAAATTATATATATAAGACATTTATAATTGTCCTTCTTCAAATTATTTAAGGTAAACAAGGACTGAATTTTGTAAATTTTCTAATTTCTACCTATATCATTAATATTCACTTTCAAGGCTTCTTAATTACCACATTTATCAAATTTATACATGTTAGATATTGGCAATGTGACATAACATTTAGTTTTATAGCTATTTACTCATTGAATGTTGTTAGAAACGTATGCCATCTGAATAAAGCCAGGTTAGCATGCATCACAGAGCAGTCTGACCTGGCTTTATACAGTTAGCTTATCGGTTTTTAGTATTTCATATTGAAATCAATTCAATTTCTCATAGGACAAGTCCATATTAAAAATTGTACATAGTAAGAGTTAAAACATGATACAAAAAATGATGAATATGTTAATTGTTCTTTTGGTACTTTTTCTTCAGGTTAGGGAAAGACTGGTTGCAATAGATGTTAACAAAGAAAGTTTAGCAAGTATTGAGAGCAGTATAGGCCTGTTTTCTATTGAAGAAGAAAGTCCTAAGGTAGTATATTAGATGTGTTTTATATTTTGATGTTAAACATCTCTTATTTATGAACGTAACTGTCCTATGTGAGAGATGATTTGTTTTTTACAAGGACCTTAAAGGTTAACCTGCTTTTCATGGCGGGTGTCTGTTAATTACGTATTCTAACTGAGCAAAATTTGAAACTTAAGGAATATTTCTTGTTAACTTACAGAATATAACAAGTAGATTAGCTATTGGAACGGGTTTTCGAATATATAAAATGTTACACAGAAAAAACATCATAGATCGTCCTTCCATGAAAGTTATTAAATAAAATTTTCCAAACTAGGGGATATAATTGTGCTTGAGAAAGAAGAAATTTATATACTATGGTTATCTATCTTTTTTAACCCATAAAATGCAGGAACTGAAAATGAACAGCCTTGTCACCAGTAAAGACTGTTCCAAATTAATGGCTGGATTAGTCCATTTCACAATTTAGGGGATAAGAAAGAAAAAAATATTGTTATTTTAATTATACTAAGATTATCCATCATTATCAAACATACCTATTAAAAAAATCCTGCACTTCCTGAGTTACAGAATATTTACATTTCTAATTTTTCCCAATGATAATTGCCTATGCAAAAGATGCTATCTAGAAGCTGCCAAATGTGGGTACCGTAATCTAGCAGTCTGACCAGGTTTTCTACATGTACTATCTTCTTCTTAATTTTAGCTTGTTTATTGTTTTGAATTCTTTTGAAAATGGACTTTTCCAAACTAAAAGCATGACTTGTGCATTGTACAAATTCAACTGTGTTGAGGAGTAAAAACATAGAACATGCAGCACACTGGATGGATTTGATATGACATATACTTGATTATCGTAATACATGTACTATTGTTGACATAATACATGTACTATTGTTGACATATGTTTGAATGATAATACTGGTTAATTAATAGATATTATGAGCCGCGCCATGACAAAACCAACATAATGGGTTTGCGTCCAGCATGGATCCAGACCAGCCTGCGTATCCACGCAGTCTGATCAGGATCCATGCTGTTCGCTTACCAACCCTATTACAAGTAGAGAAACTGATAGCAAACAGCATGGATCCTTATCAGACTGCGCGGATGCGCAGGCTGGTCTGGATCCATGCTGGTCGCAAACGCACTATGTTGGTTTTGTCGTGACACGGATATTATATTGTTTATTTAAAGGGTTTGGATGAGGAGGCTTCATTTACCATGACAGGACAAGGACCAAACAGGTTTGTAGATTTTTTCTTTTGTTTTGTAGCATTGTTGTTGTGTATTCTACAAATTGGTTCTATAATTATGTTATTTATAGTCACCACTCGGAAGCCTGTACTGAGGATTTGGTCAAGGAGTGTGGATAAGTTTAATTTCTTGTAGTGCAGTGCCTTATCCATACTAAATTTCTTAAATGGACTTGTCGAACTTTAACTTTTGGGACCTTCCATATATGTATTGATGTAACATCTATCTGATACTGATGTTACATATTTTTGGTATTGATTTGACATATTTAGTATTGAAATAACATATCTATTTGGTATTGATCAACATATTCAGTATTGAAGTAAAATCCATTTGGTATTGATTGACATATTTAGTATTGATGTAACATATCTATTTGGTATTGGTTGACATATTTAGTATTGATGTAAAGTATATTGGAGTCAGGGTATTCATTGGCATATTTAGTATTGATGTAGCATATCAATTTGGTATTGATGTGGCATAATAAGTATTGACATAACATATCTACTTGTTACAGATGTGACATATTTAGTATTAATGTAGCATATCAATTTGGTATTGATGTGGCATATGAAATATCAATGTAACATATCTTTTGGGTAGTTATGTGACATTTTTGAGAATTATTTATTACAGATTCTTTGACAAGTCTTTGCAGTATATTATATATGCCAATGGCAAGGCAGGAATAAATGCAGAACATTCTTGTGGGGATGCTACTGTAAGTAACTTGAATTGAACGTAAACACTTCACCTGTATATGACAGTCGAATGTAGGTTAGAGTTTCAACGCAGGTTACATCAGGACTTCTTTATATAGAGTTGGATTATCTTGAAAATCTTGCCAATTTTCTGCTATTGTTATTTTGTTTTTAGTTTCGTTGCCACTGATTTGAAGATATTGAATTTGATATCTTTTCAAGAATTTTTATGAGATACATAGTACAAAGAGTTAAAAAAGTTACAAATTCTAAAAACTTTCTTTGTGTTTATTGTAAGTTTATTATGTTTTACAGTATGCAGCACGTCTATGGGAATATATCTTAGCTGTAGAAACCTACAACAATGACGGAGGTGTTGCCAAAATCTCAGACCAACACTTGAAAAACCTTCCCACTCTTCAGAAGTGAGTTTCTTTATAGCCTTTACCCTGCTAAATACTGTATGCGTAGAAATATTCGCGGGCTTCAAATTTTCGCGATCTTCGCGGTGACATTCGATCCGCGAATTCATGTTCAGCGCGAATATTTCTACACAAATAATTTCTTAATAGTCATATATTCGCGCATCTATAGAACAATGTATATCAGAGTGTTCATGGCTGCCATAAGTCTGGTATCCGTGGTACTTTCAAAGATTGATTTAAATGTTATTTACACTGTACATGTAACATTTAGCTCTGTATATAAATCAGTTTGCTAGTGTGTTATTGTTTGACTTATATGAATATCGGATTCTTGTATAAGTATATACATGTTTGAGCAATACAATTGCATTACGTTATTTATTTCATAGTCTGAGTCATAAACGTCTTACCATCTGTTCAGATTATATTTTGTTTTTCTAAACAAACAATACAAATAATACAAACATTAACGATTCTAACTGATGAAAACATGGAAAACAAAACACAATTACTCAGTCAACATTTTAAAAAAAATGGTGAAAAGATTATGTTCTCATTCAGTGCTGTTTAACTGTGAATAATTACACGCACGTTAACGGACATTCTTTTGTTTGCCATAATCTGTCCGCTAGACAAATTGAATGTCTTTGTTCTGTACAATAGCGTATTGTTTGACAACAGGTGTTGAAAATAACTGTTAAGTCCCACAATGATTAAAGTAAAAAGTATGTGAAATGAAAGAAGGCTGCTTGCGAAAACCACAACCTAATCGTGTAAGAGTAATTTCCTTATTTTTTAACCTGATGGGTGTACGCGAATTTATGATTTTCGGCAGTCACCTCCGCGAATTCAAAATAGCGCGAAAATTTGTATATACCCCCAAAATGGACCTTTCCGCGAAAATTTGCTTCCGCGAATTTAAATACACATAAGTAGCTTAAATGGACTTGTCTGCCTTTCATTCTAGATGAGACCATTTATCAGATTTAGGGATAATTTCAAAATATCTGCCGACTGAATAGCAAACAATGCAGACCATGGTCAAACAACATTAATGTGCCGGCTGATCTTTGTCTGCACTGGTTGTATGGGTAGAATCTTATGCTGCCGGCAATGAACTAATGGTTTAAATTATCGTGAAAAAATTTCACACTGCTTAAAGACTCATCCAACTGATTCAGTCTTTAAATTAAAGAGGGTGTCAGGGGCTACTTTGGATTCTTTTATGTGAGTTAGCTTTCTGGCTAGCTTATGGAAGATTGTTGGTACTGCATGTACTAAAGTGTCGGTTTGTGCAGAGAATCTAGGACATTTGCCCCCCAGACAGTTGGCCCCCAGTTTGCCCCCCTCCCCCCTTTTTTTGCAGTGAGAGACAGTTGCCACCTCATATGTATTGAAAGGGCCGACATTTGCCTCCCTAAAATTTATGGAAGGCGGACAGTTGCAACACTGTATTAAAAAAGGTTGAGGGTGGACATTTGCCCCCCCCCCCCTGTGATAATTGTCTGGATACCATACACAGAAGGTATTTTAAGTTTTTGTCCCTCATTAAAGCTGGGATTTTCAGTATTGGATTGACTTCATATTCAGCCAAAATAAATTCATGTAGATAAATGAATACAAATGGGGTCGATATGCAACCAGTCTATTTTATTTTTGTTCAGGTTAGACTGGGACCTCAGAGACTTTGAAAGGGAACTTACAGAATCTCAAGTCCATTTCCAGAAACTGGTAAAATTATATTTCTATATTTTTTTGTTCTTTCTTAGACTTGATAAAATAATAGTTTCTCAGTAAGCTTTGCTTAGAGCAGTTAATCTTAATTAATTTAAGAAAAAGTGATGGCGCTAATTTTCATTGGCGGAGTTACACAGGTGCAAACCCAGGTTATAATATGGTGAATGTATTTCTCAAAAAAGAATATGAATATTTAGTTAATCTTGGATCAAATTTATTCTGTAATTACAGAATATTTATAGTTTTACTCTAACATTACATTTACTTTGCCATTATAATAGGCTGACAGTTTTGGAGTGAGACTGGTATTTGCAGAGTATGGTAAAGGTTACATTAAAACAAAGAGAGTCAGTCCTGATGGATATATACAGGTAACCAATCATTGTGTTACGTTTGAACCCTGAATTTGCATAATTATGGATTGCCCTGTATTGAAGTTGGAACAGTCCATTCAAAGTCTGGCCTGGCTCCATACTGGTGGGAAAGGCTACTTGTTTTCGGTTCCAACAGTTAAAGGGTTAGCAACCTTGGAAGTTTATGTTGTATAGGATAAAAGAACTCTTGAAGTTGAGTGCAAATACAGTCGAGACTGCCTTAGCGACCCCCTGATTTAAACGACTCCCTGTCTTACCCGACCTTGTTTCAGTACTCCCAACGTATTTTCCTATATAAATGGTCTGAATTAAACGACTCCCTGTCATATGTGACAAGCGACCCTAATTGTCAGGTCCCAATGCAATGTTTGGTCTGATTTAAACGACTTTCATACCTTTTAATTGTCCGTTAAATCAGATAAATAATACCTATTATAACACCCAGAGGGCCAAAATAATTAAGTCCAATTATAATCCAGTAGCAAACAAAGTCTACACACCTCTATCTCAATTACACAGTTGACATGTATAAATGCAGGTATCAAGTGACGTAGCGTCTGTTTATGGGAAGCATGACGCAATCGATGTGTGTGTAATGTACATTATGGCCTGAGTAAACTGGTTAAGACTTGTGTTAGATTTTTTTTTTAATTATAGAGTGCCCACGGAAGATTTTTTAGGCAGCCTATTTTTTATTTTACCTTTCTATGACTGCATAATTAATACGGAAAAAAATATTCATACTAAACCAGAAAAACCTTTGGATATGGATATTTTGAAAGATCATGTAACACAATTTTTCATGGTTTTATTTCATAAATATGATGCTCAAATTAAGATTTGTCAATATTGTAAGTTCAAATAAGCATTATTTATAAAGATATCACCCAATTTAACATTTAATATCACCCAATTTAACATTTAATATCACCCAATTTAACATTTAATATAAATAAAGGCCATTAAAGGGAGGTAATTAGAACTTTATTTTCTATGAATTCAATGTTAAATTTTCCAATAAGTAATCAATGCATGTAATTTATTGATTAAATATAATGTGCACAAATATTTTCAGTACACATTTTACATATTCTTTGATGTTTGAAAGTTGTTTTATTTGCATAATTATATCCATATATATATTTTTTTGCAAGTGTTGTATACACTCTGTAACAATATCAATCACAAAACATAAAGGATCTTTAAGTCACGTTGGTATATAGACAGCTAGATGATACTTAAGTTTAATTTTCTTTGAGACTGTATTAAGAGACTCCCTGTCATATGTGACCTTTTTCTGAAGATCCCTTGGAAAGTCACATATGACAGTCTCGACTGTAGGTGTGAAAGGCCGCTTTACACTTTATCATTAGAACATTACCAATAAATTCAAGAGAATACAATTCTACAAAAATTTATGTGTGTCATTTAGCTTATTGGTTGTTAATGTGAACAAGAACATATAATTAAATAATTTGCTGCAAAATGTAAAGTTACTTTCACTTTTACCTGAAGGGTCATCATTTAACATAATTTGGCATAATGCAACTTTTAAAGGATTAATAGTATATGTACTGTCTGGAAAAAAGTACACAGTTTGTTAAGATATTCATCATAGTATAGAAATACTTTTGTTTAACAATTGTTTAACTTTTATTATTTGCAGATGGCAATTCAGTTGGCATATTATAAACTTCATGGTAAATTTGTCAAGACATACGAGTCAGCCTCCACCAGGTAATTCAAATTGGAACTTTGTCATGCTTTAGTTTTCCTGTCTTAAATATTTACATAACATTATGAAAAAATGCTAGAAAGAAAAAGGAAATTAAAGAAATAAATTTTTATTGAAAAAGCAAATCATTGATTGAATTTGATTCATTGGTATTTTAAATAGCTTGATATCATTTATCTGTAACTATTTCCCTGCATATACCTGCAGGTATACCAATTTCAATCACAGTAATACTTATTTGCTTGCAAGATGGGTTTGATATGAACAAGTTTATCCAAATTTTGGGGGGATTTTTTTGTGACTTCTAACTTGTTATATAAATAATTTCATATTAAACTCCTTAAAAAATCTGTTATATCAGTTTTATTTAGTCAAATAATAAGTTTCTGTATGTTTTTCAAATACAGTTCTATAATTCTTGGTAATTTCTCAGGCAAATACACAATTCTTGGCAATTTCTTGGGAAAATACACTCATCATATCATGAAACAATAAAAACTACGGTAGACAAAAAATTATGTTTTGGCATTGACTCATTTTGCCACAGAAATGATTAGTATCTGCTTGAAAGTCAATGTACAGATTGTATTTTGAATGATTTATTATATTTTAAGATTGTTCGCCAATGGTCGTACAGAGACGATACGTCCTGTGACAGAATCGTCTGTTGCCTGGTGTAAAGCTATGTCAAGCATGAAGAAGACTACGAGAGATCAAAAGATATTACTCCTGAAGCGGGCAATCAACGCCCAGACCAAGGTGAAGAACGAGGCTGTTGTTGGACTAGGCTGGGATAGACATATGTTTGGTCTGTACGCCTGCTGTAAGGAGCTTGGAATGGAGCCACCCGCATTGTTCCAAAATAAGGTAACATAATGTTATACAGTTTTCTTTTGATATTGTATCCTATTTTTAAGATACACAAGAAATATCTTTTTGCTTATTCACCAATTTTTAGCTCGACTTTTCTATGAAAAGGGGAGCTATCCTACTCGCCCCGGCGTCGGCGTCGGCGTCGGCGTTGGCGTCACACCTTGGTTAAGTTTTTCGTACCACCCCACTTTATTTCAGAAGTATTACAAGTATGGCTTTGAAACTTACCATACTTGTTCACCATCATAACCTCCATCTACAGACAAGAGTACATAACTCTGTCAAGGTTTTTGACAGAATTATGGCCCTTTTTTGACTTAGAAAGTGTATTGAGCTTGGTTAAGTTTTTTGTACCACCTCACTTTATTTCAAAACCATTGGAGGTATTGCTTTGAAACTGACCATACTTGTTTACCATCACGACCTTCATCAACAGACAAGAGGACATAACTCTGTCAAGGTTTTTGACAGAATTATGCCCCTTTTTGACTTAGAAAATACATTGAATATGGGTAAAATCCACTTATTGCCTTAACCCTTTGAGATATTGCTTTGAAACTTTTAATGCTATTTCACATCATTACCCCCATCTGTACGCAAGAGAAGGTAACTCTGTCAAGGATTTGTTTTAAAAATTAAGGCCTTTTATCGACTTAGAATCTTGGTTAAGTTTTTAGTACCAGTCCACTTTTTGACTGAACTGTTTGAGATATTAATTTGAAAGTTGGAATACTTGTTTACAATCATGATTCCCAAACATGTCCAGGAGAAGGTAATTCTGTCAAAGATTTTATTTGAATTATGGCCCTTAACTGTCAATGTTTTGTATTATAATCAGGCTTTCTACTGGTCCCTACTTTTCCTACTTTTCCTACTTTTTCCTACTTTTTTCTTTTGATCCCTACTTTGCCCTACTTTTTTCTGAAATAGCCCTATTATCCCTACTTTTTCATTTTGAAATGAAAAAAAAAAGATATTGAAAGTGGTATTTCAGTTGCATTTTCAGTTGCAATTGATGAGTAGTTCAGGTGTGTGTGTGTGTCTCCTTGTGATGTCCATCCTTGAAAGACTCATGGTCAGAGCTGCATTACTGTATGTACTGCAGCGATTTTGCAAGTACTGGTACTGATACTGAATTACTCTTACAAAATTTTGCTACTACACAGGTACTGGTACTGCATTGCTGTCTTAAAAAGGTGGTACTGCTACTGCATTACTAGGCAGTACTTTTGGTTTTGATAAAAATGTCATCAATTTTTCTCATAAAGTAAAGCTGTAAATTCCATGTATTATTTTATTTTTGTGAAAAGTAAGTTATCAAATCTATAAATAATTTGCTGCAATATTCCTTCAAATGTTAACTTAGTATTTATCATAAAAAAGCACCAAAGACTTTAAGTAAAATTAAAATTGAGATAAACAGAGTCAATAACTCTTTACTGATAAAATATCCTTATTGCAATCTTATTACTTTGTATTTACTAGTAAAAAAAGAGCAAAATAAACACTAATTAATTACTTCTATTCTAAATAATCCTATTTCAAGTGATATTGTTAGCACCATAAAAAGTTGTTATTTACTTTGGTATAAATTGAACAGAGGTGTGAAAATGTGAAAGGCAACAAAAAGACTGGTGGGTTTAAAATGTAAGATTATTGCATTGTATTACCGTTGACTGGTTACAAAACAATAACATACAAGAAAAGCATTGATTCAAAGCATCAAAGGGCGTCCAAGCAAGAAATGCAGCAAGTGAAGATGAACTAGTACACATATGATGACAAGATATTCTTATAAACTACCAGAAATGTATAACACTTATGAATGAGCGGACGAAAGACATTGTTCATTATGAACTTTGATTGGCATGCTAGAGATTAGAATATTACTTGTTATTTCTTTATGATCGTGGTTATTAATAGCAACGGATATACATGTATGCAATCATTTATAATCCATATGTGTAACGCATGATCAACACGTACCACACATTTGTCCCTTATTATGTACATGTTATCGCTATTAGCGAAGACCCCCTTAAGGTATCTGTTCACACTTTAAGTTAGTAAAAATATGACACTGGTTATATTACCATGTTGATCATGTTGAGCATAATTGTTTATTATACAATAATTGTAATATCTATTAATTTTAATTTTTAAAAAAAATACAAATTTTATGGATATTGTTTTCTTTTATTCTTTTTTGTGTTTATGTGCTATTTTAATACTGAGTTTTTACTACTCTTTTTTATTAAAATTGTAAAATAAATTTTAAGAATTCAATTGTCATATTGACCGACGATTATAAGTCAAAGCTTAACTGGAAAAAGTCAGTAAATTATGGTTTATCTTTCAATATATAATATTGTTTATTCTTAAACCATGTACATGTACATTGTATTTTTCTTTATCATTTTTTAAATTATCGATCAATTGAATAATTCATAAAATCTAATTTGTAACTTTGAATAATTCCTCGGCATCTTTACTAAACACGGATAACAAATTGAATAATTAAATAAAATGTTTCAAAGTTGATAAAGTCATTTTAATACCATAAAAAATGTACCTTTTTCTCAATTATTGTACATATCACGGATTTATATTACATATAAATCCGTGTACATATTTATTGTTTTTATCTCATATAGATAAAATGAAACATGCTATTGTTGTTTTTTTCTAATTGTAACGATATCAAACATCTACTCCAAAACCGGGAGAGACCGGACAATATAACGTGTGGTACTATTCGCCGGTCACTAGTAAATCCTGGTCAAAATAGACCGGGGAGAGACCGGCATTTACCGATAGGAGTGATAAAAAGATATATCTATAAATAGGTTTTTGGAATATTTAGGTCATCAACTGATCATTCTAGGATACATGTACAACAATAACATGCCATGACATGATAACCGACTGTGTACTACAAAATGATAAATAAAAAACCCCGAAGAGCGCGATTTATTGACGGAAAAGGTTATTTCATTTGTAAATGTTTGCATTGCGAAAATTCATTGTAACATATCGCGACATTTCATTCTTATTTAATAATCAAGCACCCTCATACCGATCGGAATTTTCGGCTTTTATTATGACCGACTAAAAGGCTCGAGAAGTTGCTGTCGCCCTTTCACAAAATCTGATCTCATTCCATAAGAGCGCCGCGCTTCGGCGCGGACGCCAATGACATGAATATATGTTGTAATTATTGTTTGTAAAAAGTATTTTCGTTCATTTATATAAGTTGTAAAAATGTAATGTCAACTTTAAAGTAAATGATTTTATTTCTTTGTTGAATAATGTTTGCAATTATTTAGAATGACACTATGTATTTATTCAAACTTTGATGAATATATAAAAGTATTAGTAGTCTACTGGTACTTAATTACTTCCCCCAAAAAGTACTGGTACTGCAGTACCAAGCTAAAATCAAGTACTGGTACTGCAAATCTTGGCAAGTACTGGTACTTAAGTACTGCACCCTTAGTACTGATGCAGCTCTGCTCATGGTGCCTTGGCAAAACATTCAGCAACATTCTGCCTATGAGGTGCATGTCTTTCAAGCATGGACTGAACTGAAGTTACACACAGCCTGATGTGGTCTTGGTGATGGTATGTTTTGCTAATTCTTAAATAAAACAGTAAGAAATTCCTACTTTATCCCTACTTTTTAACATCAGAAATCCCTACTTTGCCCTACTTTTTGGTAAAAAAATGCCCTACTTTTTCCCTAGTTTTTTTGGTAGAGGCAGTAGAAAGCCTGTATTATAGGCAAGCACTAAAAAACTTAAAAAATCTAAAAAAATTCATTCCTATCCACTGAACCTGCAGTGTTCAAGGGTATCACACAATTCAGTAAAATAATTCTTCACTAAATATCTTAATGCTCATGGCCATTGTTCACTTTAAAAATACAGAGATTCTTGTATTGCCTTTTACTGCAAAAACTTTTTTTATTGGCAAGCAATAAAAAAGTCGAGCGCGCTGTCTTACGGACAGCTCTTGTTTTTATAACACTGCATTGCAATGAATGTAACAAGTTCTTGAAATTTTAATGTGAATTTCTTTCATTCTTGATGTATTTGACAGCTTAATATCTGTGTGTAGTGAAATTCTGGAGATTTAAGTTGAAACATTCAAAGATTTTTTTGAGACAAATTTTCTTGTTATTTTGAATAACTCCTCTATGACTCTGTGGTATAAATATACAATCATAAATAAATATTGGTAAATGACTAAATCACATTCACATTGATCATAAATTGTTAATATACATTTTACATTACACCCCTATTTTGTAGAATTGCTTCATGCCAGATGTGTTGAGTACGTCCCAGACCCCTACAAAATATACCCATATTTGGAAACAAGAGTCATCATGTCTTGGTGGAGGATTTTCCCCAGTCAGTAAAGATGGCTATGGCGTCTCCTACATTATTGTTGGTGAAGATATCAGTAAGTTAATTTGTCAGTCAGTTGTGATGAACGAAAGATCTTTCCTTTCAGTTGTCATTTTTAGTGGGTCATCTGTGGCAGAGTGGTTAAGGTCGTTAACTTCAACCACTTGGAGTTCGAATCCCAACAGGGACTTTGGATTCTGTTATGTTAGGGAACTTTCCAGCTATTTTTTTGAAGGTCGGTGGTTCTACTCGGGTGCCCGTTTGTGCCTGAAATAATGCACTTAAAGGCACCTGAGGTCTTCTCCACCAGTAAAAGCTGGAAAGTTGCTATATGACCTATTCTGGGTTGGTCAAGCATAAAAAAAGTCATTTAAAGCTAATATGTAACATAAAGTCCTGAGGCTTTATTACTCATGTAACTTGCTGGTCACAACTGATTCTACCCATATAACCAGTGCAGACTTAGATCTTCAGTCGTATCAATTAAATTTTCCCTAAAAATGATGAATGGTTCTGTGCAAATTGAAATATGGACGAGTCAATTTAAAGTGTATAAAGCAATATCTTACGCAATATTTTCATGAAATTCATAAACGGTAAAATTATTTCCACCACGGTATGGTGAATTCTTGAAAGAGTTTCAACTTAGATGATATATATTTTTGTTCCTTACCTTTCAGTATTGTTCCATGTAAGCACCAACAAGAACTCGACAGAAACATCCGAACATAAGATGTCAGAGGCCATTCTGGATGCCATGAATGAAATGAAATCCCTTCTTGATTAAATCTTCACAGTGCTCGCTAACATGTAAATTAATTTGAAACAGACTATAGATATGACATTATTTGGAAACACAATTTGAAACAAACTTTACTTGATATTTTCTGTTTGCATGAAAGAAGTGAAACCTCTTCTCGATTTAAGCTGAAAAAATGCTGGAAATTATCATCTGAAGATAAAATAGAGAAATAGACTATAGATTTCACAGTGGAGTACATACAATTTTTGAAACACACTATAGTTGACTGTTCTGTTTTTTACTAAAGTCTAAGTGATATACTAGTATCTATAGTTTTATTATTGCACAATTCTTACTTTTTCTGCACCTGGTGATTTTATTTTTATTTTTTTCTTTGTTTTTTAACAAATAAAACACATTATAATTTTTTATTTGCACCAAATTTTCTTGAGAGATATTTTTGTTTATTGTTTAATGTTTATATTACTATTTTTTTTTACTTAACATATAAAATTCTTCCAAGTACTGAAGCTATTGTTTTAAAATGTAAACTCGCAGCTTATTCTATGCTCATTTTTATTTTTTTCATACTTTTTTACTCTCATTTTTTTTTTTTTTTTTTTAAAAATGAAATTGATATAAAAATTGAGATGGATGAATAATGGATGAAACAAAAGTGGTGGTAGTTACATTGTTGTGTTCTTGAATTAGGGTTACATAATGAGATTGGATCATTTGATAACAGTACATTACAACAGAAAGTTACATATATAATGATTGTCATTTATTGGATGATTCTAAATCAGCCATTTTGTTTTGTATTCATTGAGTGAAAGTTTTTTTGTTTTTTTTCTTGACATTTTTTATCAAGGGTACAGAGTTACACAAAGTGTATGTATATGTTTTTGTTTCAATATCTGCAAATGTAAAGTTGATTGTAATAATAATCAATAGGTTTATAAACTTGCAATTTTCTCAATTTGATAAAATGTAATGTAAAAGTAATCAATAGGTTTGAGAGCTTGCAATTTCTACAGTCGTTGTGGTACAGTGTAATTGAATATACTGATTTCCTTTTGGATATAGCGGTAACTCTTGTTTGTTAATTGTTTTGAGCTCCTTTCTACAGTGACTAATTACTCTTTTCAATTACTCCTAATGATTCACAACGGTAATTACCAACCCTGTTAGCTTACAAATAGTTGATAGTTCTAGGTGCATGTAAATGGAATAAAAACTGCCAGGAATAATCGTTTTAAGAGATAGATATATTTGGTCAATCTTTAACAATACAGCTTCATTGACGTCTCTTTGATGTTAACAATGTTGGTGCAACAATTGTATACATGTATTTTGAAAAGACTTTTTCCTGCTTTTTTATTGCTTTATTTATTTTTGTCTGTCAAAAGTACCTTATTTTTTGTATGTCAAAAGTATCTTATTTTTTTATATCTTTTTTTAAAAGTCAGATTTTTTTTTAGTTGTTTTATAAAATTCACCAGGCATAGTTCTTTTTTGGTTCTTATTAAAGTTTTAGATTTTAAATCATGCCAAATAGCTTACAGGAAATATTTCCTATTGCCATACATTTTAAAGTTTTTTATATTTATAACTGTTTTCCTGTTATTTGATTGATAATTTTTACATTTATAATGATGCACATGTATCATGTAGTTTCTGTCTTTTTAAAGAAGGTTTGATATTTTTCAAGGTTTGAAAATGTTTTGTCTTTTTTCAAGGTTTGAAAATGGTATGTCTTTTTTTCCCTTCAATATTTGAAGATTTTATGTCTTTTTTCAAGATTGAAAGATGTTATGTCTTTTTTCAAGATTTGAAGATGTTATGTTCTTTTTCAAGGTTTGAAAATGTTATGTCATTTTCTTTCAAGGTTTGAAGATTTTATGTCTTTTTCTTCAAGGTTTGAAAATGCTATGTCCTTTTTCAATGATTTTAAGAGGTTATGTCTTTGTTTCAAGATTTTAAAATGTCATGATGTACATCGATATGAATGGTTTTAAACTGTATTTGTGTTTAAGTGACAGATTTATGCTCAGTTTTTATACTGGTCATTTATTTTTATCTTACTACTTTAGATTTAATAACCATATGGTTTTCATTGTATCCATTCTTTAGTTATAATTAAGCAGGGATTGGATTCGAATGTAGGAGAATAGTTTTAATTTTGCAATGACATTTTTCAAGCTTTTATCACACCATTGGCTATTTTAACAGTTATGTATTGACCTTTAAGTATGTCATGTTTAATTATCTTATCAAAGTCTTAGGTAAGTCATATAAAAGTAAGGCTATCCTTTGTCACCAGTATAGAGTCAGGCTGTCCTGCAAATCGGTACAGTGTGACCAGGCTTTATAGTGTCGACTGACTATAAAATCCCCCAAAAATTTGATAATGGACAGTTCCAAAATTTGAAACTGGATGAGTCCATTTAAGTAATTCAGTGGAGTTAAGTTTTAAAATTAGACATGATTTGCAAGTTTACAGTACTAGTATAACACAATTTACGATTTGAATAAGAATGGATGATTGAATTTTTGATATTATATTTATGAAGGAAACAAGGCACAGTTGAGCATCTATGTAAGATTTATTATGGAGAATTTTTTTAAATCTATTTGAAATTTTTACATGCTTTACTACTCGCCTGTTTTTTCTGACAGTGTAAAAATCCTGTAATTTTACTAAGTGTTTTAAGCTGTTAAATAAATGGATAGGCCTTATTTATGTGTTCACTTTGCTCAGCAAAACCACAAATGTTTGTTTCTATATATATCTAAATGTCTCGGTGATTTAGGTGCTTTTTCATAGCAGTTAATAGGTAGAATTTTTAGGGTTTGTGTCTAGATTTATTACTGCTATATCTTTCAAATAACACTTTATCAAATGTATAAGGTAGGTATTTTAATATATATGATGAAACATTCTTGCTAGTGAATTTTTAACAGTTTTACTGAAATAACATTTTTCAATTTTTGCTTTAAAACCTTCCAATGTTAACACTAAAAGTTGACACTTATTTTTAGAATCTATATATCAAATAGTTGTTTTGAACACATGTGGGAAAAAAAAATTTATATGAAAATTTCACATACTGTTGCGTGTGGTTTTCTGTGAAATTGGTATTCTTTAAAAGCAAAGATTTTAAAGATGATATAAATGAACATTAATTTATTAGATTGGACAGAATTTTGTCATCGACTAAGCTGTATGAAAATATTTTATATGTTGCAATTTGTCCAAATGTGAGGTTTTGATATTATTCACTTTTATTAAATTGGATTTTTGTTATTTAAAGATATAAAAGTTGAACGTAAAATGTAAATGATATACTGAAAAATTAATTTCACAAAATTAATGGAATCATGAAAGTTCAATTTAACAACACATTCTTTTTTTTATATATATATATATTTGAAAGTGATGTCATCATAAATTTGTTGAAAATAATTGTAACTTGGGTGATTTTTTTCATTAGATGTGCTTTTAGATTATTTGTATTCATTATAATCATCTTAATTTGTTTTATGTGAATTATAATAGGCTGCTTCTCTTAGTTTAGTTGGGTTTTACTTTTGCGTTACATGTTTAATTTTAAAGATTAGTTAATAATGTAATAGTTATTTTGTTGTAGATTAATTTATTAAAGTAATATGCTAAAACCTACATCCCCACTATTTTATAAATATATGAGTATATGAGTGCACAGATAAAACCCAGTATTTTCACTGGTTAGCATATATAATAAAGCATTTTATGATGATGTTTATGAGTATAATGATACTAACTGAGTGACATTATTTCTGGAAGATATTGCCAAATACAAAATGCCTCAAAAATTTAAAAAATACAATGTACTTTAGCACAATGGCAGTTATCGTCTTTCAAAATTTTATTGAAATAATGGCATAGTTGATGTAATTTTCATGCAATATGTATCATGTTTAAATAGAGTATTAATCAATTTCCAATGTACTACATTTATTTTTTTGCAGAATTTTTTTTTCTGTTGTTTTTGAGAACTTATATCAATGTATATAGTTTTTGCCACCAGGATAGGGCAAGGCTATTCTTCACTGCAGGTGGATACAGTCTGTATTGGCTGATTAACTTTCAAATTGACAATGCGATATCCCTTAATATTGATAATGAACTATTCCGAAATGAAAGTTGGAAAAGTCAATTCAATAATTTCAGCAGGGTGCAGAGTGAAATGAAAACATGTGTCTGTGAAATGGCTATTTTTAGACACATTTGTGATATTACTGGCCAGCTTTCTTGGGCATTTGTAATGCAAAGTATATCATATTATTTTTTTTTTTGAAAATCATTTTATTTTAGTTTCATTCATTTCTCATTCAGATATTGGGATCAAGTAACAGGGTACAAGGCATAAAAATACCTGACATTAATTAAAAAAGATGGCAGTTTTAGATTTTCCCTTCACTACATGTATAACGTAAAGAATAATTGATAGATCCCTACCCTGATTTTTTATTTGAATAATAATGTATTTAAACACAAACATGAACATGTTTTTTTTTAATTAACAAAATAAATATGTTGTTGTGCAATTCTTATTGTATCCACTAATCTGATAATTTGAATTAGACAAAATAGGGTCTACATTTGAAAGACATGATATATTATTAAAGACGTTGCATATATCGATCTCATTATGTTTTCTTTGTACATTTTGTATAAATGAGGTAAAATGTATTTGATATTTTCATATTTCAAAGCTTAGCTTGTAATATATTTTTGATCCACTTTTATTTTGTAATATTAGTGTTTACTTTTTCTTTGTTCATTAAAAATTTATAAAAGAATGAAACTTTTAAGTCACATCAGTTAAATAGAAATTAACAGAAACTATTATGATACTGTCTTAATTGATAAAAAAAGCACAACAATTAAATTTTTATTTCACAACATTTTTATTTTTTCTCAAGGGATTAGCTTAATATAGAAATGATCATTTCTTTTAAATCTGTTTTACCAATTCGCAGAGCCAGGCAAATGAAAGTATATTTAAAAGGTCATATTCATGATGGCCTACATAGATTGTTTGAAATGGACTATAACCAAATAGCTGATATGAAATGTACTATTTCTCAACTTATAAGAAATGTTAGATGTTACTGTTAAGGAGGACCAGCTAGTAGACTTACACATATATATTGCTTACATTGTAAATTTTCAGCTTGTATTGCATAAATTTACGTATTGTTTGTTATAGTATCATTATGCTTATTATTCACATGGGTGTTATGTGTACTAATTTTGCTAGATTTATGTTCTTTTTGGAATGATATTATTCATTTAATAGTATGATTTCGAATGTTATTTCTTTATTTATAGCATACGATTTGTATATTTTACTCTGCAAGTAAATTGATATACCATTAAAGTACCGAGATTTTTGTTTATTGTCAAACCCGTTTGTAGCCCCATGGCCTAGTGGTTGAAGTTGCTGACTTCAAAACACTTGGTACTTCGTCTCTGTGAGTTTGGATCCCATCTGGGATATTTGATATTTTCAATAACGGAGGGTCCATGGATCTACTCGGGTATCAGAAATAAATCACAAAAGGATACCTGAGTAATTCCTTTATCAATAAAGTGGGAAAGTCCCCATAAAACCTTATAAGTGTCAGTGTAACTTAAAACAAAACAAACAAAAACAGTTTGTCTTGAAATCATGGAACCAGTAATTTGGCATTTAGAATTAGCTTATGGTCCTGTACACCCCAGAGGGTATCATATTAAATTTACACTCTGTCTTTCTGTACACATAGAGATACTTGCATGACTGTGAGAACAATAGGACAGGTACATTTCTTTGATCAAAGGAAAAGTCACATAAGTACCATTTCGTAAATACGTCTGTCTGTCCGTGCACACACACACAACATTCGTGTCCGGACTTTAACTTGGTCACGAGTTACTTAGTCGTGGCCACGAGATAGCTAAGTCGTGGCCACGAGATACTATGTCGTGGCCACGAGTTACGAAGTCGTGGCCACGAAATAGCTAACTCGTTGCCACGAGATACTATGTCGTGGGCACGAGATAGCTAAGTCGTGGCCACGTGATAAATAACCAATCAGATTACACCATTTATGTTACTTTCCCTAATTAACTAGACATGTGCTGTAGTACAAGGATACCCCTACTTCACCAGCCTGTAAAAGTGCAATTTATACAACTTATTGACTTGTCGCTAATTTTACACTCAGCGTCACTGTGACTTAGTAACTTGTGGCCACGACATAGTATCTCGTGGCCACGAGATGAATAGAAACACACACATGTCACCTTTGTGCCACCGTAGAATACAGATTCTATGTTTTTGTATATCGATGGAAACATGTGTTTTGGAAAAAAATTTTTTGGATGACTTGGATTATTTAAGCATTTTACATAGATTTCAAACTAGCAAATGCTAACGAAAACAGAACATTAATTCATGTAGGACTTCATGCATTTATAAGAAAATGTTAATGAATATGTAGCATTTATAACGAGCAAAACATATATGGTGTTAACAAAATAACGAAATGAATACATATTCAAATAATATATATATATATATATATATATATATATATATATATATATATATATATATATATATATATTATATATATGTTAATGGTTTTAAGAGTGTAAAGATTCCCCAGTACACTTAAACAATACCTTATATTACGCTGATTAAAACAATCAAATTTAGGTGTATCGTGTCAAAAAATTATTGTCTTTTATCCGGTAATTGTTTTCCCACAACGTTATACTCGCACGCGGGCCGTTGCTATGGGTTTATGACACTATACAGTAGTATTTTATTTTTTATCTTCGTCAAGCTGCTAACAGCAAAAGACCGGCCTGTCAAAGGTGAAAGGTCTTGTCGGCAAATACTTTCAAGCTCGTAAATGGCAGCTTTATCAAGCCGATAGCGGGCCACAACTTCCTGATCACTCAGGCAATCCAAATGCACCATTCGCTAAAAGTCCGGCTTTTCCTTCGGCGTTGTCGATTCACAAGAAGTAAGGCGGCCATTTTGTTTGATCTGCGACTGCTACTTAGCAATCGTAGAAAAATGCATGATCTTACGATAATCGTAACATTAATGAAATCTGCGACGTTTGATAAGACACCGCCAATAGCGTACGATCGACGTACGACAATCGTACGATAAAAACGGTCGTACGACCGTTGATAAGACGGGCCCCAGGTCCCTACCACAAAGGTCAAAGTCACACTTAAGAGTATAAAGGTACACACACTAGGTCATGCATTAAAGTATTTTAAATTAACTTGGCATAAATGTCTTCCTCATCAAGATGATGTGGCGCGTCAAAAACCCATTTCCCTACCTCCAAGGTCAAGGTCACACTTATAGTTTGAAAGTACTCATTCTTGGGAGAAGAGTTTGAAGGTACGCTGAATCTTTGTCTTGCATTGAAAGATTTTAAAATTACCACATCAAGACAACGAGTCACTTTTAAGGCCCATGTCAATACATAAAAGGTCAAGGTCACAGAGGTTGAAGGTACACCACTTACTTAACAATCATGACCTGACTGTAACTTTGTCATGCAATGATTTTAATAAAAAAAACTTGGCACAGATGTCGATAACATCATGGTGATGGTTGCTCTAAGACCCATGTTGCTACCTCAAAGGTCAAAGGACATAAGTTTTAAGGTTTCCATTATCACAAAGGTACACACATTTGTTTCCAGACTATAACTTTTTCTTGCATGGAAGGATTTTTAAATAACCTGGCATATATATCTACCACATCAAGACGATGTGTCACATCCAATACCCATGTATCTACCTTCAAGGCTAACGTCACTCTAATAGTTTGAAGGTACTCATTCTCACAAGAATAGTTTAAAGGTACGCATTCGTGTCCGGACTGTAACTTTGTCATGCGAGACCTTGACTTTTGAGGTAGGGACATGGGTCTTGGATGCAACACGTTATCTTAATGTGGTAGACATTTATGCCAAGTTATTTTAAAAGCCTTCAATGCATTACGAAGTTACTGTCGTCTTGTTGCTATTTGTGTATTTTCACTTTTAAATCTTTCAAATGGATTAATGGTAATACCATAATTCTGTTTCATAGACTAGGCCCGCTTTGTCAAAATTAAAACGCTACACTGAAAGACATGTAGAATGTTGTAATAATATAATACTGTTGATGTACATGTATGATGACAATTTATTATCAACATTTACTTGACAGTAAAACTGTTCAGAAAGAATAAGGATTTTCTTCTAGTAATCATCAATCAACTCATTCAAAATAGAATGTTGAACTGACTTTTATTGGTTTTAAATTCGTTCTTCTCATTTGTCATCTACTGAATATATTACTCATAGATTTACCATCAATTTCTTCAACTAACTTTTGAAAAGTTACTATTTCTCAAAGCAGAATTTCAGCAAACACAAAAGAGACCCACTATTTATTTGTTTTCTTTTCAAATGTTGACATATAGAAGAATATATTAGTCTGATTTTGCAAATTTGAGGCCTCCCACATCACCCTCTGACTTGCTTAATTTACTGCACGTAAAAGAAACGATATATTCGCCGTCATAAGCATGGTCAACACTTTCTGCTTTTTCTAATACTTTGGAGACTTTAACTTCCTTAACGTGCTCAGTACCATCCTTGTCCACGTCATCAATAGCATGAATATATGCTTGATCTGTACTTGGGGTATCTCTATTTATATCAACACTAGTGTCCGTTTCACTTTCTTTTTGGCTGATAGCCAAAAATGAGTCAACTTCACCAACATCCGCATAAGGATGTGGAACAAGATAGCCAGCTGATTCGTCATTATTTGCTCCACCAATAATATCATCAGGATTGTCTAGGACGTCTTCGTCATTTATTTCATCATACATTCCACTTTTTGGAAAGGTTTTGTCAATATCAACTGTTTTTCTATGACTGAAAGTAGATTTAAACGTCTTGAGATTGTTTATAATTAAAACACATGTTAGATTCGTCATATTTGTATAATTCAAACGGATTTGCAAGTTGTAGGCCCACTTTAATAATACACGAATGCACAGACATTCATATAAACATTTTAAATAGGCCTTAATTGAGCATAGAATTAAAATAAATAAAATTATCAATGGATCAAAGTTGCAAGGATGTTGTTAGAAAGAGATCCTGACTGCTGTTTTCACATTAAGAAATAAAGGGAACCAGACAACTTTTTTAATTTACTTTTTTTAACGTCAGAATCTTGTTCTTTCAGATAAAAATACATATATTACCTCTTTCTGTTTCTGCGTTTCACATTTGTTTTCTTCCCTTCAAGGTACGTCACCCTTTTCTTCAACTTTCTGTTCCGTCGACACAAGAAAACAGCCCCTGAATAATAAGTAATTTGAAATAAATAATTAGTATCAAAGACAAGGTAAAAATCTTTTTTCAAAAAGATAAACAATGTGTTTTGTCCAGAAAGTTTGGATGGCCATTTTCCAGAATAACACGCGCATGTTGTTTTAAGAAAAGCCTAGGCTTCTCAGTTTCATTCACACATACAGAACAACTGGCTTATGAGCAGCTATTTCTCGGCAATACTTAACTATTGGAATGTCTAATAATTTTAAGGGGGAAATACCAACATTGATCTAAAATAATATAAGCGTTCTTGTTTGCTTAAACACTTGTTTTCAAAATAGGAAAGTATTGTCTTTTCCACTATACTATATAAAGAGTTACCTAGGTAACTAAGCTAACTTTTAGAAAGGTGACCCCAGTAACGTACAGAGTTTCCTATATAGAATCCTTTACATTATCATTATTAGCTTATTTATTTTTTTAAATTTCTATGCGAGGCATACACTCCGTAACACTATGTCTTAATACAAAGTAAGTCAAGTTAGCAAATACTGTTTTGTCATTTAGATAAACGTAAGAAATCTAAGGCAACAAGATTAGAGTGACAAGCGACACTTACTTTGGATAAAGTTGGAAGGAAACAAAATAAAAAAGAATAACCTGATATGAAAATCCAAATAAACAATGTTGCGACCAAAATATACACTATGCGCATTGTATGAACGTCATCTTGTTCGTCAGACATATAACGTAAGTACCCTACTGTCACGTGAATGTTGCCAACCGTAACCTAAGGACAGCCAATAAGAATACACTCGTATAACCATCAAAGTAAAAAAAATGTTAAAAGCTGTTATGTGTATCACGTATCACGTTTTTTAAAATCTTTACAAATGAACGACTGCTTACAGAAGAATATTCTAAGCTGCGGTCTCACTTATTACCGGCAGAGCCCAAGACCACCCCGGTAAGTTAGTGGGATGATCCGGGACGAACCAGTGAGAAATTATTGTTGTGATCACACCCCGGCAGCACCAAGGTGAAGGTACGGTTCATGCCAGTGCTTCTCCGGTTGTTCCCAGAAGATACCGGCAGAGCCCTGTTTTGACCCACTCAGAGCCCCGGTCGATCCAGGTAGAGCCCAGGACGATCCCGGCAGAGCCCCGGTAGAAACCCGGTGGATTGAAAACGCCCGAAAATGATGACGTTGATACATTATAATATATTTTCTCCTATTTAATAAGTTATTCGTGATGATTTTCTGAATATTCCTTATGCAAGACTGGACAGAGGGGAAATTAAGTACAAACAAGTGCAATCATCGCAAATTGCCGTTCTTCTTTTGAAAAGAATGGGCTCTACTGGGATCAACCGTAGCCTCATCGTCATCCTCCGGGGCTCTGTCGGCATTCACCGTGGCTCTGCTAGCATTCACCGGGGCTCTACAGTAGCTCTTCCGGCTATATCATACCCCGGATCATCCCCGGTTTGTTCCGACAGAGCTACGGTGCTTCCCCGGTGTAACCTCGGTTGTTCACAGCAGTGATGAAGCCGGCCAAGCTATACCTTCCCGGATCACACCTTTGATATTAAATATTTTATTCCATCCGGGGTCGTATGCCGGATGTTCCCCGATCATACCAGACGTTGCCGCCAGAGTGACGGATGTACCCCGGTCTTTCCCGGATCACCCCCGGACGTCTACCGGGGCTCTACCGGGCTGTAAGTGAGACAGCAGCTTAAGCTACAGTCTCACTTACATCCCGGCAGAGCCCCGACAGAGCCCCGGTAGACGTCCGGGGTGATCCGGGAACGACCGGGGTACGACCGGGAACAACTGGAGTACATCCGTAACTCTGCCGGCAACGTCCGTGATGATCAGGGAACATCCGGCATTCGACCCCGGATGGAATAAAATGTCCGGGATGATCCGGGAAGGTATAGCTTTCCCGGCTTCATCCTTAGCTCTGCCGGGAACGACGGGGGTTATACCGGGGAAGCACCGTAGCTCTGTCGGCATAAACCGGGGATGATCCGGGGTATTGTATAGCCGGTAGAGCTACTGTAGAGCCCCGGTAGATGCCGACAGAGCCCCGGTAACTACAGGCAGAGCCCCGGAGGATAAAGATAGAGCTACGGTTGATCCCGGTTGAGCCCCGGCAAAGCCCGGTTCATTTCAAAAGAATAACGACAATTTGCGATGATTGCAATTGTCTGTATTGCCTGGACCGTCCTGGGCTCTGCCGGGGCTCTGTCTGGATCGACCGGGGCCCTACCTGGGTCAACCGGGGCTCTTCCGGCGTCATCCGGGAACGACCGGGAAAGCACCGGCATGAACCGTAGCTTCACCTGGGCTCTGTCTGGATGATCCGGAGCGCATCCTGGGTGGTTAGTTGGGAACTACCGTAGTGCTCCCGGGGTAAGTGTGACCGCAACAATAATTTCACCCCGGATCGTCCCGGTGACTTACCGGGATGGTCCTGGGCTCTGCAGGGAGTAAGTGAGAACGCAGCTTTAAATAGTTGTTACGTGTCTGATTCCACTCTTTTAAGTCAGTGACGTTTTGTTATCAAGGGGTCGCTGGTTTGATCATCGGGCGAGGCGAAATTTCTCCGTGATAATTGATCTCGGTCGGGCACTGTGGCGAATGGTTCGTTTTCCCAGAAATCAATTGGGGTAGGTAGATCTAGTCGGTTACTCGCTGAAATATTGGTAATTAAATTACAGGTTATTTATCCAGGAAAGCCGATATATACATATTTACGAAAATGCGGAGAAGATTTGTAAGCTTACACTTATTTCCGGATGTTTATTCCCGGAAGTGACACTTGGTTCTACAGTCGGAGCAACACAGCTGATCACAGTTTGTGTCATATTTATTATTACACATGTCTTATCGCCAACTTTAATGTCAATATCGAAATCTGGATGTAAATTACCAAAGCATTTTCCCTGAAACACAATAGAAAATACTAGTAATCATTGAAAACACTGAAATATTGCCGTTTACAAGAAGTATACCTTGGTCCGAGGTTATAAAAATATTATTAAGGTTCTAACATTTGTTTTATCAGTAAGTGGCATAGAGTGAATGCTGAATGGCGACAAAACAAAAATTATAACCTCCAGGTTATTGGTTACTGTAAAGGGAGGCAATTCTATTGAGAATATTACAGCAAGATAATAAATTAATTAGCGAAACCCCAGGTGCAAATCTAAAATATGCTGAGCAACCTGCCCATAAGGTTTAATGACTATGTCAAATCCTTTTTGAGAAACTTGCGACACAAGTTGAAAATTGCAAAAATTTTCTAAGTGAATGGCAATAACTCTAAAAATACTAAATAATGTAACTAAATATTAAACTCATTTTATATGTTTGGTTACACAATTTGATAAATAGGCTTTTTAAAAGCCTTTTTTTCTTGGAAAGGCTAAATCTAATGTTGCTAGAACCTGTTGCTCAACTCATTACTTTTTGTTATTGTATACTTATCATTTGTATAATATTTGACATGTGTTTGATGCAATAAAATATGTTTAAACTAAAGCCCTTTTATCATACAGAATACCGCCACGTGACTTTCAATGTATCAAATTATCATCAAAGGTGACTACCATTCTAATATAGAATCTTTTTTTCTTTTTAGTCATTTTTTATAGCTTTAAATGTTGCTTTCTAGGCTTAGGTACATAGGCCGACTTTGTTCTTCAGTAATATTTTTCTGAAGGAATTTGTTTTAGAAATCTAAACGATATACCTACCGAGATCAAAATCCAAGGTTCTTTGGAATCATAGGTCAAAACATTTCTGTCTTCTGGTAAGATGTCAAATACTGGATCATTGGTGTAAGATATTGTAAAATTACGGACCACAGCATCAAAGTTTATTTCCGTAGAAACATTAATCCGTCCATTGCATCTTTGTTTTTCTTTTGTAGCAGACGACAGCTGGCTGGCTAGTTGTTCTTTTAGAGCACGAGTCGCTTCAGGTATTTCACAAACTGCACTTCTATCAGATACAATCTCACAACTTGCGACCTAAACATGAACATAAAATAGATGGTTGAAATTTACTAGAAAAGTTTTATAAATAGAGATAGATAATCGTATTTGAATAAAAAGATAAATAGTCAATTTTAAACTACATTGTATACGAGTAATATAAAAGTGTTAAAACACTGACAAAAAAACCCATTTACAAAATCATTTACACATTTAAAATGTGCATTTGAGTAAACAGTTTGTTAATACGTGTACTTGTTTATTAGTGTACCTAAATCAACTCTGAATAAATATGTTTAAATTTATTGTTATAATAACTTTAAACATTTTTATTTAGAGTCGAAGAAAAGGAAAGAAGTCAAAATGATGTAATAAATCCATTCCAGAATTTCAAAGAAATTGACAATTTTGCATATTTTCATTTTTAAAGGCCAATTTTGCTTCAGAAATGTTGATATTTTTATTCCTCAAATTGTGTTTATTTTTGGTATATTTTTATACTTTCCAAATGTTATTTCATTGGCCAAAAGACATCTTTATCATCTGTTGCTATGGTAATTTGTATGGAAGTCAAAGTAACACTTTAATAACAAATAATTTCACATTTATCACTTTTTAGTTCTTTCTTCAGGTTTTAAGCATCTTACTTACTCTTAAACCATTATTTTAAGCGTTACATAATTCATATTTGTCCATTCTAAAAAAGTAAACAATTATTTTTTTTAGGCATAATGTGACATAAAAGCTATATGAAAGTATTCCAGAAACTATTACATTGTACAATTATTTAATAATGGAAACAAAAAGCATTATTTCTTAATCAATTGTGTAATTAATTGTTACACTACTGTTTGTTAAAAATGTAATATGAATTGAAAACGGAAAAGGATCGAGATGTAAGGAAGTACATTTTCAAAATAATAGAACAATTGTTTTGCCGTAATGAAATGATGTAAAATATACAACATGTACATAACCAAGTTTGTAGAAGAAAGTGTACAAAGAATTAAAAGCTTTTAAAGTCACATTATACGCCAGAAATCAATTCTTGAGAACTGTCAAACAATCGTTTAATAATACTTAACTAATGGGTTAACAGCATGTTAAACAACTGAACAAAATAGCACTGAACATAAAGTAATGTGCCAAAAGGTAGGATAATGTAAACAAAGTAGTACTTTGAATTCAATACAAAATACTAATTCACTTTCAATTATGCCAATTGTCAACTGGACAAAATAAGCCAAATGTGCGCGTGCGTGTTTGTGTGTGTGTGTGTGTGTGGGGGGGGGGGGGGGAATGAGTAATCTTTTGGAAACTGAAACAAGGTACCAAGAAATAAAAAAAAAATGTTTTGAGAAATACAAATGACGCATAATGGGCCTATTAGGTAGTGACTAAATGTGGTACATGACTTATCAATGACAATACAACAATGTCATACTAGTACATAAAATCACTTACGTGACTTTATGCCCTTCCTTTTAACTAACCTTATTGTTATTTATTATAAGAATACCAATTAGACAACGTGATGAAAAGCGAAACATGCTTTGATGAATTGTGTTGGTTCTATTTATCATATCTACAATGTGATGATACAACTTTGAAGGATTGTTAAAGGAAATCCAACGAGGTTCAAAGGCCAAAAAAATATGAACTTTGAAAATCATACAAGTATCAAGTGAATCACATAAAATAGAAAAATCTGTTAAGGACAAAAAAATCCTCATAATTTAAATGAAAATAGAATTTAGTGCAATTCTATGCCGAATTTAAGAGAAAAGCATTGCAATATTTTTGGGTCTTTTCGCACAATAAAATTGATTATTTTGAAAATAAACGAGGTGATGGAATGAACTTGATTTTTTTACACAAGTTATTGGTCAAGACTTACATCAATTGGTCCAAAATTTCAAAAAAGTATTTCCAGTCAAGTCATTTAAGTAAAATAACAACAAACCCCTTCCCCCTCAATGGACTCCCTTTAATTGTCATTTTAGACATAGTTTGATATTTCTTTTATCTCTTTTACAATGATTTCTTTTTCACATTCGTCTATATTGAAATTTATACAGTTTTTATTTATATTCATTAATGTATTTACCATATACCATTTGTACTTTTTCGATTTTGTAAAACGGTATTGCACGGCTTTGCATATAGTTTAACGTCACGTCATATGTCCTTTACAAATAGCCTATAGTCACTGTTAAATGTTTGTGTTACAGTATAAGCGTTTTAATTAAAATACTGTTATCTGTTCATTTTGGATGTTTGAAAATAGAATTTTATATTCGTGTACATGAATTACTATTATTATTGAACTCATTACAATGAATTCAGGAAGGAAATAACACTCATTCAAAATCCCCTATGTTATAAATAACAACATGTGTTGCGCAAAGAACATTTTATAAGTATTTCAGTTTAAAGTGTTCTACTTACTCTAGTTTCACCCTTGTAGTACAGTTTGATTGATGAGGAATGGGCATTGTTTAATTTATTTCCTTCTATTGTTAACTTTGTACCTCCACTGAAAGTAATAAAACAAAATGCACTGTCCCATAGTATGTAAAACAATAAATATTAACTGACTCAAATTAATTTAGTTTACGTACTAACCCTTTCGTACAAAATTAAAAAAATTGTAATTGAAAGACTTGTGTTGTTTTGGCTTTGAAACAGTCTGTTGTTAATGTAATGGAATGGTGGTGTTGATAGTTTTCACTCCTGGCCACAGCATTACGCCACATTGAATTTACCAGAGCACAATTCAGCCACCGCATCGTTCCCGGACGGGCTGTCAAGTAGTTTCACCAGTACTAGTTGCCTTCACTTTTGTAAGAATCTGATACATACCAGAGCATATGTACAGTGCGAATGACAGTAGAAAGGATTTCATGATAAATCACAAGGAAAGTGACTTGCAGCGAACGCGAATCGAACCCGTATTACCCAATTCACGGTCCGACAGCTAACCGGACGGTGCTTTGCACGGATGTGCGAAATGTCCTGGTTTTATTCTGGTATTAGCCAATCACATTAAAATAACTACATAAACTTGTTTAGTTTTTGATGAATTTCATAAAAAAATATATTGCACTGCAAAACTTGAATAAATAACTGGCGAAATATCAAGGTCCTTCGCTTTTTAATTTCCTTTAGCTAGTACTTGATATGCTCAACTACATGTATATATTTAACTTGAAGGCATATTAGATTTAAAGTCCACATTTCTACATATCTTATCATCATTTATGTGTGATTGATAAATTATGCATAACACATACATAGCAAGTAGATATACAATGTTAAGTTATACACACAATATACAAAATAATTGAGCCGCGCCATGACAAAACCAACATAGTGCGTTTGCGACCAGCATGGATCCAGACCAGTCTGCGCATCCGCGCAGTCTGACCGGAATCTATGCTGTTCGCTGACAGACCCTATAAGAAGTTAAGAAACTGATAGCGAACAGCATGGATCCTGATCAGACTGCGCGGATGCGCAGGCTGGTCTGGATTCATGCTGGTCGCAAACCCATTATGTTGGTTTTGTCGTGACGCGGCTCATATAGTTTTAAAGTCTACCTGACAAATGCAGTAAGAAGTGGACGTTGTTCAACAACTGGATCATCAACGAAACTAAACCACACTGCTTTGTTGGTGGCAACTCTATTTCCATCCATTGTTAAATACAGTTCCGTCACATTTGAAGAACAAGGATTAACTTTTCTGCACTTGATAATACACTCAAATGTATAACTATAAAAGAATAATCGTGCAAAAATGAAAACATTTAAAACAATCACACGTTGACAAATTTATTGTCCTCATCTAAAATGCTATATTTTTTTTATATAATTTTACGCATAAACTGGCAGGAGATTCGTTTTTTGTGGCTAAAAAGTGCCTTAGATTTAGTTGCTAGATTAACCGTATACGTATTTGAGAATATTTAACCTTTAACCTGCTGGAACCAAAAGAGATCAGACTTTGCAATTTCTGCGCTAATCTGCACAAGGGATGCACACTTGAATAGAGAATATGTCGGCGCAGGCCATGGATTGGTTGAACTCAAGAATAATCATTTTGAGTAGCGAATACGTTGTCTTTTTACAAACCTCTTTGCTCCTGGTCTAGACCTCACAGTAGAGTCAACCGAGCTGTTTCGTTTGAGCTGCGACACACATTCTAATCTAAACCATTCAGATTATCTTTAGATTCTGTTTTCTAGAAATACAATGTACACGGTAAAAAGGGGAAATTGACATTGAATCGTGTATATACTTACTTTTCAGCACCGGATATTTCTTCAGTAATGTTTACTACGTCACATTTATGATTACCAAGAAACAGGGAGATTTTCCTGTTCCCAATTCCAAGATTTTCACCATAAATTGTCACTTTTGTGCCACCAGCTTTTGGCCCGAAGTTTGGATATATAGAAGATACATTTGGAATCTGTAAGTTAATAATTGATTATTATAAGTGCCAATACGTTTACATGATTAGATAACTATTCAATATATACATATGTAACATAGATATCCACGTGTTATAAATTATATAACGTTATTGTTTACATGTAATATTATTATTGCCAAATTGCCTTTCTTAATAATTAAAGATAATTAAAATGGCATTGAAATCGTTCTAAAATATACATGTGTATTTTATCATTTAAGATAATTTTGAGAGATACATTTTATTACTTTGTAAGAGAACTCAATATTTGTATTGGAATGCTTTCCTTTGACCACAACTGTCACTGTCCCTTTTGTATCTGTTAGACTCGATCTGGTTTTGCATATCAACCTTGGTAAAATAAACAAATATCATATAACATTTTTATTTTTGTATTATAAACTAACCAACGATTAAATAGAAAAGATGGACGACGTCGGTGTAAAATAAATATGTAAAATCACCGACGGAAAAAACGTGTTTTTTAATTGTTTTTATTACGATTTTAAACTATATATTTTACCATCATAGTTTCAGTTTGGTTAATGTTACAAATTATCTTTTAAGACTTGTATTGTTACTAATGTGAAAGATCTCAGTAAGAGTTTTATGAGAAAAAAAGGAAAATAGTTCTTACCTAGATGGCACCAGAGATTCAAAATCTGGATCAGATTCTATTGTTGTATCGTTCATCAGATCACAGGTCACGTTAGCAACTGTAATGGTTTCAATGTCCGATATTTTCTGACCTAAATTACTCCCGTAGATAGTTACATAGGTACCACCATAGATGGGACCAGTTGTCGGTGTTACCTGTATTTATCAAAATAGTATTTTGCTCCTTACATTAAAGGGGAATCATGAATTTTATCTTTTTACATTTGTCATTATTTGACATTTCTATAAAAAACATAGTTATTTAACTGATTTTACTTATTAAGTACACATTCTGTAGTAATTTGTGTTGCTTTTTTGTAGTTACAATTACGATACTATTGTAAACTTACCTATTTATTACCAAGATACTTCTGATAGTGATATTGAGTGGAAGTAAGCAAAGGCATTTAAGTTAAACAAATCAAATATACCTTTGTGATGTTTGGTGACTGACAGATTGATACACGGGTCGCACCATTGTGAACACATTCATTGTTTGTATCCCAATAACAGCTGTAACGTGATTTGTTTAGAGCTTGACAATGGCTGCAATCTAAAGCCATTTGTTTACATCTGTAGACCGTTACTTGGAATTATAAAAAAAATGTTAAATTCATTATTAGGTGCCCTTCTGCTCTTTCATCAAAACGCTGTAAAATGATATCAAATATAAATAATATACTAGTAGGAAAGGTAATGTTTCATCAAAATATTAAAACTATATTATTAACCAAATGTCATGTTTATCTTAAACCGTTATTCTGCTTCCTTAAATGGACTCTTTCAGTTTTCTTTTTCTGAACTATCCCTTACTAATTAGAGAATATCAAGAGAAAAATAATGATGATATTGAAATAATAATGATGATGGTTATGATAATAACAATGTACCTGAATTTGCAAAGGGATCATCGATTTCAGCTAGACGTTCGATTCTTGGTCCATATGTTATAACTATTTTCAACCCTTTTTTGTTCTCCTTTCCGATGTTCATAACCTTAACAAAATAATTTGGTTATTACTTGAAAAACAACACTGCATTCCTATATATTATATTTTTGAGTTAACATATAGCAGCAAACGTTTCAACAGGAGAGACTTTCACTCAATCTTGAATGCAATTTATGTATTTAAATTTGTCTGTAAATATTGAAGAAGAAATAAATATTGTTTAAACAATTATTGCATAGTATTGTTATATTGGCATGTACCGAGTTCTGAAATTGAGACATGGATAGTTTATACAGCTCTCTAAATTTGACTACATTTTGCAAATATAAAAAAAAGTCCATTTTCCGCTATCTTTTCTTTCTTGTTAAGTAAACTTCCATAATTTTGCAATAAGAATATTACATAATGTAAAACAATCACGGTTTATAATTTGTAACACGTAGATATCGATATTACATCTTTAATGTAATCGAAATAATACCATGCAACTTTATTAATTTGCTTCAATATAAATTTTAATTTTCACCATATTTGACTAAAATATTACTTAAGTTTAGGTAACGTAACCTACCTGCAACGGGCAAGATAATAAATCATCATTCAAAGTTGCCATAACGCTTTCAGAAGTCGGTAGTGTACATCTATAAATCACCTCTGTGAGCTAAAAGTATTGAAGAAAGGACATTAACAGCCACGGCAATACAATAAAAAAGCAAATTAACAAACAAATAACCCCACACAAAACAATACATGTTAGAATGGCACATATACCCACCCTCTAGATGTGCATTAAAAGTAAGTTATCATTATAAAACATCACAAGAAAAGCATTGATGCAAAGCATCAAAGGGCGTCCAAGCAAGAAATGCAGGAAGTGAAGAAAACTGAAGATGAACTAGTAGACATATGATGTCAAGATATTCTTATAAACTTTTCAATGGTCAATTGGTTTTTACCAAAATGAACGGACGGAAGACATTGTTCATTATGAACTTTGATTGGCATGCTTGAGATTAGAATATTACTTGTTATTTCTTTATGATCGTGATTATTAATAGCAACGGATATACATGTATACAGTCATTTATAATCCATATGTGTAACGCATGATCAACACCACACTTGTGGAATTGTCCCTTATTATGTAATCGCTATTAGCGAAGACCCCCTCTTAAGGTATCTGTTCACGCTTAGTAAAAGTATGACACTGGTTATATTACCATGTCATGTTGAGCATTATTGTTTATTATACAATAATTGTAATATCTATTTTAATAACAAAAATACAGATTTTATGAATATTGTTTTCCTCTCTTTTTTTGTGCTTTTATGTGCTATTTTAATACTGAGTTTTTTACGTTTACTACTCTTTTTTTTATTAAAATTGTAAAATAAATTTTAAGAATCCAATTGTCATATTGACCGACGATTATAAGTCAAAACTTAACTGGAAAAAGTCAGTAAATTATGGTTAATCTTTCAATATAATTATAATATTGTTTATTCTTAAAACCATTTTCATTTGTATTTTTCATTTTTTAAATTATCAATCAATTAAAAAATTAATAAAATCTAATTTGTGACTTTGAATAATTCCTCGGCATCTTTACTAAACACGAATGACAAATTAAATAAAAAATTTCAAAGTTGATAGTGTCATATTAAAACCATAAAAATGTACCTTTTTTCACAATCATTGTACATATTTATTGTTTTTTATCTCATATAGATAAAATGAAACATGCTGTTGTTGTTGTTGGTTTTTTTCGAATTTAATGTTTATGTATAATAATAATCAATAAATTTGAGAGTTGATCTATGTTTATTGACATTCATTTTGGAAAAAAGCTTATTTATCTGTAAAATACATGTATTTGTTCTGTTCTGTAACGATATCAAACATCTACTCCAAAACCGGGAGAGACCGGACAATAAACGTGTGATACTATTCGCCTGTCACTAGTATCCCGGTCAAAATAGACCGGGAGAGACCGGAATTACCGATAGGAGTACATCCCTCTATCAATAGATTTTCGGAATATTTAGGTCATCAACTCATCATTCTATTTTAACATACCATAATAACCCACTGTGTACTACAAATGATAAATAAAAAAACCGAAGAGACGCATTTGAAAATGTTTGCATTGCGAAATCCTCCAGTTCGCTATTCATTGTACATATCGCGACATTTCATTTTTAATTAATAAAAATCAAGCACCCCCATACCGATCGGAATGATCGGCTTATATTATGACCGACTAAAAGGCTCGAGAAGTTGCTGTCGCCCTTTCACAAAATCTGATTTCATTCCATAAAGGGGCGCCGCGCTTCGGCGCGGACGCCAATAATGTCACAAAGATTATGAACGGAACATATCAGTGTAGTGGAAAGGTAATATAAAGCATCTATGTAGAATATAGACAATCATATACAAAGTTCATATCTTTTGTTTACAATAATAAAATTGTAAAATGATATTGTATTTTATGATATTCTCTGTATATTTTTCACACCATGGCTCGTTTAAAATGAACTTCAAATGACGTTTTTTTTCCACACAGCCTAGTTAACTATTTTGTTTACACAGTGAATACATTTTGTAATGATTGAGAACTTCATGCTGCTGATCTTACTGTAGATAGCAATAACATACTACTTAAACATGATACTAGTTTGTACTTACATTTAAAGCATTTGTAATCCGAAAAGATGCCATTGTTTTTGTTCCTAGTGGTAGGAAATTGTCTGTTTTATCTAGTAGTTGTGGACATTTTCTACTCTGTGGAAATAAAAGAAAATGTTATAATACGTCAATTTCGGCTTTGTATTTGGAAGTTTAATGCACATATTTGATCACAAACTTTTACTAAACATACCCTTTCAGTTTCGATCTTAAATATATTGTTATTGTAGAAATCCAAGTCTTGATCATTGATTTTTTCTAGGGGCGTGAAAGAAGTTGTATTTTCGGTTATCTCCCCATGAACAGACTTAATCAGACCAAGTTTTTGACTTTCGCCTATTTTTGTTTTTATTGCTCTCCAGGTATCACTACTTTCTAGAATACTAAATCACTATAACTTTACTTATTGCAAAAAGCAACAGCAGAAAAAGAATGTTCAAGTAATTAGCCAATGAATAACTTTTTGGAAATTATATAGGTACTTGAAAGAAAAAGTTTCTGAGAAATAAAATTAAAATTATTTCTGGGGTATAATGGGCTTTTGATAAATATCGGGATTAAAAATAATACCCGCCCAATTGGCATACCCAAAATCGAGCAAGCTATCGTTATACAGTTAGAAACAATCATACATTTCATTGACCGCATGTATTTATTTTATGAATACAACAGTATCAGTTGGATTCTTTGTTGAAACCCTTCATTCAGTTGACGTTTAATTCAATCATAAGAATAAAGAAAAAAGAAACGCACAATAGAAATTGGTCTAGGACATCCAGACTTTAGTTCTTGACAGCTTGCATCTTGACCACACCAATTGCACTGGACGAATTTAGTATCAATACATTCCATACACCTGATTGGAAAAAAACTCACTTTCAAAGAAATTAAAGATATTATTGTTAATAAAAAGTTCTTTTACTGTTAAATACATTTTTTTAATATTCTGATAAATAATAACCGAATATGTTTTATATAATGTGTTAATGTGAAAAGTTTCGGAAAACATTCATAAATAATACGCACACACTAAAGTAAGTACACACGCAAACATTAAAAGATTGTTTCATTTTAACCAAACAGTAAGTGCAGTACTATTGAGCTAAAACATGTTACTATGTCTATTTATGTCTATTTATTGATTTAATTAAGCTATTTTAAGTTAATAAGTAGTTGATAATACCTTTTATATTGTCTGCATTCGTATATTAACAATGAAGCAGACGACAATGTTGCCTCGAATCCTGTTTGTGTCTTTACCAGTAGCTTAATTTTAACATTCCCAGTGACTGAATATTAAAATGTTTTGAAAAAAAATGCAATTTTTATTGGGAATTTATTGGCATGGTTACTCACTAAATAAACATTTACCCAGTATGATAGACATTCTGTAGGAATTTAATTTTAACTATTGTTTTGTGACAAGATATTCCCCCAATCAACTATAATAACTGTTAACGTAGTGGTTTAGTAATAACACTGAACTTTTAAAATGTATGAAATATATACAGCTTCTTATTATCTTGAAAATCGACAATTTTATTGCAAAATGTTAACTAATCTTTTTACATTTATTTAATCGTATGTCTTAAATACTCTTAATGAAAAATTTTGAATTCAAGTTATTAATAACATTAATTGTAGTTATATGTTTTTAAAACAACCCTGAACATTTAACCTATTTATAATTTAATGATAAACTGTGTACATTTTCCGAAAACAAAACGGATTTGACAATGATGGATACTCTAAACACTACATTTTGAAAAACTCGATTTCATATAAAGTCATTGCTTCTTTTGCGAAGGACTTTTTATAAGGTGTTAATATTTTTCCGTTCTTAAATTCAAATGAAACAATGTTTTGATAATGTACACGTCAAAAGGTACAATGTTGTGAACGTAAGATAAACGTTTTTCTTTTCAAATCAGTACCTGAAATGTTTGGCAATAAACAGGAAAATGTGGTATTATCAAGTTGAACTGCGTTGGTGGTGTTTTTAATATAAGCTTGCAATGAAAATAGACATATGTATGGATCATCCGAAATCTTTACTGGAATGTTTGGAATCCTTATTTTCACCTGAAATCAGCGAAAATGTTTTTTCCTGTTAATAGTCTATACTTTTTAATTTGTTTTAGTTTTTATTTGCTTTCAATGTATTAATTGTATTCAAAGTAACGACTTTCGGACCTGTTTTTATTGTTATCGTTGCATTATTATTTATTAATCAGATATGTTTGTTGATTATGCCACGTGTCATTCAAATGTACTTTAATGGCTGATGATAACCCCTCGCATTTTAATTTTACTGCAAATATATTACATAGATAATCACATTTGAAATTATTCAACGCTTGCAAATTAACTCTTAACAATCAAGTAAATGTAATCATATTACGCTGGTGTTCCAAGAGTTTGATACAATCGATAAAGGTAGGGCATGTGGTTCCAAAGACATGGACAAACAATTTCCAAAAGACGGTATCCAGTGACGAGAATCGTTAAAGCAAGCATTCCGCCTTGTGGCTCTGAAAGAACATAAAATACCCAATTTTCATAAAGTTATAATTGATAAAAATAATTAACAATCAGATGTTAATTTCGAAAGTTAAGTATTAACAGGATTAGCTGCTAAATGCCCATTTTGCACCAGAAACGTTTTATTATTATTTCTCAAATTAAAGCCTTTTATTTCGTGTACTTTTACAGTATCCAAAAGGTTACTCATTGGCCAAATATGTGAACAATCTTTTAATTATATTACCTTTTGGCAATAAGTACACTTATAGTGAATTACTGTTTTGTTAGGAAGCCAAAATACTACTTTGGTTACATTTTTCTCATTTTATGACAGGCTATTTGACATTTAACGCTACTTTCTTCAGGTAACAAGCATCTGACAATTTCTAAAACCATTAAGTAAACATTATAAAAATTTAACGTTTGCACTTTCTAAGGGAGTAATAATGTATATGTATCTGAGACATAATATGTGATAATTTTAAAGCAATCATTTAGACTTATCTTATGAAAGAGATACCTTTCTTTATAAACACACCAACCACACAATGGATGTTTCACTTTCACAAGATGTTCACAAGACTTGAATTCAGAACAATTAGTTGTTGCATACTTTATTACCTTGTAGAAAGAACAATTTTCATATGAATAGTGCCTGCATTAGAAACTAAGTCATAAAAACGAATCACTGAGACACAATCTAATGAAAAAGTAAATTTGATATCATATAGACCTTTGAAGATTATTATGGCTTTCATACTTTATAATAAATGCCTTACAAGTAATAAGTGAATTTTAAGCGTGTTTCTTTTTCTTCGACCTTACGTTAATCATACGAAAAGCTGGAAATTATCGTTGCTTACTTAAAATGGTATATTAATAACAACTTATGTTTTATTCCAGTAAAGTGAAGATAAAATATAACATATTTGAAAAGATTAACGTACTCTTTCACTGCTCATAACATAAATTGTCTCCTCACCAGTGGCATATATCTTCTTGATTTCATGACCAGGGTCAACAGTCAGTTTGTAGTTCTCTATGATGGAAAAGTTTTTCCACAAAACTGTCTAGAAAATAAAAAAAGAAGACTTCAAGCAATTTTATTCTTATAGCAAAATGCTATCATTTCAAAAATGTTGTTTTCTTTAATAAAAAAAGTTTTGTATTGGAATCATTTCAACAATATGTAAGATATGTGTTACGTAATATGTATTCATGCTTTAGCAAAGAAAATTGTCAAAAATTAACAGTATGTAAATAACTTTCACAAATACATGTCAAACGACTTTCCCATCTTCCCAGATCTTATTCCAAATATTTTATGTTCACCTCTACCTTAATGACATACATAGATATATTATTCTATGTTACACCTTATAAAATAAAACCATTTTCAGCTTTTGCACCACCTGATGTTCCAATAGAAATTATTGTTGGACCCAATCAAATAACTTGGCCTCGTTTACATTTCTAGAGTCCAAACAATAATAAACATCACATACATATCACACCACATATAGTCTCGTTTTCGTTTCCACATTCAAAAAACTTTATATCAAATCCATATCACACCCTATATAGCCCCGTTTTCATTTTCAGAGTCCAAAATATCTTTCAAATAAATATCATACTTCATCTAGCCTCGTTTTCATTTTTGATAGTCCAAAAATCGATATTTAATTCTTTTGTAATTTAAGTTACAAACTTCTGTCAAAATATGTCAAAATAAAGAAGTCATTATATCATTGTTGTAAGCAATATATATATTCTATTTTTGGACTTGTACACAGCTGCAAAATATTTATTAGACTTGGTTAGCACTCGTTCAATATAGATTTGTCAGCTTTGTACTTGTCAAATAAAATTCAGTATTGTACTCAACTATGTATAATAACTTTTAATAATATATAATTGCAAACCTGTATTAAGATCCCAGTAGATGTACCAAATAGAATTATTGGTTTGTTTTCATATGTCGCACCAGCTAGTGTTGTAAGTATACCTGAAACTTCAGAGGTGAAGAAATATGCCTGAATGTTTACCGGATCATTGCCTATAGCGTTGCTGTATGTCTGTGTTGTTCCACATACTAAGTCATCATGTGTCAAGACCTTATAACAGAAATATTTTAGTAGACTAACATATTCCCTGCTTAATTTGTATAATGGATTTGCGCTGCTTTGAATAAATATTGTCGTGAAACTGCTCAATTTTTTGAATACATCAACGTGTAACATGCATATATTTATTAGATCCTTATCTCTGAAAATAATAAATATTCAATTATTTTTCTGTTATTCTATGATTCTTATACTTTTGTTAGAGTCGTAATATACTGTGCAAAGGTAGTTGAACATTATGACTTTGAGTTGCAGGCAAATACAAATCCACAGGAAAATATATAAGTTTTCACTTTTCTTTAAAATGTAGAGCTTACAACTCTGGGTTTTCTATTTCAAAATTAATTGCTTAAACTATTGTATTATTGTCATATAAAAGTTGCATGTATTTTCATCAGCATGAATTATACTATTAGTTGAAATATATTAACTGAATGATAATCACAACAACAACAGCACATTATTAAAATTTGATGTCTGAGAAACCCAGTGAGTATGCTTACCTTTTCCGAGGTTTTATTTTCATTTTGACACACTCCAGCTTTTTTGTAGGCATGAAGGTATCTTATACTTTCATTTCCGGGCCCATTACAAGAAGAGATGTACGACCATTGTGCAAAGTCCAAGGCGTCATTTAATTTTTGAATTTCTGTTACGCATACTACACTGTCTCCCGACGGTTGTTCTGGATTGTTTCCTCGTGTGAATACAGCAATAAACATCTTACCAATGTTATTGCCAAAGTATTGTTCGCTGTCTATCAAGACAACGTCTTGAATTAAATTGTACGTAACGCCAAAATGATTGCAATTTAAAACTATATCTGTATATGAATAAAACCCCTGATCATCCTGACAAATCCGTACCAGCTTTGTTACATAGTTTGATGACCCTACTTCACTTTTCTGATTTGTAACAAAATAACTCATACCATCGTGTTGGAAGCATACTTTGTAATATATCAAATATTCCTCAAGGGTAACAGATGATATTTTGACTTTAAGAAGTTTGTCACTGAAGTCTTTTGTGACAGGTAGAAAATGATTGAGTTCCCTTGAACTTATAGCATAGTTGTATGTGTTAACGATTATTCCTTTCATTAAATCTTGCCCAGAAGAGTGAACTCCTTCACCAAATGTTAATGCAACAAAAAATGTCCCATTCTCTGTAATTAATCCAACGGCTGGTCTGTTTTTATTTGTTGATACTGTAAGGTAATTGGTGTCTTCATGGCTTGCCGAACTAGACCATAAAACGCTCTCTATATTTGATAAGTTACGGGCTTCACATACCCCCGAGTTTCCCGTGCCACAACTGACCAGTATTTGAAATCGTTCACTGTGATGTGCAAGTAAAATTTTGTTAATATTTTTAGAACAAACACCCTTTGCTGTTTCACAAGTGTTTGCGATTTGTATTTGTTCCAAATCTTTATCAAGAATATAAATTTTGTTAGCTCCACCTACGTAGAGATCGCCTTTATAGAGCAAAAAACTTGTTAAGGGGGCAGACAATGGTTCTGTTTGCATAATCCGTTTGTTATATGTCATTCCAGATATTGATAAGAAAATATGTACACAGTAAAAAATTATCACTGAAATCATTGCTTTGATTGCATCAGATGTAACATTGAAAAAGTTTCTAACCTATTGATCTTATAAGTAAAGATTCATATCGGTATGTACGTAATCATTTACTTCCTTGTCCACTGTTTTCGTTATTGTTTCGGAAAAAAGTACTTTTCCATAAAGATAAAAGATTGCAAATTGTGTTAACACTTAAATGATATGAAAACATATGTTGCATTTTATAGAGTTTCTTACACAGACAATTTTTAAGTTGCATATGACGAAATGAATTCTACAGTATCCAATGGTGACTAAACGCAAAAATGTAACACTACATTGACATTGTATTATATTGATGAACATAAATCAGATTTTTTTCTTGTACCTAGCTTATTGCATTTTCCGTTACTATAAAAATATAAATATTACCGAATGAAGTAACCCCTAATTTTGCAAACGTACGATATTATTAAAAAAACGTTATACGAAAAGAAACGCGTTTACGACTGTCAACCGAATTTCTCAGACGTCATGAAGTCGATCAACAATGTCTGACCAAAACTGTTACCGGTTCCATTACAATGCCCCGGATGATAAAAGACAATCAAGTGTGTGGAAAACAGCTGCTTTTCCACCACCGGAAAAGGCAATAGTTACAAAATCCATGGGAAAGCAAATGTTTATCGTGTTTATTGATTAGAAAAAAGGGGTACTTCTCTGCCATGCAATCACACTAGGCCAGCAATACTAATCAAAGGTAGGTCTAATGTTACATTATATGTGATAATTACGGTAATAAATAATGATAAACAATCATAGAGATCAATTAAATGATTTCTCAGTCATAATCAGAATAATATCTTAAAGTATAATCACATTCTTAATATTTATTAATTTAAAATTTAATTAAGGTCATTTTTCTTTAATTTGTGTACTATCAGGTAATCAGACGTGATCTCTTAAACGCGATAAGGATGAGGCGTTCAGCGTAAATGGACAACATGGAGAACATAATATTCCCTCAAGATAGTGCACCTTGTCAAAGATCTCGGGAGACACAGCTTGAACTTGATGTGAAAGGGTTTCAGAGACTTTCTCACGCGCGAAACAGTCCAGATTTAGCGCAGGGTTTCCTTTTTAGAAATCACAATTACGAGGTCACAGGTTCAAAAACTTCAATGAACTCTACCTCTACGAGTGTTGTGAAGCTATTTTGAGAACGTTTACGATAAATGGGTCGCCCGACAATCGACAGTGAATCGAGAAATACGGAGAATACTTTGAAAAACATTAAAACATTCTTATGACATCCTAAAGTTTATGACGGCGTGCGCCGGGTATGTTGTTGCATTTTTTAAATTTGGATACCTTGGTAAACTTTGGAGATATTTTGTTGTTTTTATTTCGCAAAGACACACATTGCACGTGTATTGACTTTCCCTTAGCTGGGTTATTCTATAGTGTTTTTATTGATTGAGTAACAGATTTTTTACTACGATATTTTGGGACAACCCTAGAATATAGTACCAACAAGTATTTCGGGATTTCGTGATATGGTGCCTAACGTATTGTACGTTGATATTTTTATAACTGTACTGCTCTGCATTTCATTTTTAAATGATTTACCAGTAATATTCAATTTTTGCCGCAAGTGAGCGATTTCTAATCTGAATCAACTGTGAGTTACACTCAAAGTCCGAGAGAAATGTCGACTCAATCGGGAATCGATTACAAATCGGATGAACAACCTATTGAGTTTAGTGGACATTCCAATGTCTATTTGTATTGTTTTCATATGAAAATGCATACATTATGCAGTCGAAATAAGCATAGTATGGTGTGAATTTTGCCCTGGCACAAAATTAGCATGGTCACGCCTTATCACCAACAGCATTCAAACGGTTAAGTAAATGAGCCACTTACTGAAAATGCGGAAGAAATTAATATTAGATATTGATGAAAAAAGGCAAACAGTCTGGATAAGATAGAAAATACCATTTTCATAAGATCAAAGAGAATTATGAATATATAGGCTATAAATTGAATATGCGGAAGAAAATACCTTTCTAAATTCCGCTTGCAGGAAAATAATTATCATCCAATGAATTATTTTCAATTCTTTAATATTTCAAGTTACTTATAGACAATATAGTTTCAGTTTTGTTTAAACGAAGGGAACAAAATATTGTGATACACTTTTCACTAATGTAAAACTTATATTCAACAATGTTCTAGTTGCCCACTATATCAAATTGGATGTGTTTATTAGGCATACTTAAAAAAATGAATCTTAAAAATGGTTATTTTAGTATTTTACGCACTAAGATATAAATTAAAAATTAAAAGGCTTGCGTTCAAAATTATCTGTGCGGAACCGCACTTGCGTTAAAAGTCCATCATACGGTAACGTTATTCGTACACGGCATCGGCATGTTAATGATCATATTCAGTCTAAATGTATCTTTTATGAAACACATTAAGCATACCAAGAATGAGTTTGATAGAATGCTTTTAAATCGTCAGAATTATTCGAGACTGTATCTTGGTGAGTGGTGACAAATCTATTTATAGGAATAAAAACTGAAACTGGCTCTGTACTTGACAAAACAAATTTTTTACTCATTTTCAAACACATGATGCAATGTAGTGATAAAAAGTAGTCTGTGATTTGCAGGTTTCATAATCTCTGATACCCTTTCACAATTCCATTTTGTTTCGTTCTGATCATTTATTTCTCGTTTAAGGCACACGCTTTCTATTACTTTGGGAACATACGCCGCTTTTCATGGAATGGCATACTGTGTCATTTTGAAGGTTCCATGATAACCGCTGTATAAACACATCAGCGGATGTTTCTAAATTCAGAATTTTACCATTTCATTTCTGCTTAAGCCAGAAATAGGGGCGCGGACGGTAGTTTTCACTTTACAGTACCGTCCATGAAAAGGCTCAAACAAACCGAGTCTGCAACATTTTCAATTTTGCCGTTTTGGACTTTCTTTAGGAATTCTTAATTTCTCCTTTTTCTAACTTTTGGAGCATTTATCACAACAAAATTGCAGACTCGGTTTTATTGAGTCTGTACACGAGGGATAATGAAAAATGAAATGTCCCTCGCCACCCTTTAGCACTGGCTTGAGAGGTACTCAATTTTCAATATCTAAAAAAGCAAGGTTCATACCAGCATAATGTGTTATCTTTTTTTAAATGCTTAAAATAACAATTACAATTAAAGTATTTTACACGATTTTGAAGTCTTCATGATAAATGATTACATTGTTCGAAACAATTATACATTCAACTGATAAGGAAATAAAATATAGACATTATTATTTTACTAATGATTACGGCCTGGTTTACTAATATCTATCTATATATATATAACAGTCGACTTGATAGATCAAGAATCCTTTCAATATTTGCTTCACATATAAAATTATAAAGATGCTTTCGACATCAATCTTTTATCATTTATGCGCTTTCATCTTACCATCTGGATTAACGTCTTACACTCGGATTCAGCAAACAGAACAATTGTCAGCCCCCTTGACAAGTTTCTGGCTCTATGAGGAAAATTTTTATGTAGGCGGAGTCAACAGAATTTACGCTTTGGATAAAGATTTGAAACAAATTCAAATAGCGAACACTTGTGAATCTACATTTGGTGTTTGCTCTAGAAATGTTAACAAGATTTTGCTTGTACATCAGAGTGAGCAATTCCATGTACTTGTCAGTTGTGGCACGGGAAACTCGGGAGTATGTGAAGCCCGTAACTTATCAAATATAGAGAGCGTTTTATGGTCAAGTTCAGCAAATTATAAAGCCTACGACCATCTAACTGTATCAACAAATGAAAACAGACCTGCAGTTGGATTAATTACTAGTAATGGGACATTTTTTGTTGCTGTGACATTTGGTGATGGTATTCACTTTTTTGAAAAGACCTTACTAGATGGAAGGAAAGCTTCGACATACAGCTTTGCTATAAGCGCAAGGAAACTCTATCATTTTAAGCCTATTAGACATGGGTTCAAAGAAAAACTACTCAGAATCCAAATACCATCTACACCTAATGAAGACTTTTTGATATATTACAAAGCATGCTTCCAATACAATGGGATGAGTTATTTTGTTACAAATCAGAAAAATGAAGTAGGATCTTCAGCCTATGTAACAAAGCTAGTGAGGATTTGTCAAAACGATACACATTTCAATACATATACGGATATTGTCTTAAACTGCAATCATTTTGACGTAACGTACAATTTAATTCAAGATGCTATCTTGGTAGACAGTGAAATGTTTCAGGATAATTCCGCTGGTGTTTTATTTATTGCAGTGTTTACAAGGGGAAATAATCCAGAAAAACCATCAGGGGACAGTGTTGGTTGCATATCTAAAATTACAGATATAGATGATGCATTAGACACTGCCCAATTGTTGTATAGTACGTCTTGCACAGGGCCCGGGAATGTTAGCACACGATATCTACCATCTTACAAAAAAGTCGGAGAGTGCCAAAAAAATAAAGATGTAAGAGTTACTGCATTAAGTACACATCAAACTATTGGATTATTATTATTATAACTTTGATATTTGCTAAATGTATCGGCCATTTAGCGAATGTCAAAACATGATTCTTTAGATAAAAAATAAGCAAATGAATAAATAAATACACAATTTATAAATCTGTTTAATTTGATCAAGTGTATTTAAAGTTACGAAGTAATTGTAAGTTTCAATAATTATGATGCTTAATTAATTAAAACATCCGAAGTTTACAACTTATCATGTTTTAGAAGAGATTTATGTTTCATTTAAATGAATACTCAAGACTGAATTTCGAATGAAAAGAAACTCTGGTTCTTTGGTTGATAAAAATCTAATTATATTAATTATGTTAAATTATAACTATACTAGATCTTCGAGTATCTTAACCATGGATGCAACACACCAAAAAAGTACAGCAATGTTTTAAGCAAAGATCCGATAAACATAGAGGCAAATTTCGTCTCCCCAAATATCTCAGGTACCCTTACAACACTAGCTGGTGCGACATATGAAAACAAAACAGTCATTTGGATTGGAACAACTGCAGGGATTATACTACAGGTTTGCAACAATAATGTTTTAAGCAATTATATTAGTTATATTTTGGAAATATTTTAAACTGTCATCGGAATAATAAATGATTTTGTAGGTTCACAACTTGTCAAATCGAAAACTGCTTTATATTTGTGATAGTTCAACAGTAAGCTTCACTTGAGTAGGAGTTTTGATACATGCATTTTTGAAATGATGGCATTTTGCTATAAGAATGAAATTTGTTGTAAGTTTTTATTTATTTTCTAGACAGTTTTGTTGCAAAACTATTCGGTCTTAGAAAACTACAAAATGACAGTAGACCCCGGTAATGAAATTAGGAAAATATACGCCATTGGTGAAGAGACGGTGTATGTGATGAGCAGTAAAAAGGTACGTATGCCTTTTCTCCTTTCTTAACCATTGTTACCTCCACGATTTTTTCTCGTTGTGTTCTTGCCAGTGTGGCAGGGTTGTATCGGGGGTAGCGTTCAGCGAACATCGTCTTACCTGATTAAAGCTCTTTCTCATTTTCTCTAATCTTCACTTAATCTTAGAAATTTTGTTTTAAACTTTTAATGTAATAGATCTACAGTTCTTATAAAGATACCCAGGATCAAAGAACAGCCTTCAAGCATTTGCGATATATATTTTTTATTATATGTTTTAGAATATGGAATATTGAGATCATATTTACAGTAAAAATCCATGGGAATTATATGTGTTAAACGTTTTTACATGTCAACTTTTATTTTATTCGTATCACAAACAATCGATACAAGACCTACAGCAAATTATTATGATTTAAAAAGATTGACGAGACTGGCAATTTTAATACACAATACAGTGAAGGCATTTTTTGTTCTTTACCAACATCTTTTCAACAAATTATATATTACTAGTTATGTCCTGCGTACTACATTTTGATTTTCTTATTTCACGAATACAATATTCAAATAAATGTCTTATTCTTTCTACAAGGTAGTAAAGTATGCGACAACTAATTGTTCTGAATTCGAGTCTTGCGAAGACGTGATACAAGGTAAACATCCATTGTGCGGCTGGTGCGTTTATAAAGAAAGGTATCGTTTTCATAATTATCATTAACATGTGACAAGATACCAACAACAAAACGTGATTTCTACAATTCAATTTCACAAAAATGTTCCTTTATAATATTATCTATACATGTATATTCAAATGTTCGAGAAAGCATTTTAAATATATAACTATAACTTACAATTTGTATTTCACGTTGTTTCAGAGCTACACGGCGGCATGCATGTTCCAACTATACCGATCATTGGATATCGTCGTTTGAAAATTGTTTGTCAATGTCTGTGGCGCCACATGCAGTACCTTTATCGGTTGCATCAAACTCATCAAACACTAAGGTAATATGAAAAACAGCTGATTATTTTCTTTATTTGTTTTATTTAGAAAGAATAGCAGCTGTAGTAATATATGCGTTAGTAAACCTTTGAATGATAATTGCAATGGCTAAGAAATAAGTACTCACACATGACGTTAATAAAAACACTTTGTAACAGATATGCAAATTTTTACAAGTACAAAAACGCAACGATAATGCCACTAAAACCCTTGAAAACAACCATGTAAGCGAAGTCAAAGATAAAACGAGCAAAAAGGTTAACTTAACATATTCAACTTACTGACGATAAACTTGTATGAACAGATTTAATTTCTCGAATTTCAGGTCATTGTAAGGATAAAAAAATTTTCGTTGAGGGATTTGGATAATGTATACCTCTGTATGTTTTCTATGCATTCCAACAATTATATGACCAATGCAGACGACCTTGATAATACCACATTTTCTTGCTCGTTGCCGATGTTTGCAGGTACGAATTTCAAAATAAAAGACATGTACTGTCGGTTTGAAATATGGTAAATTTAGATGTGCAGAGTATTGTTATTTTCTTGTTATTATTGATTTAAGACAAGAAAAACACTTAATTGAGTTGCTTTTGAAAAGTTAAGCAGATATTTTTAATGAATCGAGTTACCAAAAGAGTAAATGTAATCAAATTTATGTTTTTCTTTTCTTAGAAAAAATGTTTTGAAAACAGACAACAAAAAAGTACAGTTTAAAAAACAGTATTTTAAAAAGTGTAACGCATATGTTTTACCGCGACTAAAAAAATGTAGTAATGTACGCTCGTATAATTGCTTGTAGTAATTGGATTGTTGTTCGGAAAGCATTTTTTAGGTTAACTTTTGTGAACGTTTTAAAAATATATACTAGTAAGATATAAAACGATTAAATGCAAAACACGAACTTACATTTCTCAATCAAATTGATTATTATAGCAGACATACTTTTTCAAAATGTTTCGAAAGCGGATATTCCAAAGGTTCAGTAGTATTTGAACACCAATAATGTTTTTAAATATTAAAAACAAGCTTGTCATTTAAACATAGACAGTGTGTTTAATGATGAAACTGTTATGTTCATTATTTACCAAACATCTTTCCTTAACAATTTAGAAATGGTAGTAACATGTTTTTAACATCACACTTTAAAATATTTATAATGCAGTCCATGGTGATGTGAAAATTGAGCTACTTGTAAAGACACAAACGGGATTCGAGGCATCACTGTCGTCTGCTTCAATTCTAATCTATGACTGCAGACAATATAAAAGGTATTATTTATTCATCAACATGCATAACTAATAACGTCTGTATCAAATCCTCGTATCATACTATGTAATATAATACGGTCATTCGCACTGTACCTCTGCTCTTGCATGTTTTTCCTTGAAAAAGTCAAGGCAATGTATATAATACGATCGTAGAAAACAAACATTTTTAGTTGCAGATATTCTATATATGCGTGTGTGTGTCTGTGAGTATGTGAAGAATTTATTTATTTTGCATTTCAAGCAAACAACACATAATTATTTTGCTAAATTAAATTCATATATATAAGAGTAACAATAAAATACAAAATTGTAATACATGTAGATATAATTCCTTAATTATTTTTAGATTGAGTATTCATTTTCTTTTTCTAATCAGGTGTATGGAATGTATTAATACTAAATTCGTCCAGTGTAATTGGTGTGGTCAAGATGCAAGTTGTCAAGAACCAAAGTCTGGATGTCCTAGTCCAATTTCGATTGTGCGTTTCTTTTCTTTATTCTTAAGATTGAATTAAACGTCAAACGAATGAAGGGGTTTCAACAAAGAATCTATCTGATACTATTGTATGCATAAAGCAGACTATAGTAGGCCAATCGGACGGCTATCGAATTTTAAATCCCGATATTTATCAAAGGCCTATTATGCCTCAAAAATGATTTTAATTTTATTTCTCAGAAGCTTTTTATAATTTCCAAAAAGTTAATCATTGGCTTAATATTTGAACATTCTATTTCTGCTGTTGTGTTTTGGCAATTATTAAAGTTTGATTATTAAGTATATGTTTTGAAGTCAAAATACTATTTTTGTTTACTTGTTGTTACTTTATGATAAATTATTTCATATGTAGCACTAATATCTTCAGGTAACAAGTTTCTAAAAGCTCTAAATGCGCTAAAAGAACATTATAAACATTATAAAATTCATGTTAGCCTTTTTTTAAAGAAGTAAAACGTTATTCATTTCTGAGGCATAATATGGCTTCAAAGTAATGATTAAAAAAGATACCATAAAATGTAAAAATTTGGTGTTTCTTTAATCTTATGGTCGATTCACGAAAGAGTTTTAAAATGAAGTGCCTCTTATATTTAGCACGCGTGAATATTGCACATAAACAGAATAAAATGCTTCGGAACAAAATTGTACGCTGCTATTTTAAGTAGGGGTTGACCCTTTAACAATCATTTCACGCATGCGTCATTCAATCTTAACGTACCATACAGACATATTTATTTCATACAGGTATTTTGGATGTACTAACTTTAGAAATTCAAACATTTTTTTGTAATATACAGGCAGCAGATTTATGCATGTTATTGTTCCTATTATTTCTATATATTTAAATATGTTTATTTTCACAGATAGGTGAATGTCCACAACTACTTAATAACAAAGGGAACTTCCTACCATTAGGGACAAGATCAGTTTTAACTTTTCGAATTGCAAATCCTATAAATGTAAGTATCAACCTGGTTAACATTTAATTATCATCTAGCGTAAGTACAAGCATCTCTTAACAGATTGAGATGCACTTAAACAAATTAATAAATACATCCTAGTTAAAAGTTCAGAATGGTTTTATTTAGTCGTTAGACTGAGTAAATTTTCTAAAGGAAGGGTTGAAAAACAACTCTGATGATGGAAATTCATTACGTCTAATTAGGTTATCAAGAAAACTTTCATGTGAAGAATATACAATTGAAAAACAAATTATAAACTAGTATATGTAAATAGAGCAATCGGTTATTATGATCCTTTCAAAGAAGCGTGATTATATTGTTTCATTGTTTTTACAAATATTCGTCAACTTTGTTTCCGAACAAATAGTGGACTATTCTTTAACAAAAAGGATTCAAAGTTCTCAAAATGACAAACCTTATTGATCAGTTTCTGTTTGTTTTAACTCTTCCAATCAAAGGTCATAGCCACATTATTCCCAAAGTGACAGCCATCATTTTGGTCACTGTATTACCATTTTATATAGACCCTTCAAATTTATTTCATAGGTTGATTAATACCCTAAGTCACCAAGTCCTTGATGAAGGAAACCGTTTCTTTTCAATAACTAGAGAAGTATCATCAGTAAAAATTTATTGCTTTAGACTTAGAAGGTCAAATCAATGTCACAGTATTTTTGAATTAAAATAAACCTAACCTTTATGCTCCTTTGTGTGGTCTTGAAAGTTTACCATTTTTCTATTTTCTTTCTTTTAGTCCACAGGTGTGATTTATAGATGTATGCTTCACGCTTCTGAGAGCGTCATGGCAACCTTGAATGGTGATTTTTTATCGTGCCGTATGCAGGTAATGAGTTGATTTAAACTTTATAAGTTTAAAAGGCGAAATTATACAGTTGAGGCATATTAGATAAATTATACCCAATTTAATACCAAAAAGATAGTAAACAAAATAATTTGTAAAAAACAGTCACATTTATAAATTTCATTTTTTTTTCAAATTGAATTTATCAATATGTATCAAAGATATGTACGAGGGGATCGCAGAAGTAAAAAGACAACTTAAATGATAATTAATAAATTCAACAGTAAAAACATATGCTAAAGTGTCATATTTTTCTAATATTATTCTAAAATTTTCAAAGCATATTCATAGAATATTAAAAGATCTTCATACAAAATACACACATCACTGTCTGAAAAACTATTTACTTAAGTCATAAAAGTACTTAAGTCATAAAAGACTTCGCCTACAACGCCTTTTATACGTAGTCCCCGCTAATGCGACTGTAAGGCGGGCTTCTGATTCTTTGAAACCACAATACGCCAATCTCCAACTGAGTGGAACTCTTCGGTGACTATCCTATCTAGAACGCATCGCCTTCTTCCTCGAAACGGTCCAGAAATTCTGGGTCTTTTGGTCGTCGGAGAACCCATCTAATGCTCACCTCGCTATGGTCAGAACTTTCAGTAGTCGAAAAACTGTATCCTTAGACATACCCAGTGTTGAGACTAAGCTTCTAACTGTAAACCCGTGGTCAATATATTATTTAATCTACTTTACGAGTGACAATCGCAGACTTTAAGGGCGACCGCCTCTCTGTTCGTCCTCTATAGACTGACGGCGTATCCCAAACTCTTTATGCCATCTTAACACTAATGAACGGCATCATTTATATTTGCCGGCCTCCTGAACCAAGTAATAGACGAGAATAAAGATTAACAAGGCAAAGGCAACATTTAGAGAACGCAGCCCCCGACACACCCAAGCTTCAACAGCAGGGCACCCAGAAGGCACCAAAACAAAACCGGGAGTGGACATAAGGACGTCGAAAGTGTAGAGGGACAAGTACTATGTGAAATAATAATGACTAGAAATGTGTCCATAGGACACGGATGCCCCCACACGCCACTGTTCTGTCAATCTTATGACTCTAGGTCAAATATTTTTTGGACTACATGTGCCACAAGTTGAAATCTAAAAATCAACAAAGGGCCATAATTCTGTTAAATTTGGTCGCAGCAAAAATTCCTTCCTTTGCTACCATCTACACATTAAGGTTGTTAATCCCTGGAAGTTTAAGCAAAATCTGCCATCCGGTTTAAGAGGAGTTGCGTTCACAAAATTTCTACATAGTATATAATGAAAAAATCAACAAAGGGCCATAATTCTGTTAAATTTAGTTGCAGCAAAAATTCCTTCCTTTACTGCCATCTACACATTAAGGTTGTTCATCCCTGGAAGTTTAAGCAAAATCTGCCTTCCGGTTGAAGAGGAGTTGCATTCACAAAATTTCTACATAGTATATAGTGAAAAAATCAACAAAGGGCCATAATTCTGTTAAATTTGGTCACAGCAAAAATTCCTTCCTTTACGACCATCTACACCTTAAGGTTGTCCATCCCTGTAAGTTTAAGCAAATCTGCCATCCAGTTTAAGAGGAGTTGCGTTCACAAAATTTCTACATAGTATATAGTGAAAAAATCAACAAAGGGCCATAATTCTGTTAAATTTGGTCACAGCAAAAATTCCTTCCTTTACGACCATCTACACCTTAAGGTTGTTCATCCCTGTAAGTTGAAGCAAATCTGCCATCCGGTTTAAGAGGAGTTGCGTTCACAAAATTTCTAAATAGTATCAAGTGAAAAAATCAACAAAGGGCCATAATTCTGTTAAATTTGGTCGCAGCGAAAATTCCTTCCTTTACTACCATCTACACATTAAGGTTGTTCATCCCTGTAAGTTTAAGCAAAATCTGCCATCCGGTTTAAGAGGAGTTGCGTTCACAAGATTTCGGGACGTACGGACGGACGGACTGACGGACGGACGGACAAGTGCAACGCTATATGCTCCCACATTGTGGGGGCATAAAAACTAAAACGGGCCCATGGGGGAATAAGGTGGATAAAGGCTATAAGGGTGAAAAAGCGGGACGTGGGGGAGGAGCTCAAAATAGAAGAAGAGGGGGTTGAGAAAATACTTATCGTTAACGACAAATTGACATGGTAGTCATGCTAACATTCAAAACAAGTAACCATACAGGCATGTGAAACATGTGAAGGAACACAGAGGGGTGCCGCATTGGAGCGGTTAGTGGCTGCTACTCCACTGGGGTAGTTGAAACTAGTTTTAGGCGCGCCAAAACGCTCGCAAAATAGTTTTCCCTGATATTACATATGACTGATACCAAATGTACGTTCTAATCGCTGAATATAGGAGTGACGATGAAATTGTCATTTGAGCAATGCTAGAAATTTAATCTTTAAATTTCAATGAACTTAAAACGGTAGACATGGACCACATTTTTCTTAAACACAAAATTTAAATACCTTAAAAGTTCTTCAGTGACTTAAAAATAGCTAAGCCTTAGCTAACTGTGAAAAGTACAAATACTAGTAGTTGATAAATGTATTTTTTGAAATTATTTAACATGATGTATTTGGAAAGGTTTCGCAGATTAGACATGGAAAGAAAAAAGAAAAGCTGAAGATAATTATCACATATGGAACAGGAATCGACTCCTTAGCCAAAATAGATGATCTTTATGCGAATTCAGGTAAACATCAATTATTGCAATGACTTTGTATCGTAACTCTGAATCTACTGAATTTGAGTAATGGATTTGCCCTGCTTTGAATTTGGAAAATAGTCCATTCAAAGTGTAAGAAAGTTCTTGTTTGTTTGCTTTGTTTAGTTTTATGGCGCACCAAAACAAATAAGGTGTTATAAATCTCAGGTGTTACAATTTTTAAGCAACACCAGAGGTCAAGACCACCTCACCTGCTGGAGTTAAGAGCTGCATAAACTCTTTTAACTTCTTATAACATAACTTGAGCTACCAAGGGTATAAAGACTGGTCAGGCACTGATTTGCATGCTGTGACGGCTCTTCTCGGTGGCATACACAAACCACTTTTTGTTCTAGCATCCTAAAGGTGTAGTCCGCCTAATGTCATTTAGAACAGCTGGTTTAAACATGATTTATGGATGTTTAAGCTGGTGTCAGGTAGTAAGAGAAATGTCGTGCCTTTTACTTTCTCTAACGAACTTGATCAAGAACCTATCCGTATCTGCGAGTGTGTTTGCTCATAAAGAATACACCCTTTTCAAACACATATATAACGTTCGGTGGATAAAATACTTTAAGTGATAAAAGTTATTTATAATAATGACCTTTTTTAGTTAAAGTTTTCAATTCTTTGAATGATTTTATTTTTGATTTTATGATTTTTTTCCCATTTACTTTAATATTTTTATTAAGGTTCGAAAAGACATGATGACATTACTATTTATATCAAATTTGTCACTTTCTTATTTCCAAGTTACGGTCTACAGATGTGAACAACTGGCTTTAGATTGCAGTCATTGCCAGGCGTTAAACAAATTACTTTACAGCTGTTTTTGGTATACAAACAATGAATGTGTTCACAATGTTGCGAACCGTGTATCGAATTGTCCGCCACCAAACATAACAAAGGTATGTATGCTATGTTTTGTTTACTCATGCTTATGACTCACTTATACTGAATGTCGCAGAAGTCTGTAAGTAGTAAATTAAAAAAAATCATAGTACGCATTTTTTACCACCAATGAAAAGGTATTTACACAATTTTTTCCTATTTACCACCAAACCCATCAATAGAAATTACAGTCACATGGTCAAACGAATTAAATCGATATGTATGTGAGATTAAAATAAAAATCTTTAACAAGATACAATTTAAATGGTTTTTAATTGTTGTCAGCAGATAAAATTAACTATTCATATTTAATATGAAGTCATCAGGAGCAAAATAGTATATATATTTTAACAAATACAGATAACACCGACAACTGGTCCCATCCATGGTGGCACCTATGTAACTATCTACGGGAGTAATTTAGGTAGGACAATGCTGGACACTGAAACCATAACAGTTGCTAACGTGACCTGTGATCTGATGAACGATACAACAATAAAACCTGATCCAGATTTTGAGTCTCTGGTACCATCTAGGTAAGAATGAGTGTGCTTTTTTCATACAAGTCGAAGTAAAACCTTAACAATTAGATTCTCACTAAAGAAATAAAATATTTGCAAAAACAAGCTAAAGCTATGATATATCAAGATATAAATATTTTCCTACTTGTTATTACAGCCTCATGTTGGTTCTGTCATCTTTCCTATTATATCAATATCAAAATAATAAAGTTATGTACTTGTTCGTAATTACGAAGGTTGATTTGCAAAACGGGATCAAGTTCGACAGCTGTGAAAGGGGCAGTAGTTGTTGTGGTAGAAGGAAATCTTTCAAATACAAATATTCAGTTCTCATACAAAGTAATCAACTTCGTATTATAATAATTTTCTAGAAACTATATTAGATTTGAAATAACTTTTAAATGTTTCACCTTTGCTATCATGATAAAATACAGTACTCCCAAAAACGTCATTTGAGAATAAGATGAAAACATATAAATATGGTTTAATGCATTTACAGTTATGGTATGAGATGATTTGTAACATTATTATACTAAACGTTTAACGTGTATATGAATTTTATCAAATCCTATAGAAAAGTTAAAAGTAAACACCCCATAAATTTCCTTTTTAAAAGTTGGTAAATCTAATCATAGGATTTACAAAACAATTGCAGAGTCCAAGTGTTTTTAATATATATCCAAACTTCGGGCCGAAAGCGGGTGGCACAAAAATAACAATTTATGGAGAAAATCTTGCAATTGGGAATAAAAACATTTCCTTGTTTCTTGGAAATCATCGATGCGAAGAAATAACAGAAGTTACGGAAGACAGATCCGATACGGAAAAGTACGTAGCTAAAGTTAAAATCCTCTAGAATGTACGTTTAAACCATGAACACTGGTTTTAGGAGACAGTAGATTTAAAATTTAGCGCTGAATGGTTGTTATTTATCTTTTGTAGTTGATTCAGCATTTGCTTGTTAAAATATGAACGCATTTTAAAGTCAGCCACGAAGATTGTGCCATATGTTATAAAATACAAATATATTTAGAAAAGTAAATGTTCATTTACAGTTCAAAACTAGTCATAGCTGATGATAATTGTTCATAAATTGAAAGCCTTTATTAAAACAGCTTTGAAACTTACAATTCTTGCTGTTTTCTTTAATAAATTATAAAATGATAATATTCTAAATAGTTCAACATTCTCAAATAACGCGATTCGTGCTACAAAGGACACTAATTAAGACACTTTTAGATGATGATGATTATGTGAACAACAAATGTATCAACACGTGATAGAACAGATATGTATTTCTTTGCACGATTATTCTTTTACAGTGATACATTTGTGTGCGTTTCGAAATGCAGCATGTCTGCTCCATGCTCTTCTAATATAACCGAACTGCACTTATCAATAGATGGCAATTACGTTGATACTAACAAAAAGATATTGTTTAGTTTTGTCGACGACCCAGTTGTTGTGCAAATATCACCACTTACAGCATTTGCCAGGTAGTCTTTAGAATTTTATTCTGTGGATATGTAAACAAAGTGAAGATTATTAATATATTTTTGTACAATATTCGTTTATCTTACTATAAGACATATAACATGTGCTGATTATAGAAAAGTGGTGTACTCAAGTCGCATACTACATGCATTTAGGATTTAAATCATATATTCTATTAGAAAAAGGGAATTAAAACATGGACGCCTTTTGTTAAGAAAGTAGAAAATTTCTGTTATTTCAATGATGTCTTTAAAGCAGTCACTGCCTTATATTTCAGTACATGTATTTAAAGGCAATTTAAGAAGTTTTGATATCATTGATCATTGTGGCATTTTGTCTGTGCCATTACCAGTCTGAAGTGAACGCTCTTTTGCTGATTAAACAAATAAGTATTTAAACACCCAAATACAACGGACTACTTAAATATTTCAAAACAGACATGTTTTTTATCAAGACTATTTAGAAGTATACTTGAAGGAACAATTTTCTTTTCTACATACTTGAAGTGTATTATTTTTAACAACTTTCAGTGGAGGAAGACTGTTAACAATAGAAGGAAATTTATTAAACAACGCCCATTCCTCATCAATCAAACTGAGTTACAAGGGTGAAATTAGAGTAAGTTAAACAACATGTATGATTTACTTTTGAACCTTTTAATACGAATCTTAATTTAATCGTTCAAGATAGATCTATATATATACAGAATACAGATATTGTATAAACATCATCAAAGAAAATAGTTACCCTATAGCATGACATTTTCCAATTTTAATGGAAATAACAATATTGAAAACAGGGCAGGGAATGGAATCCAATATGTTATTTTCATTTCCTTCTACCCACAATTAAGTCATGTAGCAACAGGCAACAATCAGTTACTATCTTATCTTGTTTTGTAACCGTGCACCTTATAAGCCGATACTTTACCTTTCTAACGACTGATTTGTACTAGTTTCTAGTTTCCTAGATATATTCATACATGTATGTCATCCTTTAATGAATATAAATTTCTTTGAAATGTTTTGATTTTATCTTTATTTCATTTTGGCTGTATTTATTTTGCAATCATTAATAGAAATGTTTATTTTTGTTATCTATAAAATAATCATGCTATACGTCGCTCATAAACACATTTATTGAACTTTACTATTGAATACATTAAAAGTTTAAATATTCCGTAAATGGGCGTAAGTCTCAATGATAAAACACTTAAAAGAATCACTATTATCAGTATTTAAATGTTGACTGTATATATCAATATTTATACTAACTCTTTGCCTCAACATTCAATTATTTACTGTTTACCTCAATATTCAATTACTTCCTGTTTTCCTCAATGTTCAATTACTGACTTTGACTTCAGTATTCAAATACTTACTCTTTACTTCTATAATCATTACATTTTTTCGTACTCAAAACTTTTTCGCACACATCGCTTTTCAAATACTTATGTTTATCTTAATATTAAAATACCTACTGTTTATCTTAATAATCATATTTTGTCTCGAATATTAAAATGTATTCCTTTAATTTAGTTGAATTTCTGGCACATTTATGTTCATGTTTAGGTTGCAAATTGTGAGATTGTATCTGATACAAATGCAGTTTGTGAAATACCTGAAGCGCCTCGTGCTTTAAAAGAACAACTATCAAGACAGCTATCGTCTGTTACAAAAGAAAAACAAAGATGCTATGGACGCATTAATGTTTCTACGGAAATAAACTTTGATGCTGTGGTCCAGAACTTTATAATATCTTATACCAATGATCCAATGTTTGACATCTTACCAGATGACAGAAATGTTTTGACTTTTGATGCCACAGCCCCTTGGATTGTGATATCGGTAATGTTGTGGATAAAAGATTTGATAATTTTTACATCAGAGAAATACTGTGTGAAGTACATAACAACAAGGCTTGAATATGAAAATAACAAAACCTATATTTTGAGAATGGAATTATTTAAGCTTCAAAATCATGTTATTTTATACAGATTAGAAGTTATTTTAGTCCGATTTTGTAGGAAGCTATTTAAACTGATAAACACTTTCTCGAGTCCGTTCCCGGAACCAACCAATACATAGCAATGAGTCTAAAGTGTTTTGTCTGGTCCTGATGGAGATTGAATAAATACACCTAGCAACCATTAGATGCTAATTCATTGCCTTCGTAACAACTCAATAAATATCACGCGCCCATTTATTATGAGATACCAGCGCTACTATGTTTTTACATAATTGTAAATCAATTGTATCAGTTATAGAAAATTAATGAAATCAAATGTCATTTTTCTTTTCTATAAACGTATTTACAGATGACAGTTTACCGAGTATTTTATGTAAAATATATTGTTTTTGTAATTGGGTGCTGTTTGTACTGGAAATTTTAAAACTAGCTTGTCTTGTTTCCTTTTTTTCAAGGGAAAATGCTTTAACACTATACACAAAGATTTCGATATTGACATCAAAGTGGGCGATAAGACATGTAAAATAATAAAGATGACACAAACTGTGATAAGCTGTGTTGCTCCGACTGTAACACCACGAGTAACTTCCGGGAATAAACATCCGGAAATAAGTGTAAGTTTACAATTCTTTAATTGTTTCTTTCCACATACAATCATTCTACTATGTTCATCTACTACTGTATACAAATTGTTCTTTGATCAAATGTATTTTGTTCCCCCCTATTGTTCTAAGGTTTTAATCAACAATTCAATCTCATCACACACTGCATACTTAATTCACATTCACTTACGATCACCTAAACATACCTATTTTAAACTTTTGTTTGCCGCAGTGTTGTATATTCAAATTATTTAATAAATTCTTAGTTTCGAAACGTTCATCATTTAATTTAACAAAGATTGTAAAAACATGTTATTTGAATTTATTTTCGTAAGAACTATACAACAATTATTCGATTTGCAAATATTTTGATTCAATGGTAATGCCCTTACTACTTATTACACAGGTAACAGTTGGCAACATTCAAGTTACAGTAGGATATTTACGTTATATACCAGACGAACAAGAAGAGAACCCTACCATGCTCATACTGTATATTTCGATAGCAGCATTCTTTAGTTGTATTGTCTTTTCAGGTTAAACAATATTTTTCTAATATCTCTTTTAAACTTTATTTAAAAGTAAGTGATGTCTATATATTGAAGCTACAATAAAGTTAGCTAGTTTATTTAAAAGAAGTTTTATTAATTCCTGAATCGTCAAGTCATAAACTAATTCTAATTCTGATAATTGTGTTTGAAATGATAAAAATGATAATGTCATTGCTGACTTTTGATAATACAGGCACTATTTGCTTGTGTCGTCGGTACAAGAAGTTAAAGAACAGAGTGACTTACCTTGAAGGGAAGAAACCAGGCCTGAAAGGCAGACAAAATGAGAGAAGGTAATATCAGCATTTTTGTCTGATTTGATGAGATTGTGTTTAAGGAAATTCATAAAACTAAATGCGTGAAAACATGTAATAAAATCATTTGTCACATGGTATAAATCTTTTATTAAGCTTGTCCACAAAAATATCATTAACAATTTCTTGAAGATGTTTAATACATTTTTATCATACAGTAACTCATGTGAACTCCTATATGTATTATATACAGCATCGTGACTTAAAAAAATATTATTGATAAATAATAATGTATGTTTCATGCACAACACAACGACTTATAAATCTATTTTAAGCATGGACAGTTTGTCACCAACCTACTTTATTCATACACACCACCATGACCTTAAACTCTGTTTTAGCCGTAAGCACTTTACTACCTGATCACTCCCAATCATCGACAATTCGTCGACTTGTCAATCTATTTTTTAAATCATAAATATACGACTTTTGAACTATATTTTCATCGCAGGCAAATAGTTGATCGCACTATATCATTCAGGCAGAGTGATATTTATGATGAAATACATGACGACGACGTGCTAGACAAATCTATTGATATCATTGATGGGGCGAATGGTGATGAAGTTGATGACTATCTTGTTCCACATCCTTACGATGATATTGATGAAGAAAAGACATTCGGGCATATTAGACAATCACAAAGAGAGACTTATGCTTTGGACAATATCAATAAGGGTTCCGTAAATCTAGACCAAGCTTACATTCATGCTATCAATGATGTGGCACAGGATGTAACAAGACACGATAATAAAGTGACCGAGTTAGAACCCGATGTATTAGCATCAACTGCAAATATAGAACATGCTAAACAAGGCGAATATGTCGTTTCATATTCGTGCTGTAAATTACACACAGAGCGGGGTGATCAAGTGGAAGATGTTGGAACTGAAAAAGCACACGATTATATTGTTCCTTATGCCTTCAGTCAACTGAACGATGAAAAACTACATGGAGACCATAGTAACTCTTTGGGAATTTTTGATGCTTTACCAGAGGAGGATAACCGCAAAGTAGATTCTAACTATAAACATCCAACGAACGATTGCGATTCGCACATCAAAGAAGTTTAGATATCATCATGTTTTGAATCAGTTGATAACAGAATAAATTCATTTGTTATTCCCTGAATAAACTGCAAAATAAATGCTAATAATAAAAGATTAAGCTTACTACTATTATGTTCTGTTTATCAAGGACACTGAACACTGATAAATACGTATATGGGTTGGGTTGGTGGGACTTGATGTTTACTATTGCCCAGTATTGTGTCGAATGACCAATACACCTATAACACTGGTTTACGTATACAGTCAGTGCATGGCTTACTGATCATAACTATACAAGCTAAAAATCGGAAAAGGTACGAATATTAACAAAAAAAAAATAAATATATTTATGTTTTCTTTAAGTTCCTTTAGTCAAAAACTGCTAGCTTTGTTCTAAAATAATGAAAAACTGTCATACAACATTAAGGTGAATGTGTACTTAACCTAGAACCAAATTTGCAAAACGTACGTGCAGTTTGTTGATAACCTTTTGGTCGACACATTTTAAAATACCACTCAATACTATTGGGAGATACTTATAACTTTTATCTGTTTCGTATATTAGATAGATAATCGACATCTTGCATACCGATATTATAAAGAATAATTCGCCTATGCTGCTTGCGTTTTAGCGGGATACGTTTTTTAGGCAGATTGGTTAATACAAGAGTAAATTCACTGTAAATTTTAATGGATGCGAATTTATTTGTCCTTAAGATAAAGAAATAAAATTGTTCGTCCTAATGCAACATAATCTTACAACAATGCTACGAAAATCTCGACGAACTAAGAACTGCTTTGTTGGAGAAGTTGGAAAATAGGATAAATGCACTTATTAACTCATGTACGGAAAATCATAAAATGATTTGGCAGAGTCATCAATAACTTCAATCACTCATAAATAACTAACTTTGGATTGAATTAAAATATTCTTTAGAGCATCAAGCTATAGACACAGAAAGATTCACTCTGGGTTTTTATTTCGTGAATGGCATATTCGGAGGTTACAATCAAACCCCGTTTACTTTATAAATATTAAGTCAAAACTTTATGGACTGCCATATTATTTGGCATTTCTACAACACAGTCATGCGTATTACGACGTGTCATATACAAGGGACATGTCTTCGCCTTGAAGGTCAGATTGCACTTTGAGGTCTATGGTGAAATAAAGTTTCCTCTGAGGATTAATATAATTTTCTTATTCTATGATATATTGTTAACATTTTCAAAACATGAATTCAGTTCATTCATTTGTTATTACAAAATATTTGGGGCGTCCGTGGCCGAGTGGTTAAAATTGTTCACCGCCGGGTTCGAATCCGGACAGGGACTTTGAATTCTTTCATGTGAGGAAGCTTTACAGCTGCCTTACTTCTACTCAGGAGCCCGTTCGTGCCTGAAATAATGCGCGGAAGGGCACCTGAGGTCTTCCTCCACCAGTAAAGCTGGGACGTCGCCAAATGACCTAAACTGGCACATGTCTTCACTAGAGTCAGAGACTGGTCACGTGCAACATCAGGTCAGCATTGTACATTAAAATAAACATGTGTTAATTAAAAAGCTGCTTTTTGTTTTTATAGATCACGACACCTTTGGTCTTTAAATACCTAAATTTGAAGTCATGGTTATTATTCAATGCCATTTGGGTTATGTTTCTACTTTGTTTTGTCATTTTGCGTATTTTACTTATGACAAAAAAGTATGTTGATAAGAAATAACAATAATAATTATTAAATACATGTATATAAAGTCTCTATAGACAGACTTAGCACTGCCCTCTATGAACATGTTCAATCAAATAAAATTTCAACATTTTTTCTTGTTATGAGCGTTCTTTAGTTTTTCCTTAATAACAATTTGAACAATTATTACACATTTTGTGTTTGAAGAAAAGACTATGTTTATAATCGATTTCATGGCTACTTACTCTCGTTCACATATAAGTAAAAATGTTCTACTACATGGATAATCCTGCCACAGATATTCTCCACCGTGGATAACTGCACAATTCTCTCTCACAAAACCACCAGGCTCGCCACCCGGATGCCAGTTTGTATATGTAGCAAGAGTATCGTCATCGTACCATCGCCATATCCCTTCTATGTCCATGTCTATCAGACCAAGCTGTTTCGGCTAATGAAAACAAAGTCTTAACAATTAAAATATGAGACTTGCAATGTGATCGGCCTGTCCGCTGGTTCATTGACTAAACATAAGAAAAAACTGTTTGAGGTAGATGTAGATCAAATCTAGTGTGACTAGTGCTAGATCAACACTTTTTTAACAATTTTGCCTGCGTAACATTTAGTGGAGAGGTTGGTCTTTTTATTTTTATTAGAACCTGTACAGGTATTTGCTTTTCCAAATATTCTTTGGGTCCGTGGCCGATTGGTTAAGGTCATTGACTTCAAACCACTTGCCACTCACCGCTGTTGGTTCGAATCCCACAGGGACTTTGGATTCTTTCATGTGAGGAAGCTATCAAGCTAGCTAACGGAACGTCGGTGGTTCTACTCAGGTGCCCGTTCGTGCCTGAAATAATTCACGGAAGGGCACCTGAGGTCTTTCTTAACCAGTAGAGCTGGAACGTCGCCAAATGAAATATACTGTGTCGGTGTGACTTAAAACCCAAACAAAACAAAACTATTTTTGGAAACGCCATTTAGTCAGGTATAAAGGCGATAATTACAGCTTATGTAACGATTCTTTCGAAATTTCCAAAATAAATAATCTGAGCTTTAGCTTCGGAAATTACCTAATTATCTCAGACCAAGTCTAGACATATTTAATTAGCTTTTTGTTTATTGGCATTTTTTTCTGTTAGTTTAAAAATACGTTAGTCTTGCATTTTGAAAACATATAACAAAAACTATATTGATATAATTAGATAAAATGCGCTTGCCTTGGTGAGGCATATGTAAAACAAACTAATGCCGTTACGATTGCAGTTTAAACGACGACACAACATAAGATCAGTGGTCAAGATGCTGCCTGCTTGGAGAAATGCTTAGAAAAGAAACAATAAAATCAGATATATATAAGATTTACGAGTAAGCATTCCAGACATATTGCAAGTGGTATACTAAATTATTCATATTAATAACATAAATTGTATTATCTAATTATGTGAGAGAAGGTTAGAATATAATTTTCAAGGAAGTAATGTTTCATTTAAAAAAAGATTTAAAAACACATATTTTGAAACTACAAAAGCTACGTAGTCATTTTTAATGCAATATCTTAAAATGTCTTAAAATGCGTAAACGTATACGCCTCTGTATTATCATAAATATTTTTTTGTTCGAAACAATGCCACATTAAATTGTAAGGAAGTTAAATACAGACATGTCATTTTATTAATGATTGTGGCTTTGTTTTTCTAATGTGTATGTACATATAACGTCGACTTAACAGATAAATATAAAAGAATCCTTTGAATATCTGTTTCACGTATAGAATATAAGATATGCTTTCCGCATTTATCTTTTATAATTTATGTGGTTTATTCTTACCAGCGGGAATTACGACTAACATTCGGATTCAGCAAACAGAACAATTGTCATCCACCTTGACAAGTTTCTTGCTCTATGAGGACAATTTTTATGTAGGCGGAGTCAACCGAATTTACGTTTTGGATAGAGATTTGAAACAAATTCAAATAGCAAAAACTTCTGATTCCTCCAGAAATGTTAACAAGATTTTGCTAGCACACCACAGTGAACGATTCCATGTACTTGTTACTTGTGGCACGGGAAACTCGGGAGTATGTGAAGCCCGTAACTTATCAAATATAGAGAGCGTGTTAAACTCTAGTTCAGCAAATTATACAGCAGACGACCACCTAACTGTATCAACAAATGAAAACAGACCTGCAGTTGGAATAATTACTGAAAATGGTACATTTTTTATTGCAGTGACATTTGGTGATGGTATTTACTTTAGTAAAAAGACCTTACTAGATGGAAGTAAAGGTTGGACATACAACTTTGCTATAAGCGCAAGGGAAGTCTCTGATTTCAAGCCTGTTACAGATAGGTTCAAAGAAAAACTACTCAGAATCCAAATACCATCTACACCTATTGAAGAGTTTTTAATATATTATAAAGTATGCTTCCAATACAATGGGATGAGTTATTTTGTTGCAAATCAGAAAAATGAAGTAGGATCTTCAACCTATGTAACAAAGCTAGTAAGGATTTGTCAAAAAGATACATATTTCAATACATATACGGATATTGTCTTAAACTGCAATCATTTTGACGTTACGTACAATTTAATTCAAGATGCTATCTTGGTAGACAGTGAAGAGTTTCAGGGTAATATATTGATTGCAGTGTTTACAAGGGGAAATAATCCAGAAAAAACATCAGGGGACAGTGTTGTTTGCATATCTAAAATAAAAGATATAGATGACGCATTAGACGCTGCCCAATTGACTTATAGTACGTCTTGCACAGGGCCCGGGAATGTTAGCACACGGTATCTACAATCTCACAAACAAGTCGGAGAGTGTTTGCCTAAAGATGTAAGAACTACTGCATTTATTACACATCAAATTATTAGATTACTGTTATAACTTTGAAATTTGGTATATGTTTCTGCCATTTACCGATGTCAAAACGTTATGTTTTTAGATAAAAAATAAATAGATACACAATTTACAAATATGTTTAATTTTATGAAGTGTATTTGAAGTAACGAAGTAATGTTAAGTTTCAATATGATGCTTAATCAATTAAAACATCCGAAGTTTTCAACTTATTATGTTTCAGAAGAGATGTAGGTTTCATTTAAATGAATATTCAATATTGAATACCGAATGAAGAATAAAAACCTGGTTATTTGGTTAATAATTCTAATTGCATTAAATTATAACTATATTAGGACTTCGAGTATCTCAACCATGGATGCAACACACCAAAAATGTACAGCAATGTTTTAAGCAAAGATCCGATAAACATAGAGGCAAATTTCGTCTCCCCAAATGTCTCAGGTACCATTACAACACTAGCTGGTGCGACGTATGAAAACAAAACAGTCATTATTTTTGGAACTTCTGCAGGGATCATATCACAGGTTTGCTATACTGATGTAAACAACTTCATATATTTTAGAAAATATTTCAATCAATCGGAAACTTAAAATAAATGATTTTTAAGATTAACAACTTATAAATACGGAAAGCTGTTTTATTTATGATTGTTCAAAAGTAAGCTTCATTGGGTAGAATTTCTGATGTTCATATTTTTAGTATTTGGTATAAGGAATGAGCTTTTTTTAAATATAGTTTGTTATTTTTATAGGCAGTTTTGCTGCAAAACTATTCGATCTTAGAAAACTACAAGATGACAGTAGATCTTGGTAATGAAATCAAGAAAATATATGCCATTGGTGAAGAGACCGTGTATGTAATGAGCAGTAAAAGAGTACGTATGCATTTTCTTCTTAACCATTGTGTCCTCTACGATGTTTGTTCGTTGTCTTCTTGGTGTCCTGCCAGTGTGGCTGGATTGTATCGGGGGATGCGTTTAGTGAACATCGTCTTACGTTATTGATGTTCTTTCTCAATTTTTTCTTATTTTCACTTTATCTAGAGATTTTGTTCCCAACTATTATTGTCATTGATCTGCACATCTTATGAAAATACCTAGCATCGTTAAAGGGAAACAACCTTTAAACAAATTTTAAGTGAATATTTCCATGACAATTTTTAAAATAAATGTTTTAGAATATGGAATATTAACATATTTACAACAAGTAAATGTCCATGGGAATTATAGTTGTTACACATTGCTACATGACAACTTCTATTTATTTGTATGACAAACATTAGATACACGAACTTCAGCAAAACAATAAGTTTTAAAAGATTGAGAAGACGGGCAATTTAATACACAAAACAGTGAAGGCATTTATTGACAGCAAATATCTTTTCATTTACCAGAATCTTTTTCACAAATTATTTATTACTAGTTTTGTCCTGCGTATTTCATTTAAATTTATTTATTTCATGAATACAATATTCATATAAATGTCTTTTTCTTTCTACAAGGTAGTAAAGTATGCGACAACTAATTGTTCTGAATTTGAGTCATGTGAAGACGTGATGAAAGGTAAACACCCCTTGTGCGGCTGGTGCGTTTATAAAGAAAGGTATTTCTTTATAATAAACATCAACATAAGGCAAGATACCACCATCAAAACAAAAACGTAATTTCTACAATTCAGTTTCACAAAAATGTTCCCTTTTAATATTATCTATATATTCAAATGTTCGGGAAAGCTTTTTAAATATTTAACTTCAACTTACAATTTGTATTTCACGTTTTTTCAGAGCTACACGGCGGCATGTATGTTCCAACAATACCAATCATTGGATATCGTCGTTTGAAAATTGTTTGACAATGTCTGTGGCGCCAAATGCAGTACCTTTATCGGTAGCATCAAACTCTTCAAACACCAGGGTAATATGAACAAGAGCCTTTACGATTAGAAAAAAATAGCAGCTGTAATAATACATGTGTTAGTAACCTTTTGAATGTAAAATGCATTGACAAATGAGATGGGTAATAACAAATGTCGTAATAACAAAACACGTTGTAACAGATATACTTATATATTTTGGCTAATTTTTGGGAAACAACTATATAAAGCAATTCAATGATTAAGAGAGCAAGAAAATTAACATATTCAATTTACAAACCAATTTACTAATAAACTTGAATATAAAGGTAATATACCAAATGAATAACAATAAACATAATTCATTTCTTAATTTTCAGATCATTATTAAGATGAAAGACATTCCATTGAGGGAATTGGGTGATGCATATCTCTGTCTATTTTCAATGCATTCCAACATATATATCACAAATGCAGAAGACCTAGATTATTCAACATTGTCCTGCTCTTTGCCGATTATTTCAGGTACGGATTGTATATAAAATTAATTTCGGTTTGAAATAAGGTACATTTGGATGTGAATAGTATACAATGTTCTTATTAGTATCAATTTATGACAAGACAAACACTTAATTGAGTTTCGTTTGACAAGTTAAGCGAATAATTTAATCAATCGAGTGACAAAACAAAGGAAATTTAATTTAAATTAACATGAAACTTAAGTTTCTTTTCAATAACATATAGGGAAAATAGACAAAATATACTTGTAAAAAATGAAACGCATATGGTTTACCATGGCTGGTAGGCTCATATAATTGCTTCTAGTAATTAGAGTGTTGTTCGGAAACATGAATTTAGGTTAATATTTAAGGCCCATTATGCCTTAGAAATGCTTTCATTTTTATTTCTCAAAAACTGTTTATTTTTTGTATCTTACTACAGCTTCCCAAAATATACTCTTTAGCTATAAAAATGAAATATTTTGCATATTAAGTTATGTTGACAATTGGTATAATTATAGTGAATGGAAGTCAAAATAATACTTTGTGTACATTTTGTTACCTTTACGAACTATAAATGCGCCGCATTTAACATCTGTAAAAACATCTAGCATGAATTTATCCATTATTTAAACATTTTTAAAGACATGTGTGACATTTCTAAAGAATTTAAAAAATATATATTTCCGAGGCATAATGCACATTTTGAGAACATTTTTCAAAAAATATACTTTTAGTACATAGAACAATAAAATGCAAAACATGAACTTACTCTTTGCAACCAATTTATTACTTTAACAAAAATCTGTATTTATGTCTTGCAAGTAGATGTTCCAAAGATAGATTTTGAAAAAAAATATGCTGGTAAATGCCATTTTGTCACTTAAGAATGAAATTTAGCAATAATTGATTTTCTTTTAAATATGGATATGGTTATTAAATTCGTTGTTTTAACATCATAAATTTCAAATATTGATATAATACAGTTCATGGTAATGTGAGGATAAAGCTTCTGGTAAAGACACTAACAGGACTCGAGACAACACTGTCGTCTGCTTCAATTCAAATCTATGACTGCAGAAAATATAAAAGGTATAATAATTAATTCATCAACATACAGTGCTTATTATGTTTTAATAAAAACATTGATTCTATTATGACATATAACACGATCATAGTAAAATTTGAAACATTTCTTTGACGTGTAAGAATGTCCGTACGTGTGCGTGCGTGTGTGTATTTATTTGCAGTTATAAGCAAACACGCATGTAACGTTATTGCTAAATTAATATAATAAAGAATTTTTAAAGTAACAGCCAAATACCAAATTGTAATACATGTCGATCTTAATTCTTATTAAATACTATTTGATAATTCTTTTCTTTTCAGGTGTATGGAATGTATAAATACTGAATTCGTCCAGTGCAATTGGTGTGGTCAAGATGCAAGTTGTGAAGAACCAAACTCTGGATGTCCTAGACCAATTTCTATTGTGCGTTTCTTTTCTTTATTCTTAGGCTTGAATTTAACGTCAAACGATTGAAGGGGTTTCAACAAATAATCTGATACTATTGTATGCATAAAATATACATGCGGTCAATGAAATGCATGATTATTTCTAACTTATACGTACGTATAACGATAGCTTGGTCGATTTTGAGTATGCCAATCGGACGGTTGTTGTATTTTTAATCCAAGACCAATTATGCCGCAGAAATGATTTTAATTTTATTTCTCAGGAACTTTTTATTATTGAAGTACTTTTATAATTCAAACAATTATTTTGTAATATACAGAGAGCAGATTTATGCATTTTAAGGGTTGTTTTTAGTTATTTTCTATATAAGATATATTTATTTTCACAGATTAGTGAATGTCCACACCTACTGAATAACAAAGGGAACTTCCTACCATTAGGGACAAGATCAGTTTTATCTTTTCGAATTGCAAATGCTATAAATGTAAGTACCAACCTGATCACATTTTCTTGTAATGTATTGTAAGAACAGACACATGTAATTCTTAATAGATTAAGAGAACATAACAGTTACAAACGCGTTTAATAAATACATCTTTGCTAAAACAAAATCAGACTGGTGGTATTAAGTAGTTAAATTGAGTGAATTTTCTAAAGGAAGGGTTGAAAAATATTCTGATGATGAAAATGCATTACATTTTATTAGGACATTCGTGTGATGATATTCAAATCGAAAAAGAAATAACAGGAAGCAGGAATATATTGCTTTATTGTTTTTATAAGTGTAAGTCAACTTTATTTCCGCACAATTACTGGACTATTGTTTAACACAAAGGTTTCAAAGTTCTCAAAATGACAAAGCTTAAAGATCATTGTTTGTTTTAACTATTTCAATCAAAGGTCATATCCACACTATTCCTAAAGTGAAAACCATTTTGGTTACTTACTGTGTTACCATTTCAGATAGATTCTTTAAATTTATTTCATAGTTAATTACCATTATTCGGTAACGTTTTTCTATTTTTTGTTTGGTACGTAATAGGTATAAGTCACCTAGAAAAGTATTTCAACTTTTGTAAGAAAATTGACCTTATTCAATAAAAATATATTGCTTTACGCTAAACAGGTCAAATCAATTCACTGAATTAAACGTAACCTATATGTTTATTTGTGCGTTCTTGAAGGTTTCCATTTTTCTATTTTCTTTCTTTAAGTCCACAGGTGTGATCTACAGATGTATGCTACAAGGTTCTGAGAGCGTAATGGCAACATTGAAAGGTGATTTTTTATCATGCCGTATGCAGGTAATGAGTTAATTTAAACTTCATAAACTTAAAAGGCAAATTTATAAAGTTTAAGCATATTATATAAATTTTACCCAATTTAATACCAAAAATATAGCAAACACAATTTATTTGTAAATGAAGTCACATTAATAAAGATCACTTAAAAATTAAATTTATCAATTATTAATTATGTAATTATGTATCAAAGATATATACGAGGGTTGTCGCTGAAGTAAAGAGACAGCCTGCGTAACTTCAGTAATAATTAGTAAATGCAAAAAGTAATAACGCATGCTAAAGTGTCATATTTAATAATATTATTCTAAAATTTTCATAGAATACATAAAATTTAAAAGATCTTCATACAAAATACACACATCACTGGCTGAAAAACAGTGATAACTTAAGTCATAAAGGGACCTCGCCTACAGCGCCTATTTTACGTAGTCTCCGTCGGTGTCAGCACAATTCCTTGGGGCGAGGTCAAGACTGTAAGGTTGATTGCTGATTCTTGGAAACAACAAAACGTCAATCTCTAACTGAATGGAACTCTTCGGCGATGGTGTGCCTAATATTTCCAACATTGACAAGTTTTCCTTTGTTTCTGGGTCAAGTTTCATTCTGGGTGGCTATCCTATCTATAAACGACCCAGAAATTCCGAATTTTCTTGTCGTCACTGAGAATTTGGGGTACCCATCTAGCTTGGCTCATGTTCAGATCTTTCAGTGGTCGAAAACTGTATCCTTACACTTACCCAGTATTGAGGCTAAGCTTTTAACTGTAAAACTGTGGTCAATGGCAATAAATTATGTTCTCTAATCTACTTTACGAGTGACAATCGCAGGCTGGAAGGGCGACCGCCTCTCTGTTAGTCTTCTATAGACTGATGACTGCAAACTCTTTATGCCATCTAAGCACTAATGAACAATAGTATTTATATTTGCCAGCCTCCTGAACTAAGCAATAGTTTTGTGTTGGTGTCTTCCCAACCGCATGGCAGAACTGAATTACCGCTCGTAGCTTGACATTACCGGTTGACATCATGACGATTTTTTCTTCGTAGACAGTGACGTGTTAAATAGCGCTCCTCTCAGCTACTGATAATGTAATGAAGTTCTAACAAACAGGAAATAACGTTGTAACGTCACGCTTCATTCAGGCGAAATTTTGTGCGCACAAACTTGCTTTTATAACGTCTTTGTAATATTTAAAGAGCGCACATTTTCTCTTGGTGTCTTAAATATTGCTTGCACCGCCCATCACACATGATTATTACCTTCGACTTTTTAAGTAGGAAAAAATAACTTCGATGTTGAGTGTTTTTTAAGGATGGTATACAAGTTAAACTATATTCAAGCATAAATATTGCTACGACTTGTGACAAAAATCTCTTTACTTCTGCGACAACCCTCGTTATATGACTCTCTCGAAATAAGGCTGTAATGGAACCATCATTTGTATATTTTGTTAAAATATATGACATAGATGAAATTATGAACCATTTTTTTCTTAAACACAAAATAAACCAAAACAATGGTAGACAACGTTTCATATAACTTGAATGTTCTTTAGTGACTAATGAGCAACTGAGCCTTAAGTTAACTGCGTAGAGTACAAATAATTGATATATATATATTTTAAATTATCAAACATAATGTATTTGTAAAGGTTTCGCAGATTACCCATCGGAAGAAAAAAGAGAAGCTAAAGATAGTTATCACATATGGACCAAGAATCGACTCCTTTGCCGAAATAGATGATCTTTTTGTGAATTCAGGTAAACATCAATCATTGCAATCACTTTATTCCCAGACTCTTAATCTGCTGAATTTGAGTAATGGATTTGCCCTGCTTTAAATTTGGAAAAAATCCATTCTATGTGTAAGAAAGTTCTTGTTTTTGCTTTGTTTGGTTCTACGGCGCACCAACACAATTAATGTCATATGGCGCAGACACAGGAAAATTGATTTTTGTTAATCCCGGGTGTTACAATTTTAAAGCAACACCAGGGGTCAAAACCACCCCACTTGCTGGAGCTGCATAAACTCTTTTAACTTCTTATTACACAAGTTGAGCTACTTGCTGTATAAAGACTGGTCAGACAAAGATGTGCATGCTGTGATGACTTTATTTAGTGGAATATACAAATCACTTTTACGAAAAGACATATTAACACTGCAATTTAAATTGAATTTGTCACTTTCTTATTTCCAAGTAACGGTATACAGATGTGAACAAATGGCTTTAGATTGCAGTCATTGCCAGGCGTTAAACAAATTACTTTACAGCTGTTATTGGGGTACAAACAATAAATGTGTTCACAATGGTGCGTACCGTGTATCAAATTGTTCGTCACCAAACATAACAGAGGTATGTATGCTATGTTTCATTATCCATGTTCATAACACGCCACTACTAAATGTCGCAGAAGTCTGTAAGTAGTAAATAACAAAATTATTATAGTACTTGTTTCCAAAATACAAAGTTATTTACACAGTTTTTTACCTATTTTCACTACCCATCAACAAAAATTATAGTCAGTTAAATCGATAATATGTATGTGGGATTAAAATAAAAAACTTTGAAAAATACAAATTTGAATGGTTTGTAATGATTTTATTATTCAAATTTAATGTGAAGTCATCAGGAGCAAATTAGTATCTATTTTAACAAATACAGATAACACCGACAACTGGTCCCATCTATGGTGGTACCTATGTAACTATCTACGGGAGTAATTTAGGTACAACAATGCTGGACATTGAAACCATAACAGTTGCTAACGTGACCTGTGATCTGATGAACGATACAACAATAGAATCTGATCCAGATTTTGAATCTCTTGAGCAATCTAGGTAGGAATGGTGGTTTTCATAAAAACCTAAGTAAACCAAAACAATTAGATTCTCACTTAAGAAATAAAATACACTTAAAGTTAAGTTGCAACTTTGATATATCAAGATATAAAACAGTTTGTTACATGTTTTACAGCATAATATTTGTTCTGTCACATTTCTTATTATATCATTATCAAAATAATAAAGTTATGCACCTGTTGCTTTTTACTAAGGTTGATTTGCAAAACCGGATCAAGTTATGCAGCTGTGAAAGGAGCAGTGGCTGTTGTGGTAGAAGGAAAACATTCAAATACAAATATTGAATTCTCCTACAAAGTAATGAACTGAATTGAAGTATAAATGTTTCATCTTTGCCTATGTTAAAATACAATACACCGAAAACATCTTTGATTATATTAATGTTATCGAAATTCATTTTTGAATAAGATTAAAACATGTAAATATATGGCTTAATGTATTTACATTTATGGTATTGTAATATTTATATACTAAACTTTTAACGTGTATTAGAACTTCATCAAATCTTATAGGAAAGTTAAACGTAAACACCCCATAAAGTTCCTTTTTAATAATTATATGCCCGAAAGAATTTCGGACATATTATGTTATACCCCCCTGGCGTCCGTCCGTCTGTCTGTCCGTCCGTCCGTCTGTCCGTCCGTCCGTTAGCAATTTGGTTTCCGGAGCATAACTTAAGTTCCATTTGGCCCACAATATTCAAACTTCATAGGATGATTGTCCATATTAGGTAGAAGACCCCTATTGATTTTGGGGTCATAAGGTCAAAGGTCAAGGTCACTATGACCTTAAAACTGAAAATGTTAGCAATTTGGTTTCCGGAGCATAACTCAAGTTCCATTTGGCCCACAATATTCAAACTTCATAGGATGATTGTCCATATTGGGTTGAAGACCCCTATTGATTTTGGGGTCATAAGGTCAAAGGTCAAGGTCACTATGACCTTAAAACTGAAAACGTTAGCAATTTGGTTTCCGGAGCATAACTTAAGTTCCATTTGGCCCACAAGATTCAAACTTCATAGGATGATTGTCCATATTGGGTAGAAGACCCCTATCGATTTTGGGGTCATAAGGTCAAAGGTCAAGGTCACTATGACCTTAAAACTGAAAACAGTTTCCGGAGCATAACTTAAGTTCCATTTGGCCTACAGTGTTCAAACTTCATAGGATGATTGTCCATATTGCGTAGAAGACCCCTATTGATTTTGGGGTCACAAGGTCAAAGGTCAAGGTCACTATGACATTAAAACTGAAAACAGTTTCCGGAGCATAACTTAAGTTCCATTTGTCCTACAGTGTTCAAACTTCATAGGATGATTGTCCATATTTGGTAGAAGACCCCTATAGATTTTGGGGTCACAGGTCAAAGGTCAAGGTCACTATGACCTTAAAACTGAAAACAGTTTCAGGAGCATAACTGAAGTTCCATTTGGCCCTCAGTGTTCAAACTTCATAGGATGATTGTCCATATTGGGTAGAAGACCCCTATTGATTTTGGGGTCACAAGGTCAAAGGTCAAGGTCATTATTACCTTAGAACTGAAAACAGTTTCCGGAGCATAACTTAAGTTCTATTTGGCCCACAGTGTTCAAACTTCATGGGATGATTGTTCACATTTGGTAGAAGACCCCTATTGATTTTGTGGTCACAAGGTCAAAGGTCAAGGTCACTATTACTTAGAAATTGAAAACAGTTTCTTGAGCATGACTTTAGTTCCATTTAGCCCACAATATTCAAACTTCATAGGATGTTACAGTGTTCAAACTTCATAGGATGATTGTCCATATTTGGTAGAAGACCCCTATAGATTTTGGGGTCACAGGTCAAAGGTCAAGGTCACTATGACTTTAAAACTGAAAACAGTTTCAGGAGCATAACTGAAGTTCCATTTGACCCACAGTGTTCAAACTTCATAGGATGATTGTCCATATTGGGTAGAAGACCCCTATTGATTTTGGGGTCACAAGGTCAAAGGTCAAGGTCACTATTACCTAAGAACTGAAAACAGATTCCGGAGCATAACTTAAGTTCTATTTGGCCCACAGTGTTCAAACTTCATGGGATGATTGTCCATATTTGGTAGAAGACCCCTATTGATTTTGTGGTCACAAGGTCAAAGGTCAAGGTCACTATTACTTAGAAATTGAAAACAGTTTCTTGAGCATGACTTTAGTTCCATTTAGCCCACAATATTCAAACTTCATAGGATGATTGTCCATATTGGGTAAAAGACCCCTATTGATTTTGGGGTCACAAGGTCAAGGTCACTATTACCTTAAAACTGAAAACGGTTTTCGGAATATAACTTAAGTATCATTTGGCCTACTGTGTTTAAACTTCATAGTATGATTGTCTATATTGGGTAAAAGACCCCTAATGATTTTGGGGTCACAAGATCAAAGGTCAAGGTCACTTTTACCTTAGAATTGAAAACAGTTTCTGGGGCAAAACTTAAAGTTCCATTTGGACCACAATATTGAAACTTCAAAGGAGGATTGTTATTTGAAGGAGGTAATACTTTATTTTAGTCCCATGTCTTACAAATGCTTCATCTTTACTAAAAAAAAAGAAAACACTTTCGGGCATATAATGCTCCGCCTAGCGGTGCTCTTGTTTGGTAAATGTAATCATAGGATTTACAAATATTTGCAGAGCCCAAGTGTTTGTAATATGTATCCAAACTTCGGGCCGAAAACTGGTGGAACAAAAATAACAATTTATGGAGAAAATCTTGCAATTGGGAATAAAAACATTTCTTTGCGTCTTAGTGATCATCGATGCGAAGAAATAGCAGAAATTACGGAAAAGAGATCCGATGCGGAAAAGTACGTAGCTAAGTTTAAAACCAAATGATGACTCCTCTAGAATGTACGTTTAAACTATGAACACTGGTTTTATGAGACAGTAGATATAAAAGTTCCCGCTAAATGGTTGTTATTTATCTGTTGTAGTTGAATCAGCATTTGCTTTCTAAAATATGAACGCATTTTTAAGTCAGCCACAAAGATTGTGTCATATGATATAAAATACAAATATATTTAGAAAAGTATATGTAAATGCATGGTTCTACAGATCATTTACAGTTCAAAACTAGTCATAGATGTTAATTATTGGTCAAAAATCTGTCTACATAAATTGAAAGCTTTTGTTAATAAAAGCAGCTTTGCAACTTATAATACTTGTTGTTTTTTTACAAGTGATACAATGATGATATTTCAAATAGTTCAACATTGTCAACTGACGTGATTCGTGCGTGCTATAAATGACACCAATTAAGACACTTTTAGATGATAATAATGTGAACTACAAATGTATCAACACGTGAAAGAACAGATATGTTTTTCTTAACAAGATTATTCTTTTACAGTGATACATTTGTGTGCGTTTCGAAATGCAGCATGTCTGCTCCATGCTCTTCTAATATAACCGAACTGCACTTATCAATAGATGGCAATTACGTTGATATTAACAAAAAGCTATGGTTTAGTTTTGTCGACGACCCAGTTGTTGGACGAGTATCACCACTTACAGCATTTGCCAGGTAGACTGTAGAATAATGCTATTCTGTGCAAATCTAAATATTATTAAGATTATAAAAATAAACTTTTGCAAAACTTTCGTTTATCTAAAAACATGTAAAACACGATTTGATGTAAAATATTTATTCTTCTAGATAAAGGTAATTAAATACAAACCGGGAAGCTTTAAAAAAAGTGAAAAATTCTGATGTTTCAAGGATTTCGTTGAAGCAGCCACTGCTTTATATATTTCAGTGTTTTAAGACAATGATTAAAAAATAACTCAAGTAGTTTTGATATCATAGGTGATTGTTACTTGGTATGACAACCCAGTGTGTACAGAGCGCTTGATTCCTGATTAGACAAATAAGCATTTTGAAACCAAAATTCAACGGACTACTCATACATTTCAAAAACATACATATTTTGCATCAGAAGGGTTTAGAAGTATACTCGAAGTAATAATATTCTGTTCTACATACTTGTAGTATAATATTTTTGAACAACTTTCAGTGGAGGTACACGGCTAACAATAGAAGGGCATTTATTAAACAATGCACATTCCTCGTCAATCAAACTGAGTTACAAGGGTCAAATTATAGTAAGTTAAACACCAAGTGAACGATTTACTTTTGAACCTTCTAATACGAATCTTAATTTAATCTTTAAAAATAGATATATACATATACAATACAGAAAGTGTATAAACATCATTAAAGAAAATAGTAACCCTATAGCAAAACGTTGTCCAATTTTAAAGGAAATAACAATAATGAAAACAGGGCAGGGAATGGAATCCAACATGTAATTTTCATTTTCTGCCACCCACAATTAAGTCATGCAGGCAACAGGCAACAATCAGTTACCATCTTATCTTGCTTTGTAACCGTGCAGCTATTAAGCTGATACTTTCCCTTTCTCGACTTTCTTAGATATAATCATACATGTATGTCATCTTTTAATGAATATAAATTTCTTTGAAATGTTTTGATTTTATCTTTATTTCATTTTGGCTGAATTTTGTTTTTCAATCATTGATAACAATGTTTATTTTTGTTATCTATTAGATAATCTCATAAACACATTTATGAAACTATTGAACACATTAAAAGTTTAGATATTCCGTAAATGGGCGTAAGATTGAATCATTACATACTTAAAAGAATTACTATTTATATCAGTATACAAATTTTGACAGTATATATCAATTTTTATACTAACTCTTTGGGTCAACATTCAAATATTTACTGTTTACCTCAATATTCAATTACTTCCTGTTTACCTCAATGTTCAAATACCGACTTTGACTCCAGTATTCAAATACATGTACTTACTCTTTACTTCTATAATCATAACCCTTTTCGTACTCAAACCCTTTTTCGAACACATCGCTATTCAAATACTTATTGTTTATCTTAATATTAAAATACCTACTGTTAATCTTAATACTCAAATTTTGTCTATATTCTTTTAATTTAGTTGAATTTCTGGCATATTTTATGTTCATGTTTAGGTCGCAAATTGTGAGATTGTATCTGATACAAATGCACTTTGTGAAATACCTGAAGCGCCTCGTGCTCTAAAAGAACAACTAGCCAGCCAGCTGTCGTATGTTACAAAAGAAAAACAAATATGCAATGGGCGCATTAATGTTTCTATGATAATTAACTTTGATGCTGTGGTCCAGAACTTTATAATATCTTATACCAATGATCCAATATTTGACATCTTACCAGACCAAAGAAATGTTTTGACTTTTGATGTCACAGCCCCTTTGATTGTGATATCGGTAATGTTTTGGATAAATGTTTTGATACTTATTACATCAGAGAAATACTGTGTGTATTACATAACAACAAGTCTTGCATATAAAAATGACAAAACTTATTTTTTGAGAATGGAATTATTTAAGCTTCAAAATAATGTTACTTTATACAGATTAGAAGATATTTGTCCGATTTTTTAGGAAGCTATTTAAGCTGATAAACACTTTCTCGAGTCCGTTCCGAACCAACCAATACATAGCAATGAATCTAAAGTGTTTTGTCTGGTCCTGGTGGAGATTGAATAAATACACCTAGCAATCATTAGATTACTAATTCAATGCCTTCGTAACCACTCAATAAATATCATGCGGCCATTTATTATGAGATACCAGTGCTTGACAGATAGCTACTATGTTTTTAAATAATTGTAAATCAATTGCATCAGTTGTAGAAAATTTATGAAATTTAATGACATTTTCCCTTTCTATAAACGTATTTACAGATGACATTTTACCGAGTATTTTATGTAAAATATATTGTTTTTGTAATTGGGTGCTGTTAGTACTGGAAGTTTTGAAACTAGCTTGTCTTGTTTCCTTTTTTCAAGGGAAAGTGCTTTAACACTATACACAAAGATTTCGATATTGACATCAAAGTGGGCGATAAGACATGTATAATAATGAATATGGCACAAACTGTAATCAGCTGTGTTGCTCCGACTGAAGAACCACGAGTAACTTCCGGGAATAAACATCCGGAAATAAGTGTAAGTTTACAATTCTTTAATTGTTTCTCTCCACATACAACCATTCTACTATGTTCATCTACTACCCTATACAAACTATTCTTTGATCAATTGAATTTTGTTTTCCCCCATATATTGTTCTAAGGTAACAATCAACAATTCAACCTCATCACACTCTAGTAACTGCATTCTTAATTTACGTACACTATTACGTTAACCTAAAGGTAGCTATTTTAAACTTTTGTTTGCCCGGTGTTGTATACTCAAATTATTTGATAAATTCTTAGTGAAACGTTTATCATTAACAAAGGTTGTAAAAACATGTTATTTGAATTTATTTTCGTAAGAACTAAACCACAATTATTCGATTTGCAAATATTTTGATTCAATGGTAATGCCCTTACTACTTATTTCACAGGTAACAGTTGGCAACATTCAAGTAACAGTAGGATATTTACGTTATACACCTGACGCACAAGAAGAGAATCCTACCATGCTCATACTGTCTAAACTGTCTATTTTGATAGCAGTATTCTTAAGTTGTATTATCTTTTCAGGTTAAACTATAATTTTCTTATATTTGTTTTGAACTTTACTTAAAAGTAATTATTGTTTACATATAATTGTAGCTACAATAAAGTTACCTAGTTTTTTTCAGTAGTTTAATCAATTACCTAATCGTCAAATCATACACAGATTCTGATTCTGATAAATGTGTTTGAAATGATAAAAATAATAATGTCATTGCTGACTTTTGATAATACAGGCACTATTTTCATGTGTAGTCGCTACAAGAAGTTAATGAACAGAGTGACTTATCTTGAAGGAAAGAGACCAGGACTGAAAGGCAGACAAAATGAGAGAAGGTAATATCTGCATTTTTGTCTGATTTGATGAGACTGAATTTAATAAAAAACATAAAATTAAATGCGTGAAGACATATAATAAAATCATTTGTCACATGGTATAAATCTTTTATTGAGCTTGTCCACAAAACTATCGAAGTCGTTTAATACTTTTTTTATCATACAGTAACTCATGTGAAATATTGTATGTATTATATGCAGCATCGTGACTTAAATTTTTTTTATTGGATAAATAATAATGTAAATTTCATGCACAACACAACGACTTATAAATCTAATTTAAGCATGGACAATATAACACCAGTCGTCTCCTTTATTCATACACCACCATGACCTTAAACTCTGTTTTAGCCGTAGGCACTTTACTATCTGATAACTCCCAATTTGTCGGCTTGTCAATCTATTTTTTAATCATAAATATACGACTTTTGAACTATATGTTTCATCGCAGGCAAATATATGATCGCACTATACCATTCAGACAGAGTGGAATATATGATGAAATAAATGACGAAGACGTCCAAGACACATCTATCGATATCATTGGTGGGGCGAACGGTGATGAAGTTGATGACTATCTTGTTCCAAATCCTTACGATGATATTGATGAAGGAAAGACATTCGGGCATATTACACAATCACAAAGAGAGACTTATGCTTTGGACAATATCTATAAGGGTTCCGTAAATCTAGACCAAGCTTACATTCATGCTATCAATGATGTGGCACAAGACACGATAAACCTGTCAAAGTGACCGAGTTAAACCTCGATGTGTAAGCATCAACTGTAAATATAGATATAGAACATGCTAAACAAAACAAATATGTCGTTTCTTATTCTTGCTGTAAATTACACACAGAGTGGGGTGATCAAGTGGAGGATGTAGAAACTGAAAAAGAACACAATTTTATTGTTTCTTATGCCTTTAGTCAACTGAACGATGAAAAACTACCTGGAGACCATAGTAACTCTTCGGGAAGTTTTGATGCTTTACCAGAAGAGGATAACCGTAAATAAGATTCCAACTATAAACATCGAATGAACAATTGAGATGAACTGCGATTCGCACATCAAGAAGTTTAGTTATCATATTTAAATCATTGATAACAGAATAAATTCATTTGTTGTTCTCTGAATAACAGCAAAATAAATGCTTATAATAAAAGATTAAGCTTATTATTAAGTTCTGTATATCAAGGAGAATGTAAATTAATATTAATTGCTGGATTCGGACACGGAATTAACCAATTAAGCGTCACCTATTATATACACAGTGAAATGATGAAATTTGAACTAAATTGACCACAAATTTTAAAACACATTGATTTTAGCTCATTTATTGAAACTACCAAGAAGTACTTGTTCAGAAAGAGCGAAGAATAACGATGTTATTCTTTGTTTATTACTTATAATTGCATAATTTATATTATTTCTTTCATACATGTACACTTTATACAGAAGAAACAGAGACACCATACTGTTAAAACCTAAAACTGCAAAAAATACTTTTACAGAAATTAACATTCTTCATTTTGTTTTTACGCATCATGCCATTTTGTGTAGCACCAGTCTGTCTTTTAAACCTCCTTTTGGAAAGTCACACTTAACCACATTGCTTATTTTCTTTTGACAAAATGAAAAAGAATAACCATGACACGACAGTATATCTAAACGTATTTCGTACTAATTATAAATTTCATAGGGACCATAAATCTAAAATAATCCACGCACCACAGCTTTTGCTTATGCAAATAAAGAATAACTTGCAGTTTAAGAGGAAAATTAACAAATTCAGAGATATCAGAAAATCACACTCTTTTACTTTATTTTATAAATGTACTATGTAAAATACCTGATGAAAATGTAAACGTAATCAAAAAGTATATTTTTACGTAATAATTTGCATACCATGCTATCGATATCTTGTTATGACAAGTGTTAATACAAATTGCTAACTTAACAACAAGATAAGTACATGGTGTTAAACGCGGGAAAGACGATGCACGTATTTCATTCATTGCAAAAAAGAACAACTTATAAGTTAAAACTAAAGCTGTGATTGTTATTCAAAAAAGATATGATGAAAGCGTAATTCTAGAAGTAACTGAAATGTATTCATCTTTAACAGTTTTCTCATGTAGTCCTGGCCTGTCAGACACCACTTCAACTGAATACAAGTCCAAGTTCAAGATTGACTTATAATAATTTAATATCATACTATTTGTACAAATTAGGTCTTGTAGATATATTGTTTTTCTTCTTGTTCATCTGATACTCGTAGTTGAGATTCAAATGAATATCTGTTGCGGCTCGATTCTAAATGTCAGTCCATAACTTTAAAAGAAACAAGTAAATGTTGACAATCATTATGAAAACATGGAATTCAAGCGTATATATTAAGAAATCTCTTACTGCTAATTACGATATCGTTTTTTATTATCTATTACCACAAAGGCGGCCTTTTGTCATTCTTTGTTTTACTTTAAGTGATATAGTGCCCTTTTGTTTTCGCTATTAAGTCTAGTTGAATAAGTATTTTATTTGAAAACTCTGGAAAATATTATAGAGATTGACCAGGAATTGATTATGTTTATGTTTATCACGTCCATTATTATTTTTCAGAGTGAAATATAAAATTGAGCACAATTATGGCAAAATGTCAAGCTATTTTTATTTCTATCTGTTCACTGACCATTTTCACTTGGATGGGCATAATGTCACTTTAATGCTAAACCTTATGGAACTGAAAACAAGTAGACTTTCTCGCAAGTTTAATACCAGGGGTCAGTATGCTCATCTGTGCAGTCTTATTAAGCTCTACGCTGTTGATGGCTCGAACTTTGTTTTGGATATCAAAATCCATAAGGGTGTAAAAAACACAAGGCAAACCATTTTTACATATTCAAGAGGTAAGGGATAATGAAGAGCAAATATAAGGTCTGCTTGTAACAAAGGTATATATAAATCAATAAATACATTCACAACGATACCAAAAGGCGAAATTATTTTTTTTTCCTGAAATATTTATTCCTTTCATCTTCTTTGAAGAGTATCAAGACTGGTCCCTGCCATTTTTGATTCTGATACCTGTGTGGTATACGCGATCTGATCGGACGTCCAATTTGGCTCGTTCAATCAGATCGTGTTCCACATTGTTTGTCAAATGAGTATATAGTAGGCTTTTCACTTTTCTATAACTATAATTCTGATGGTGGATTTAAAAAAAAATATATATAATTTTATCGGTGGTTTTGTATTAAAATTTTGGTACCTTAAAGTAAGCCTTAGAGTGTTGAATTTTTTTCAGGGTTGTATATGGGGTCCAGGGGCAGATAGGGGTGGTGTGTCCAAACACTGATACTGCCACCTACGGGTTGAACAATCTTTTTTAGACATCATTTAAAAAAAAGACCTAAAAGAAGCAGGTGACATACTTTTCAATAGATTGATACATGATTTTGGTGTTATTTTGGTTAATTCACCCTTGAGAAACATTCAGCATATACTCTACAAGATTTTTGTCTGTAATTATGACAGCCAAACAATGCTATTTTTCCCTTTTCTTCATTGTTTATGCAGAATTCAATATTTTAACTTGCCTGTTTCACATTGACTTCTATAGAGAGTGAACTATTTTAATATACTTTAGTATGAAACTCCTTTCATTTATGGATATCATAAATTAAAGGAAATTTTCATTTTTATTAGTATTTAGGCGTTTATCAATAATGTCTTTAAGCTCCTTTTAATTCGTTGGTGTGAACATGCTTTATGACTATCTTTGTATTTGTTGCACTAATTGATTGTAATTGTTTATGTTATCACATAAAATCTTACTTCGTAAAATGTTTAGAAAAAATACTATGTATTTGTTTATACAGTACTCTTCTGTAAATGATATAAACATGCATGTCTTTCTATTATCACTGAACTGGTTATATTTTGTATGGCTATAAACTTGTTATTTGTTTAATGCCAATAAAATTATTTGAGTTGAGTTGAGTTAATAAGAACAACTGTTGAAGTATTGACGTAGTTCATGTTCATATACCTATAAAGTATATATAATTTGCGCTGTTTTGTATGCTTACGCCAGACAATATTTTACTGTAATCGCATGGTTTGAAACTGTTTCTTTGTTCTTACTAACCCAAAATATTCATTACACTTTCAACTAATATATAACAGTTGAAGGGTTGTTTTTGCACCTTGTATATGTTAGTGTAGATTTCTTTTACAGTGGTTGGAATACATCCCCGGTATCAAAAAACATTGATAAATTTGCTGGTATTAGTTCAATTTGCTGGCATTTTCATTTGAAACGAAAAGGAAAGGGCACGGTAGAGAGAATAGCACTGAATGTAGTAATGTTTTGCTGATTTCTGTTTAAATGATTATGAAATTGCGACGAAACAGTTATAATATATGAAACGGGTAAGTTACAGGGCTGTAATACAGGCTGGGGCGACATCTCGGTTTGTTTCTGCAAAGAAATCGTCTCCGCCTAACAGCTTCAACATGGTTTTAAGAGAAACATCCCTCGATGTCGGCCTAATGAGTGTTATGTCCTCGTACATGTAACTAATTCGTTTCGTATACTATAACTTTAACTTGTCCTTCTTTTCTTTATTGATAAGGAAGAACGTGACGCTATCCAGGAAATTTAAACAGATGATTTATTTTTAAAGCCTACTACTGGCTTATTATTTTTTTTTTTGGTAATCAGCAAATTATGATGTGTGAAGGGTTTAATGCTTTATCATATGAAAGATATTATACATTTAAAAAATGCTAAAATTAAGGAGTTTTTTCTATTATCTTATGGTCAATTCTCGAAAAGATTGTTACACAAAAATGTCTCTGTTATTAGACACACATGAATATTGTAAGTGAACAGAATAAAATGTTCCTGAAGATATTATTTCCCTGCTATATCAAATAGGATTTTAACAATAAAGGAATGATTTCGCGCATGAGACATTTGGTTTTGAGGAAAAAACTAAAATACTTCCTTCAAACTGGTATTTTGAAAGTATCTTCTTTCAAAATTCAGCCGGTAATTTTATGAACTATGGGCAACAGAAATACAGCTTTATACACTATTACAAACTCGTAAAAATACCAACGGAAGTTTTGCATTTATAGAATTTGTTTATTAATTCCGAATTTGATAGCAGTGTTTACTTTCCGACGTTTTGATACAGATAACATTTTAAAGCATCATGTACTATCACGTACTACATTGTAACACATGAAATTAGATGTTTGACCTAATGAACGATTGATATTCATGTTTTGTTTTGCTTTACAGCGCATCAACACACTTTGGATAATTGATCTTTTATAAAAGTTTTTCAAAGTGAGAGCTACACGGTTGTTCAAGTTTTTGAAATCTGATACAAAACAGTTTTCATATTGAACCTATACAACGTGGTCACAAGATTTGTTGCCTTTGAATCATACGTATGAAAAATTTTCAGTACCTTTTTATAAAAAAACTTTTGAGGCTTCGTGCTTTCTCTATGATCAAAGATACGGAAGTTTGTTTTTCTTTCAAAATGTTTTAGTAATCTTTTTAATTTTAGCGATTCCATTTTTTCATTTTTTAAACACATTTTACATCAAAAACATTTTCAACTCAGAAGCATTCAGTAATCACAACGTTTCAGCGCAAAGTACGTGTAGTAAAATCCAAGGAATACTAGTACTAGAAAAAATGCAAACGAATATACAAAACTGAAATAAAAAACCTGCCTAAACGGCGAAACGATGATAATATTCGTGCCGCAAACGAATATATAAATTGAAAACTAAAAGAACTCCCAAAACAACAAAATTGAAAATATTCGTGCCACATACGAATATGCAAAATTGAAAACTTTAAAAAAAAGCCAAAAAAAAAAAAAAACCCCCAACCCACAATTTAAAAATTATTACTTGCTGGGTTTAAATTTTAAACCCTTTGTTCAAAACAATGAGATAGGAAGCTCATCCCAACCCTTCCGTCTTTTGCTCCCCGGCACCGACTTTAAAAAACAGTTTTTTAAAAATAAACAAGCCGGGGTTGGCCAAAGCCTTAAAAAAAAGGGGCCCGAAAAAGGGCTTAAGGGGTTAACATTTTAAAAACCCAAAACAAAAAAATTAAACCAATTAAAAAATTAGTTCAACCCCTTTGGTTTTCCCCCGGGAAAGATTTTTTAATTTTGAAGAAACTTTGTTTCCCCAAAAGGGGGGTTATTTAAAAAATTGGGCATTTCCCCAAATATTTAAATATTCTTTTTTCAAGCAATGCCCAAATGTAAATTTTTTTGGGCCTTTTCTTTTTTGCGCCCTTCATTTTGTTTTTACTAAAACTCATTACAAAAAATTTGCAAATTTTAAAAATTTGTTTTTCCTTTAAAAAGAAATTATTTTGAAAAATGTTTAAAAAAGGTATGGGGTTAAACTTTTTAAAATTTAATTGGTTAAAAAAACCTTTCCCACATCACTTTCCAAAAATGAATTTAGCAAAATTTTGCTGTATCTAAATGGGCATTTTTCGAAAAAAATGGAATTTGATTTAATGGCTTTTTGGTATTAATTTCCGGGTTTAGTCGAATTAAAATAAATTAAATGGTTTAAAAAAACTGCCCCCCCGTTTTAAATTTTTAAAAAAAATTTCCGAGGGGAAAAGGGGTTTTCTTGTTACCCAAAGGAAAAAATTTTTTTTAACCCCACAACACCCATTTAACTTTTACTTTCACTTCATTCCCCCTTTTATGAAGAAATTAAAAATTTAATTCCATTCTGATTGAATTTAATGATGAAAATATCGATCAGACAAATCAAATGGCATCGAGCATTTTCTATTGGTCATAAAATGATTTATATCAACTTAAGAATTGATTTGAAAGAAAAAAACAAGAGGGCCATGATGGCCCTGAAATCGCTCACCTGTATATAGGCCCCTGGGCCAATGCCAAATTTAAACCAGGGACTTTTATTTGAACAAACTTGGTAGACAGCCATTAGAAGATGTTTCATGATAAATATCTGAGCTTTACTCTTTGGGGGTTTTATAAGAAGATTTTTTTTAAAGTTTTTACATATACATATAAGAAAAAACAATGACACCCCCCGGAGGGGCACATTTTGACCCAAGGGCTTTTACTTAAACAAACTTGGTAAACACTAACTAGAAAATATTTCATGCTTAGTTTCTAAACACTAGCTCTTTTGGTTTTTTAAAAGAAGTTTTTAAGTGTTTACTCTATACAAAATAATGAAAATCAATGACCCCACTTATGCGAGGCACATTTTTACCCCAGGGTATTGATTAGAACAAACTTGGTAGACACTGACTAGTTAATGTTTCATGCCAAATATTTAAGCTCTAACTCTTGTGGTTTTCTAAAAGAAAATATATTAAGTTCTTACTCTATACAAACCAATGACCCCCAAAGGCCAATATGAACCCATGGCATTTATTTGAACAAACTTGGTAGACACTGACTAGTAGATGTTTCATGCCAAATATTTAAGCTCTAGCTCTTGCGGTTTTCAAAAAAAAAGAAGATTTTTTAAGTTTTTACTATATACAAATAAGGAAAATCAATGACCCCTCGGGGCGGGGCCAATTTTGACTTCAGGACATTTATTTGAACAAACTTGGTAGACATCTACTAGAAGATGTTTCATGCTTAATATTTAAGCTCTAGCTTTTGCGGTTTTCTTAAAGAAGTTTTTTTTAAGTTTTTTACCATATACAAATAAGGAAAATCAATGACCCACGGGGCGGGCCAATTTTGACCCCAGAGCATTTATTGGAACAAACTTGGTAGACACTGACTAGGTGATGTTCCATGCCGAATATTTTAGCTCTAGCTTTCGCAGTTTTCTAAAAGAAGATATTTTAAGTTTTTTCTTTCGGTTGCAATGGCAACCATAGTTCTGCTTGGAATTAAATTCTTTGAACAATTTTTAAAGTTGACTACTAAAAGAACATTCCTGTGAAGTTTGGATGAAATTGGCCTAGCGGTTCATGAGTCGTTTAAAGTAAAAGTTTATGGGGGGACGGACGGACGACGGACGGACGCTGGGCGGACGCCGGACGAAAAGAGATCACAAACGCTCACCATGTCACTTTGTGACAAGTGAGCTAAAAATAAAAACAAAAAACAGAACTATTAAACAAGTAAATGGCCGAGTTATCTAGTTGAATGCTTATATAGTTTGAGCAGCAAATAATGATCATTTAACCAATTACAATGTATAAGGATTATATTACCCATTAAAACGGTTGAAAGCTTATATAGCTTGAGCAGCAAGATAAGAATTATATAACGAGTAACCTTTGATAGAAGGTCACAAATACACGATGATGAAAGTAATGACTAAGGTCAAATAAAAAACATCAAAAACCATGCGTGTACATAGATAATTCAAATGTCACACTTGTCAAAACAAGAAAAAAAAACCTTCATAATTATTTAGAACTGTTACTTGTTTTTTTAATACTTCTGTTATCTTGAGTCACCAAGATCTGGATTAAACCTGACTTCCGGTATTTTTTCAGACTCAGAAATGTTTGGCATTGATTCTTTTCGTTTATCATATATTCGTTCTATTTTAAACAATAATTTGTAATCAAAGATACGAGAACTCTATCACAAAGCATGTACATTTTTGTGAAATGTCTTGTATGTTCACTCCGTTTTATCTTAAATATCTCTGAATTTCTGGCTATGACGATAACAGTCTGTTCTGTTTGTAAAATCACCTTGAAAAAATGTGAAACTGAGTGCCTGCAATCCCCGCGATAGAACTTATATTTAGCAACATTAACATATACGAGACAGTCATGTGATAAAAGTTGTTTAAAAGGTTAATTAAATTACATTAAATGAGTAACAGGGTATTGCACAGGTTATTTGTATTCAGATATGGACCCCCTTTCCGAGGTTTGCCTGTACATACACTTATGCAGTGAATTCTCTTTAGCGTATGTTTAAAAATCACTTTTGTTTAGAAAAACATAGATATAATAAAACATTCACTTTATGAAGATGACATTTAAGATTATTTTCATCTACAATATAACAATACGCAAGACTCATTTTTTCCTGATTGATAAATATTTTTTTTAATAACACTATAATTATATTATACATTAGAGACTTGGCAGAGATGTAACTTATACATAACTTCTGATAACTGTGGAAAGTTTGTCATTTGAAATATTAATTTCCTGATAAGAATCACTCGTTGAAGTTACATAGAAAAATTTACTACATGGTTTACCCTTGATAGTTACGGTTTTGATTATTTAAATTGTTACAGTATAAAAATATTTCCAGGTCGAATTGAAGATTTAATGATGTTTAGTAATATTTTCTCAATAATTTAACATTATTGGTTACAGATTATGTTTAACTAACATCAGACTGCGTTTTGTTTTATCGAAATGGTGTCTGTAATGTCTTCTTTCAAACTAATTACGTACTTATTTATCAATTTTCCATGTAGACTTTTCGCAAACGGTAAGACCAAAAATTACAGTTTTGTTACATGTTATATGAACTTAACAGGTAATTTCATGTTTACATTTTTTGATGATTGAGATCTTTGAATGGTCAAAACAGCATATGTCATAAGTCATGATGAAAGCCTAATTCTAGAAGTAACTGAAATGTATTCATCTCTAACAGTTTTCTCATGTAGTCCTGGCCTGTCAGATTCCACTTCAACTGAATACAGGTCCAAGTTCAAGATGGACTTATAATAATTTAATATCATACTATTTGTACAAATTAGGTCATATTGCGACGAATCAGGAAATATGATTTTGGCTTACCTCGGGTGTTACAAACTTAAAGCTACACAAGGAATCTAAACCACCTCACCTGCAGGAGTTAAGAGATGCATAGATTCCAGTTATTTGTATCCATTTAGCCGTCTATTATGATCAGACATGGTTAAACGGTGGATGCAATTCTAATGCCCCAACCCGTAAAGGCAACCCTTCAGTTATAAGGAGTAATTTAAGTAAAAAATATTAAATAAATAAATAGAATAAATAGATAAATAAATACATAATGAAATATTGCCTACAAAAATAACAAAATAACAAAATTAAAACATATATTCGAACAGATTAATTACTCAAAATAATCAATATATGCTATAATCAATAGGATAATGATCAAAACATGAAAAAGATTATTAAATAATTCAGTCGTAGATACATTTGAGCTCATTTCAATTAAAGCAAATAATATATTTTGTGTTCGTTCAGACTAAATGAACTCTTCGAAAAATTCAAAAATAGCAAAAAAAAGAAAAGAAAAGAAAATACTTAGCAACTTAAAGACACCACTACTTAACGCTGACTCTTTCACATGTTAGTGATCTTTTTAAATGAGAGCCCTCGACACTTCCATTGTAGAGCATCCGTCGTAAACAAAGCCCAAAACGGTAAACTCGGTTTCTAAAAAGATACAATTTAAAAGAACATGCCAATTTAGCAAGACTCGGACAATGCTTTGGCACGTACATGTAGAACATTTTTTCTCGCCATTTTGGATACAATTTTGATAAGAAATTCCCCAAAAATGACGTTAATAGAACCTTTTAAGGTCTTATTTGAATAGATCGCCAACATGTTCGAGAGCCAGCGTTTAGTAGGGGTGTAAAGAATGAAAGAAAATAAGAAAGAAAGTATTAAAGAAAGAAAGTATTAAAGATATAAAGAGAAAGAAAGAAAAGAAAGAAAGAAAGAAAGATGGAAGAAAGAAAGAAAGAAAGAAAGAAAGAAAGAAAGAAAGAAAGAAAGAAAGAAAAAGAAAGAAAGAAATAAAAAAGAAAGAAATCAACAAAAAATGAAAGGGAAAAAAAGAAAAACAGATAAGAAAAAAGGGAAATAATGAATGATAACCACTCAGAATCGAAAACATTTGCTTTTTTTAAGATTACATCCATTGGTTTGGAAAATTAGGCGTATATGAATACAAATCGATATCATACAAAAATAACACATTTAAAACTTCCGTATTGCATTTCACATCGCCAGGTTACAATGACTGACCATAAAATAATTGTAACGTTTGCTTTCTGTTTATTACTTTAAGCTCTCAATATTCCTATCGATGATTAGTGGCTCAAGTAGCAATGTTTAATGTCTGCGAGTATCAACAGAACAAAGCAAATAAAACAACGTCGCTTAGATTTGTTTCCAAGCTACATTAACGAGACATCTACTGCGTCATTGACAGGATAGATTTGCTACATTTGTGATCGTATTCTACTGTAATGGAAAAAGAATGGAATAGTGTTAATCAAACTACAGATGACACCGCTTGGTGCTAAATTTCAAATCTTTCACAGGGGGAAATATTAGCTATTACAATATATTATTTCTGTTTTATGTAATGACATTTGACTTCAGTAAGAGGTAGTAGGAGAGAGAAGCATTTCTGTTTCTTTTCATTAAGCAGCTGCGTGCTCTGGAACAAAATTATCTGAAAAGAAAGTTTTGTGAAATATATTTTTGTGTACTTTTTTAAAGATGCCTTGAACAATATTTAATTGTTTTTAAAAATAACTAGACAATGACGTTTCATTAACAGCTAATAAACGTGCGTTCATTTGTTTAATTACCATATATTCTTTTTCTGGAAAAAATGACACAATATATATTAAACACGAGCACGTGTGAAGCGCTGGGGAATCACACGGCGGTACAGGGACTAGTTTCGTCAATAGAATTGCACGAGACATTGCTGCTAGTTACAGGATTTGGATTATTTACAACTTTAATTGCATTGCTTTTCGTTTGCATTCGCCGACGAGTTTACAACGACAAGGTATGACATGTTTAATTCCAAATTAGATTTAAAGAAATTTTATACAAAAGTAAAATATTTTTGGATAATGATACATTTTTTGTTAAAATATTGTGTACTTGATTAGCCTGCTGGCGGCATCTGACTATACCCATGCGACCAGTGCAGACCAAGACCAGCTACCCTTATCGTCTGATCACAGCCTGCACTGTTCGTTATTCTGTCAGCAGATATTTTAAATTTTCCTTAAAAGTGAAAGCTGGACAAGTCCTTTTATATATTAAGCATGACAAGGGTTATAATGTGTACAAAAATGAAGGTAGCAGTCTTCAGTGACAATGGTTTGCTTTTTGTAAGGGTATACATGCATTAAGTAGTGAAGTGTAAATCGTAAACGATTTCTTCACACTTGTGTTATTCTTAAAGAAACAAAAAAAAAAAAAAAAAAAAAAAAAAAAAAAAAAAAAAAAAAAAAACTGATCTTCTAGAGCGATAAGATATTTCTTTTAATTTCCATTGTTCTTTACTGCTTGAGTGTTTCAATAAGCATAAAGCTTCCAACACAATCGAACTAAAACAAATTAATATAAACTAACTAAAGATAATTCATGAATAGTGTTATCAGTGCTCTTTTTTAAAATATTTGTTGGCAGTCCCATTACCTTTTTTTAGTGAGTTGGTAGTTGGTGAGTTGGTATTAACCTATCGTTAGTTGGTTATTTTTTATAATTTCAATACATGTATATAATATCTGTCTAATTTTCTTCATTTGCTTAGCACTTTGAATATCCCATTGGCTAATAATACCTCAGTATGGAATGCTTATTTGAATGTAACATGGTTATTCTAAAGTGTATAAAGCTATATATCTGATGCAAAAATTATTGTTTGGATTTTAAAAAAGAATACTTCCAAAATGTTTGTATGAAGTAAAAATGGCATAAATTGGCTTAAAGCGAGTGGCACATGCACAAAGTCATTGCTAAACGGATAAAACCCTACTTGAAATAGCAAAATAATATTTTGTTCCGGAACATTTTATTCTGTTTACGTTCATTATTCAAGTGTATTAAATAACAAAGACATTCTATGTAACAACTTTTTCAGGAATCATCCATAAAATAATAGAACCAATACATTTGTATAAATTTACTGTTCATAAATTTTACAAAAATATTTCCTAAGATATAGATTTGTACCCTTTAAGTCCATTTTAAACATTGATGGGACATCCACTTTGTAAAGAAAGGTCAAAACAGGAAGAATAAGTAGGGGCATTTTTCAGTAGGTTACTGAAAAACAATGTTATAATGATTGTCAAAACACGCCATTAGATCTTGTTGTACATCATTATCTTCTCAAATGGTTACATACTAGTAAATAAGTTTTAAATGATTAAAAGAAATACTATGTTTTGTCAGTCAAATCCCTAATGCAATTATTAATGGCAAGGCTTCGTGACCAACTAGTGTAAAGTGCTGATTTTAAAATCTATTTCCTGTACTTATAGTGTGTTTAAATTCACATAAGGACATATGATTCCACGGGGACCCATATCCAGTTGTATCACGGGACGTTAGTTGCGTGTCTTCTAATACGCTCGCTTGTTCGTGTCGAATAAAGTTTCAGTGATTCATTCATCTATAATACAAGTTTTGAATGTCGTCATAGCTCTGTAATTTTACATTTGTACTACAATGAAATAATACAATATATAAATACGCTTAGGCACTTTAGGATGTTCAGACATGATATTTGCATTGAAAAGTTTAAATTGATGAGTAATATAGATATCATTATTCTGACCGTAGCGAATGTTAGAACGAACTTGCTTAAAAACAGAAAAAAATGTAAATATTGAAATTTAAGCCATTCAATGTCATTCCTTTAATGACATGATAAACGTTTTCAGCAGCGTATTTATTTGTAACATGTCGAAATTTGAAGAAAAGAACGACGATAATACAGCGTAAATAATGGAAAATAGTCATTTTGAAGTCCTTGCTTTGTTGAGTATATATTTTTCTTTTATATTTGCTAAAAAAACGCAGAACATGATCATCTTGTTTTTTTTACTGTAAAATTGTTATCTTAATAGAGAAAAGTATGTGTCTCGCTTTCATTTGTTTGTTTGCTTCTGTGTAAAAATAAATCACCTCGCTTTTTTGGATAAAACAGCTATTTTTCAAAATGCTATATGATGAATGATAAGCATTGACTGTCCATCTAGGCTGCTAGCACTTTCACTCCTCATAGGATTCAAGTAGTTTTACCATCTGAAAGGCGTTCCACTACAAAGCTCGATCTCTATCTAGTAACACTACGCCAGCAATGAGAAAACGTTATTCCAGTAGTATTTAACGTCACTGGACATTTCATGCAAACTTATTTCTAATAACTACTAGACATTATTTTACGATGCCTCATGCTTTCATTAGAAATTTTATTGCCGTAGTAAGGTTAAGTACTTTCTTTTTTTTCAACATTATTTCAGGTCAGTTGGAAGTCAACTAAAATACTATTCTTGTTTTCGAGCGGGCCAATATAAATACTATTCATTACTATCCACAGTGTAGTATGCGGGAGATCCGTATAGATTATGTGACGTTAATTAAATAGAATAATCGGTAAATAGTTAACATAAGAGACAGAATTACTATTGACTTAAAAACATTTTGACAGACAAAGCAGTAGATTAATACAAGATTTATACAAGTTTGATTTTTTTAACTCTGTTACAATTTGCTATCATCTAAATTCACTTAATGTATACATGAAATGAACGAAAACATGTTAAATGCACTGAAGTGTCATCTAAAATGTTTGATCTACATTTTCTTACGATTTTCTTAAATTTATAAAAATGTAGTTGGCCCACAAGCACTAGCACTTATTATCTATCTCCTACACCAGAATTTTGAATTTACAACGCTTTAAAATTGACAATGGCAAGGGAATATTTGTGACTTCGTCGGTGTCCCACTGGACGACGTTCCGTTCTAGTTTGATTCACTGGGCATATCGTTCCTAGGACGACGCTTTCCGATGTTGATCTTATATTTCACACTCATTTTTTTATTAAGGGATATCAAAGTATAAGTAGACTTTTTTGCTTGGAACACTATTTCTTTTTTTATATCACATAATATAATAAATATATGTATGGATATATAGCACAACGATCATGATACTAATAATAAGTGCTTTTTATAGAAGCCAAGTAATTTTCCTTTATAATACTTTGTTTCTATTCTTCCACCCTTTGTGATGAAATGCCTTGGGTATGTGATGAAATGCCTGGGTATTTGGTTAAAATAAGTCCAAAGTAGATTTCATATCTAAAAAAAATCTCAATCAGTATTCCTGTGTGAATTTCCCATCAAAATAAACATGTCGTGACTAATTGTTTCGACAAATGCTTCATACAATGTTGAATGATTCTAAGCTATTAGATTGATAAAATGTTTAAAGCGCTGTACACACAATTTTTTGAAGTAGTGGTCACACTGGTTCAATATAGTAACAATTGCTTATATTGATAATTTGATGTGAAACTGTGATTATAATCCTTAAAAACACGTCGTTTAGAACTAAATTGTAATTTAATACATTAAGTACATAAATGTTGATGTAACGATCATTTTTTAGTGCGATGTCCAGGAAACTAAGTGAACAGACGGAAACGGTCTTTTTCAGCGTCGCACCGAGTTTTAAAGCATTTTTTCTTGTATTTTGCATGAAAGTATTTTTTGATGTTTAAGTTGAATTATTCATGTGATCACATCAATTATTTCCCCCAGGTAAATCACATAGCATAAAAGTTTTATTGTTTTTGTCAACAACAACAATAAAAACAAACAGCAACAACCAGAACATCTAATTATGTTACCATAAAATTATAATTAAAATATATACTTTAATATGAAACCACGCATTTCGTGATTTATCTTTTACAGCTTTAAACTTCTTCGTTATGAAAGCAATAAAGCTTCTATTATGACAAAATGTTAAAATTCTGATGCGGAAGAATTTCATAGTCTACGATATATAACACCTTAAGGTAGATATATTGTTTTTTCCTTTTTGTTCATCTGATACTCTTAGTTGAGATTCAAATGAATATCTGTTGCGGCTCGATTCTAAATGTCAGTCCATAACTTTAAAAGAATCAAGTAAATGTCGACGATCATTATGAAAACATAGATGGAATTCAAGCGTATATATTAAGAAATCTCTTACGGCTAATTACGATATCGTCTTTTTTTCATTATCTATTACGACAAAGGCGGCCTTTTGTCATTCATTGTTTTACTTTAAGTGGCATTATGCTCTTTTGTTTTCGCTATCAAGTCTAGTTAAATTTATATTATATTTGAAAAGGCTGGAAAATATTATAGAGATTGACCAATAATTGATTACGAAAAATGTTTATGAATAAAAAGATAAAGTACGTAACATAAAAAGACTGTTCCACTATTTAAAAAAGAATTGAGCGTTACGGACTTTTTCTTGAAATTTTTTTTTATAAAATAATCCGTTGGTCACTTAGATTATTAGCTCAATAATGAAAAAAAATGTCAAGATATTTTCTTTCTATCTGTTTACTGACCACACGTGGATGGTCATTATGTCATTTTAACACTAAACCGAATTGAACTGAAAGAAAGTAGGCTTTCACACCGGTGTAGTTCAGGGGTCAGGATGCTCGTTTGTGCAGTCTGATCGGGCTCTACGCTGATGATGTCTCATTGTTTGTTTTTGATATAAAAATCCTTGTCAAAAGACAAGGCAAACCCTTTTTTTAGGAGTTAAGGGATAATTAAGGACATATATGTTTGTTACAAAGGTATACAGAAATTAATAATATACATTCACAACAATACCAAAATGCGAAATTAATATTTTTTTTCTGAAATAGTTTTTCCTATTAATTTCACTTAACCTTTTTTTTATAGAATAGCAGGAATGGTCTATTCATAATATTTTGGTAGCATTCTTACTCAAATGATTGCTACTGGATT